AGCAGCTCATAAAGCAAACATCCTAATGAGGAGGAAGTCAGCATAATTTCTCATTAGACGCCATGACTTCAGTCCATTCCACTGATTGCTCCTGAGATCTCTGGCGTGCGCAATTCCCTCAGCATCCCAAAGGGAGAATAATGAGTTCGCTGGAAAAAGTGAAACTAATCAAAAATTGCACAGCGAAAATTGCAATGATGGAACCGTTAGATTGTGCCGGAGGGTTGGCATATTTTACCTGGAAGAGCGCGGCCCCGAAAGACGCCCAAGAGAGTATCGAAAAGGAATAGTCAGGGCCAAAATACAAACATATAATTACTTGGGCTCCACAGCATTTTTCGATATGAGACTGTGGTAGCAATGTGTGGATTCTCCCCAAAACACTTCTTATATATGCACCATTGCCCGCGAAAACTGTCCAAGTTGACGGAAAGGAATATAATTATGTGTGTGCTTTCCATTGGCATGCAACAATAGAACGGTAAAAGTGATTTTTGCACTGAATTTCAGCAAGGATTCTTTTTTGCAGTCAGCACGACTGCAACAAAATTGATCCCATGAAGACAGAATCGGCAGATGTTGTTCTTTTCTAATTCTGCCATCAATTTGCTGAATAATTTGACGTGATGATCTCCAAGAAATGCCGAAGCTCTTGATATTCACTGCAACCCGGAGAGATAAATCAAACAGTTGCTCATTAGATTTTTGGCTATTTCGGGGCATTTAATAGCAATCGCCATTGGCGTAGCTAACAATGAAAATGACCGTACAAAACGACTTCAGATTACTAAATAAATAAGAAAAAGAATCTAGTCTACTCTTAATATAACTGAGCCAAGAAAGGAGCCCGCTTTAAAATCTAATTCAAATTCACTTCCCATTCATTTATGCTTAAGATTTATGTGAAAAAAACAGTAATTTCCCTATTAAAGAAACATTGATTTTTTAAATTTTGCCTACTCCCTTGATAATTATGCCCAATTCACCAGTGTTTCCACTAACTAGAATGACAAACAGACTCTAAAGATACTCCCTCGACCCAGCACGTGGATAACAGTGGGATTTTCATGTTTTAGCGCGCTATTAGTGACACGTGCTCACGGAAATGCCACAGAGAAAATGCGTTTAGCTTGAGAGTGTGCGATGCTATCAAAGCTGAAATCAAAATTGCATCACAGAATAGGTGCATCACTTCATTGAAATTGCATCAGAGGAAAGTGGAAAATGTCAGTGTAATTTTCCATGCAAGTGACGTGAGGAGGCGCAAATGTGTGTGGGTGGATAATTTTAGAGGCGAGAGTAAAAGATGTGAGAGGAAAAGTCATCGGGTTTTTGGACTCTCCACTAAAATTTATTAGAGAATTCCTCTTATATGAAAATTGTAAACGTGCGTCGTTGGGGAAAAGGCGCAGAACGGAAAAATGGAGAGAGACACACACAAGTCGCGCTCAATTCTTTTCCTCTTTATTTGCTTTTTAATGATTAACTTATTTTATATTTCCTTCGCACTCGCGTCTGAATTTGATAGTTATTTTTAAACCATCGCTTCTTCCCTGTGTGACTGTATTTTGTCAATTCATTCGTACAAGTCAGTCTTCTTACTTTAAAATTAGAATTTTATATTTCTCTTACATTCCACTCTTATAAGTTTTTGAGAAGGAGGAATTGTCATCAACATTATCGTCATCAGGAATATTGTGGGGCGAGAGCATGAAAAACATCTTCTTTTTAAGTGATGCTTCAGCATGTTTGGTATTTTTATAAATAATCACTCTCTACTGGTGAATGCCTTTTCATGATTTCACCGTGGAAAAGCGCATTGCAAGATTGTCATTCTCTCATTGTGACATGACCGAGCTTTTCCACGATCGGAAGAGATCCTCTCCTGAAGTACTTAGCCTTTAATGTGGCATTAAATTGAGATGTAAATAAACAAATGTATGTTCTCCAGTTGCGGATGCTTCTCTATTAACCCATCAAAGAGACTCATAGATACGTCGATGCAATATTCTAATTAAAATTCCCTCCAACTACATATTGATGCCAGAAATGGGATTAATCCTTCTGAATTATTCCTATAGAATGGAGAAATAAAGCATTATCTTAGAGTTGCACTCTGTTGTACGGCATTGCAACAGCTAATGAGTTTAGTTTTAATTGAATATCCTTCCGCAGGAACTTCAATTAAGCCATTACAGCGGAATAATTGATTAAAAATCGTCAATTTTGCTTATGTTTAATTCAACTATGGGTTTAACGAGTTAATAATACTCCTCCCGACTCTTCAATCTTCTCTTATGAAACACACGCCAAGAGCCGCAAATTGCTTGGGAATGATCTAAAATTGTAAACTCAATACTCATGCCATCGTCTCATAAAGCGGCGGTGGGAGAGGAGAAGAAGGCAAATATCACTCTCACTCTTACTAACTTAATGAATGAAAGTGAAATGGTCGTAATTCTCGAAGGAGAAAAAATACACAAACTCCAATTTATTTGGTGTGCTTGTGTAGTTTCCCGGCAACTTAAATGCATCTTCCACACTTTTTTATATTCGTTTATAAATAAAATATTAGGATAATCATTTAGAGACGCTCCACTTCCACTATGCGCGCGGAGATAATAAATAGAAGATTGTTTGCGGAAATTTACACTAAAAATTCTCAATTTGATGGGCTCATTATCTGAAGAATTTGATGGATTGGATTTCAAGACATTCTTGTTTACAAAATATGACACATTCCGCAAATGACCGGTGGGATTTTTTATTTACATGCAAACCCGCGAACCCTTCGCTGTCCAATTTATTCAACACAAAGCACACAGTGCTAGGAAATCCTTGCAGTTATTGAAACGATCAGCTCAATTTTAATATCTAATAATTGCGATCTCCAAGAGGACGCAGATTCTCTGTAATCCCATAGAGTGGAGACCTCTTCATCGCAATAGACTCAACCCAGACTCGCTGGGGGGAATTCATTCTATTAATACGCGGTATAAAATTCATCGGCAACGCTCTTCTATTAATACAACATGCACGCGAGAGAAAATCCCGAGTCAGCAAATTAGACAACTAAATAGCTTTCTTCGACACTTTCCACCGAAAGCTCAGGGAGTCGATGAGATGGTGTCTTTAGCACAAACTCCCCAGTCTCACGTTTGCGATCATGGGAAGAGCATCCCATCGTCTACAGTGATTCTGTGACTACTTGCCTGAATCTATCACTATGGATTTATTTATATCCCGAGTCTGGTGCTCTGCTTTTCCTCGCGCGACGTGAAAAAACCATATCGTCCAATTCAGTAAAAACCTCCGCGATCGCGCCGCCTTGTGTCGAGGAGTTCCGCTGTTGTGACAAACCACTTAGAAGGATCTCAAATTTGCCAAATAAATCAAGTCAGTGCCAAAAATGGCCCACATGAAGAAGTCCCAACATCAGCACCACCTTCAGCGCCACAACACCACGTACAAGCCCCCTTTCATGCGAAACAGAAGGGTAAGTTGCTGCCTTGATGGATGAGCTGCTGCTAACAATGCCTCGCGCCCCCATCGAGATGCACTGGGGACTGACCTTAACCCAATATTTCCTCCCCGATGATCACATTGTCATAATGAATTCCACTTGCAATTGCGGACAGGAAAATGAATGGGATTTCCACCATTGGATGCACTCCAAAAAATAATATCACCACTCAAGTATGCAGATAGAATGCAGCAGTGCTGTGAAAAAGTCTCACACAATGTCTTTGCATTCATTCCTGGGGCTTTTATCGAAAAGCCCAGCTATATGTAAAGCGTAGAGAATGAAAGCTATTATGATTTTGGGACACTGCGTATAGAGACAGAACAGAGCAGCTATAGCTTGTATATACACAAGCTGACCGTTTTCCTTCTATTATCATTTCATTAAGGAGAAATTAACCTCAATATATACTGAAAGAAAACAGTGAGCAACATTCTATAGCGTCACTGTCAACCAAGAGGCGCTGGCAATAAATTTAATAAATTGTCCGATTTGTTAATCTTTCTTGCTCTAAAAAAACACTCTCGCAAGACTATTTCCCGAAACAAAGTTCGCACACCTAATCCCAACTATCATATCAAGATTACGTCCTTACACATCGCAGGTCCTCTCCTGTCTCGCTTCTGCCTCCGTCTCAGAGTGTATCTGAGGAAATTCACACCCTTGTAGGTAACTTTTAAAGTGAATTAAATTTCCTTCTACCCTCGTCGCCCACCCAAAGCGCAGGGAATGTGACATGAATACAAGACGCTCGGGCACGACTTTAAAACCAAATTTCCACGTCCCTGGGTTAGCTTTAAAATCCCAGTCGTGGCAACAGTGACCAGCTTATCAATTGATTGAGCGATGCTGCGATCGGATGGTTTCACTGAGAAAAATCCTAATTTTAGAATCCACCTATTCATCCATCCGTCCAACGTACACTCGAGAATCGACACTCATCGCTCTGTTTACAAATGCCGTCCCGTCCCGCCCCAGACGCAGTGCCGGGGTGGTTCCAGCGGAGAAAGATTGCCAAATGAGCTGGATAGTGTGATACTTGGCAGAGAGGCGAAATCACATAATTCAATTGCCAGCAGAAATGACTGTATAATTTGAAGTATTTCCCAGAGAGACTCTTGGAGATTTGTCATAGTGGAGACTCCGCCAGGGTTGCACTGAGGCGGGTCCTTGGGTGGGCTCCCGTGCGCCAGCCGGGACACAGCGAGGATTCATGTCGAATGAATAATTAGTGGCGGGAGAGAGTGCGTGGGAAATATTGGAAAATGCCTCGAATGGCGAGCCGGGGGGCCCGCCAAGTGCCTCGAGTAGGGAAATGTGAGAAAAAAGGCGAGGGGCCAATTTTCTCGCGTGTCGACACTGACTGCGACGTCCGTCTTGGTTGGTTCAAATGACGATAGCGTCGATCGATAGACGCATGCGTTTCCCCCATTTCCACATAGAATATTTTTCTGCGTCAAGTAAACTCTACACATCCAGTAAAAGTTTCCCCATTGCTGTGTCAAGAGGATTATTCTCACGCGAAACATTCGGGATAGATTTCTCATATAGTTTTCCTCCTCATTTTTAATTACACTCAATCGCCCCCAAGCAAGTGATATCCTTCCTATGGTGTAGTATTTGGTGAAGAAGCTTGCGGGTGCGATTCGGTGGCCACGGGAGCGCCAATAATCTCGGGGCTGTGCGAGTTTTTCCCTTAAACCACCCCCCAAAATAGCATCACTCAATATTAGCGCAAGATAGATGAGAGTGTGGTGCAAAACCCTTTCTAGCTGTGGTGGCCAAATTGCTCATTAGTGCTGTAGTCCCGCGGCCCAGGTAATGCAGACATTCCCTGTGATTTTGCACAAGACCCTCGCGGGCCATTGCGGCGCATCGGAAACGAACACCAGGCGCCTCCATTGACAACTCATTTGCCATTATCGCGCACTTTCGGAATCCCCAAGTGTGCGCTCTCTTCCTTGCTCATCCGCCAAGCAGATGGGCTGACCTCAAAAGTCAACCACACTGTGTGCTGCCCGAGAAAAGTCCTGCAGTGTGTGGATTTTTCAGGGTGATGACCTTCTCTCCTACTCCCCCCGCCAGTGGAAACCCCTTTCCCGACAGTCCATGTTGCCCATCGACGCGGAAAACCACCACCTAGAAGAATCTCCTGCAGGACTTGCCAAAAATACCTTTCGCACACACAACATCCCAGAGGCCAGACCCTTCAGCTCAGGAGGGCATGTGAAAAAAGCAGCCTCAATTGCGCGCGCGTTAGGAAATTTTCTTTCTTGTGCAAAATTACCACTTGTGTCAATTGCAAAGTCACAGGGAACACTGCCCACTGTCACCTAAACCAGGGACAGGAGTCCGTGAGCGCACCGTGTGTGGTGAGCGGCAAAGATTGGACGAGTTTGTTCGGCACCGCAACCCGGAAGAAGTCAACAAGATATCCGGGATAGACGAAGATTGGCGGGCTGAACGGCCCATGGTGCAGAGAGCTTCGACGGAGGCCCCATCCATATCTGGGGGGCACCGTGAGTCTCGCATGGGACTCGGCATTGGATATGCTGCCTATCAGAGTGGATACAATAAATTATTTACCCAGGTGTGACACACAATTCCACCCTCCCTCGGGGCTTTCGAAAATGGGCACAACAAGTTGGGAATTCATGTCGCACACTTCACTGAGCTAATGAACTTGCCTTTTCTCTCGCCTCCTTCCAGGGATCTGCTGATTCGAACTATTCTCAGCCTTCATCCGATCTGTCGCTGGACGAGGAAAAGGAATCGCTTCGGCGAGAGAAAGAGCGACAGGCTTTAGGGCAGTTGGAAAAGGCGAGAGTGAGTATATTTTTTGGATACACCAAACCCACACACACACACAGAGTCTAATCCTGACACTCTTTCTTCCTGCAGAACAAACCAGTAGCTTTTGCTGTAAGGACCAATGTCTCATACGATGGCAGCGTCGACGATGATTCTCCAGTTCATGGCAGTGCAGTGTCTTTCGAAGTCAGGGACTTCCTGCACATTAAGGTATCATCGCGACTTCATGCCAATTGCACTAATTCCAATGGTGTGGTGAAATTTATAATTGATGATGATGCCCAAATCATATTACCCACATTACCATTAAATTAATGCCATGCGCTTAGATTTTACTGTCCAAATCAATCATGCCAGTGTAATTTTCATATGCAAATATCAAATCTACCAAACACATTTTCCTGTACAAATAGAGCTGCTCACGGTAAAAGTATTCATAACATAAATCAGCAAACAAGTGACAGCAATCAAAATTGACGCATTTGTTAATGTGTCACTTCTTCTTAGTCTCTCTGGGTCTAAGAACTTGGAAATGCTCAGATGTGGCAATTTCTAAATGTCAATTCATGAGTTGAAGAAGCACTTTAATTGCCTTAATTGTGATCTTTAAAAAGGACTCATTGCTATTCAATGTCGACTATCTTGCAGGAAAAGTACGACAATAATTGGTGGATTGGCCGACTGGTTAAGGAGGGCTGTGATGTGGGGTTTATACCCAGTCCTGTTAAGCTAGAGCATATTCGAATGCAGGTAAATGGACAGAAATTCGCTACAAAGTAAGGCTAGAATTGATGCCACTCTTCCCAACTATTTCAGGCGTCTGCGGCCCGATCTTCAAGACTGTATGCAACCAAAGGTTCGTCGAGTGGTAATTTGGGGGGCCCTGGAGCACAAGGTGCGGAGCCCTCACGAGGTAGCACACCCCCAACACCTGGTATGACACATAGTTTTCGATTTTATTTGTGTTGTACTTTCGTTTCGATGTCTTTCTATGGTTTGCAAGTATACCATTTTACGTTTCCTTTCGAGATTATTTTCATTGTCGTATCTTACAGAAAAAGCGCCTGGGATAGTGTGGAAACGAGAGGGAAAGTCAGCAGAAGTCCCATCTGCTCATTTTCCCCCCATTGCTCTCGATATCAAAATGTCAACCCCTCTATATATATATTAATGGTGCTGTAAATGCGAGAATATTTAATTATCTTTCTTTCGTCACCTTCGTTTTATAAATATATCTACGATATTTCTTTTTTGAGAACGCTTATATGGAAAATTTACTGATGAAAAAACGATAAAGTCTTTGCATTGTTGAGTTTAATTTTTGAAGAAGGCCTCTCTTGACCCTCCTTCGGCTGTACACTTTAAGTTTCCTTCTCAACTTTGTTTCTTTTCTATCCAATTGGCCAATTGGTGTAGACATTCTTTTCGGTTATGGTTATCAATTTCTTATGATTTTAACACGTCCCCCCACTCAAATCCCCGCATGACTCTCTTAGACATTTCGTTGAGCGATATAAACTATGTATATGTGGTAAATATATTTTTGGTGTATACAATTCACTGTAAATATCGATGTCGTTCGCTGGGATCCGACCCCAGGTCGCGTGAGCCTCATCCTAACAGTTCTCCCCGATTGGGTGTCTTGCAGGAGATGAGTCCGACTCGATGGGACCGTCGCGGCACGTGAAGACGCCCCTAGCCACGCCACCCACGAAGGAGAAGCGGAAGCCCTTCTTCAAGAAGCAGGAGACATCATCGCCCTACGACGTGGTGCCGTCGATGCGGCCAGTGGTTCTGGTGGGACCGAGCTTAAAGGGATACGAGGTGACGGACATGATGCAGAAAGCCCTCTTTGACTTCCTCAAGCATCGCTTCGAAGGACGCATCATCATAACGCGCGTCATGGCTGATATATCACTGGCGAAGCGCTCCCTCATGAACAACCCCTCTAAGAGGGCCATCATGGAGCGCTCCAACAGTCGCTCTTCGTGTCTGGCCGAAGTGCAGGCCGAGATTGAGCGAATATTCGAATTGGCCAGGACTCTTCAATTAGTTGTACTCGATTGTGATACTATAAATCATCCGTCACAGCTAGCAAAAACTTCTTTAGCGCCAACTATAGTTTACTTAAAAATTAGTAGCAGTAAGGTGAGCAACACTGCCTAAGAAATCTTTCTTGCACACACACAAAAACACTTATATAACAATTTACCTCCTCTTCGTGCAGGTTTTACAGCGATTAATTAAATCACGCGGAAAAGCGCAGGCTAAGAATTTGTCAGTACAAATGGTGGCAGCAGAAAAACTGGGACAGTGTCCGCCAGAAATGTTCGATGTGATATTAGATGAGAATCAATTGGAGGATGCATGTGAACATATTGCGGAGTATCTTGAGGTATAATCAAGCCCCTAAAGACACCCTCCATAATCATTGCTAATCCTCAAACATAAATTACAGGCTTACTGGAGAGCAACTCATCCTCCACAACGGCCAAATACTCAAGTACCAAGACCACTACCATCTCAGGAAGCTTCACCATCAGCTGACCAATCTCACATGGGTCCAACACCTCCAGGTTAGTTGACACTTTCAAAGGGTTTTGCGGGCAATGCTGCAGAACAAATAGGATAATCCAATCTCATCCAATCCCTAAATGCATACATTGTGAATGCAGCAGATAGAGAAAGAGACACATACAGTACACGAAATGATAGAGACAGAGAACGAGGTAACACTATTCAACCCCACAAACTAATTTAAACAGTGCGGTGTAGAAAGCACGGGGAGGAGTGCTCAGACAAGAGACACAAAAAAGATATATTGGACAACTTTACAATTCAGTCAATCCTGTGATATTTTCCCATTCTCATGAGAGAGACTAGGCTATTTCCCATGTCTACGTCTGCTCATTTCAACACCCACTAAATATTCCTTCGTCAATATAGGCTCAGGAGCTGTAATAGAGAGCTTATATTGTAGTATATTGCAACTATCATTAAAATCTTTCCAATAACACTTCTCAATAAGTGCCAATAAATTAACATAAACTCAAATGTAGACATAAATCAATGAGTGCAGACGACAATTTCAATTCCTAAACTTGACTCTGTCAACCTCGAATACTTACTACACCGCTGAATTCACTTAAAAATGTGTCTTTAGCTACACTTTAGGATGCTTTTGTACTTTAATCACCAGATTTCATTTATCTACCCTCACTATTATCTTATATGCAATTCTTATCTTTCAGAATTTTATTTGGATGATTTGCCTGGAACGTTTTTATAGACAAATGCCAAAATATCAAGCACATTAGATTTTGTAGATCAAATACAAAACCCCACAGTAGAACCTTTAAACCATTTCGCTAAACCCCACAAGAGAAGGTCAATCTATTTTCCATCTTACCTTATGATTTTTTTTCTTGACTTTTCATCTAACTTTGCAACTCCACTAACACAAGCTAACAGCAGAAGGTTTTCTTTACCAAAAACAGATGGTTTTCTTTTCTTTTCTCTTTTCTTTTACTCAACAGTGAGTCCTGGAATTGTTCGGACGCCAAACTGGGAGAAATACTAAAAATAAATACAAAACAATCTAAATCGCGCTACAAAGTCTAACCAAAATGCCTAATTTCTGGAAGATGTGTCGTAGTTTCGCTTCAGCTTTTTGTCTATGTTTTTTGCAAAAAGAATCTCACTATATGCATTTTCGGAAAATCACCCTTTTTGTGATCAAATGAAAGACAGGGAAAAGTAGTTGTGCGTCTAATTAAGTGGGAATTGTAAGTAGTGGTTTGATTTTGGAAACTGAGTTTTCCTTTGATCCTCACTTGCATGATCAATTCACGCTGGTTTTCTTAGTGATCTCATGGGTTTTTCTTTTCGTGTGATCTGCAAATTGGTTCCCAAACTGGACGGATGGACTAATGGCGGACTGTCTTTCTAGGTGCATCCTATCATCACAACAGGAGATCACTAGCACGGCATGATCGCGAGCGCGAACGCGAGCGAGAGCGACTGCACGCGAGGGAGCGCGATATGGTGCACTACGATCTTAACGACGATGATCTCCTGAACGAACGCGGCTACGGCGTGGACTACCCACCCAGGACGAGCCACCACATGTCCCACCGCCATCCGGACGATGGCGGCGAGCTGATGCGCGAACCGCGCGATCGGTACATGGCGCAGGATCGCGGCTCGCGGCGCGACCGCGACGACTACAGCCCGCACAGGAGCAGCGGCAGCAGTAGAAGGGTGCTCAACGCCATGTAGGAATCGTGGATTTAGGGGTGGGACCAGAGCGATCTCGAGAGTGCCAATGAGTTTGAGTGAGTGGGAGACGGACTTCCGCTCACTTGATCCTCATTGACTGATCGTCTAGTCCCATTCCTTCATCCAACCCGATTTGCGCCATCCTCAGCTTCATCACGCTAGCGTATCAGGCACTAGTCGGCGCGCCTGACGCCCTATTTCTACGCGAAACACTCTCGATTTGCATGAAATAATCACGGGTGCTCGAGACTCTTCGACTACTGCACTGATTCACAAATCTCAAAATCACCTTTGGTGAGTAATGGACTTGAATTGTAACCATATATAAGATTCCATATATCCAACAACCTGAAATTGCAAACTGACACATTTCAAAAATATCTAAAATCAAAAAATCCATTACTTACTAAGGGAATCAACAAAAAAAAACAATCTAGACTCCTAGAGAATAAGAAAAAATATTTCTGCAAAATATTCTAACCAAAAGAAAGGATAAATCGAGATAAATTCACGCATTAGTTTTATGGTTTCATTGTAAATAACTATAAAGATAAATTAGAAATTATTTTCAAAGTGAAGATGGAGAAGAAAACGTTATTCTGAAAGCTTTAAACGAGGCTTATGGAACCAAAAGAACAACGGGAGGCATTTTCTTAAAAAAAAAAATTATATCGCGCGACAGAAAAACCCTCCAAGAAAATAGCTTCAAGACACAACAAACTAGAATATAATCACCATAATGCAACTTCATTTTCTGCCATTCACACACTCTCAAAGAGAATGAAAGCAATAACAATGTCTAAAAAAAACTTTTTAAAGAGCATCACAAAAACGACGAATTCGTATGAATTAGAATTCATCAGCAATAGAATTTTTTGGCTCTGTTGGAAAACTCTGCGGAAAATCATGTGCCAAAATCACTCAAAAAAGGTTGCAAAAGCATAAAACGTAATTTAAAAGGGGGGTAGAAAAGTGTAATTTGAACATTTTTACACACAGTTACAGTCTTTTTTCCACAAGCATTTTCTTCTTTTCCACCATCGACATTTACTCTAATAATACTGTACATGAGAGCTTGTCTAAAGACCTTAGAATTAATCAATAACTTGTAGCTGCTGTAAAATAGACAATTCTATCTCTTAATTGATTTTATGAATTATCCATTGTTTCTTACGAGAAAATTCATTTTCCAATTGACTTTGTGACGAAGAAGAAAATTAGAATATCACCGATGAAAACATACGCACGTAAAGAGGAGATATGAAGAAAATTAATAGACATAAAATAATGAAAAAAAAAACGTTGTAAATGTTACAAAAGTATTCCCCCTTTTCCAAGATTTATTCTCTTAATTACCATGTTAAGATTAGCTGTAAAGACATCCAAAAAAACTGAGTAATATCTATACATTTATAAATTCTACATAGGAGATAAAAAAAAACTTAGATAGAGAATGAAAAATTTTATTGAAAAAAAAGATTAATGAAAAGATAATTACATTAGCAAATATGTTTTCACAGCCAATTATTTCACGAGGACTTTTCTCTACTTTAAAATTCTCTTTTTCGCCATATATTAATAAAACCGCAGATCATCAAGAATAACGGTAGACTTCTTTCTACAATATTAACTACTTTTTTCTCCACAATATCCTCGTGATTATAGGATATGTAAAATTATTAGAGACGTAAGATGTATGTTCTATCCCTTTTGTCGCTCTTTTAAAAACAATTTTAAAATGGTTGAAAAAAGAAGAAAAAAAACAAAAATTGTGATTAATTGTAAAGCTACCAATTGCCTTGCACTTAACATTATTCATTTTGTAAATATATTTAAAATATTTATATGATTATATTGATGAATGGTGAAAAACCTGGCGTTTTATGATAAAAAACCCAACATCTCGTGAAACAGACAAGAGTTTACCAGTTAAAAAATTTACCCGAGAATGGTTAAAATCAAGAAAAAAAAAACCTATGAACGTGTTTGAAGTAAAAAAAACTACATCTTTTACATAATGCTAAAAAATACACTCTAAAAATAGATAGTTCAATTTTTGAAGAATGAAGTGAAAGAAAATCATCTTAAAAATAACTTTTGGCGATGAGAAAGTGGCAAGAATAGAATCATTGGGAGTGACAATGTCGAGGAAACCTCTCCTAAACAATGTATTGTAAAAAGAAAAATGTTTTGTTGTGTGTGAAAGACAAGCAAATGATAAACTCCATCGTAATTCCTTTTCTCAAAAGATAAAACTTCAAAGTAAGGTGCTTATTTTCTACTGTACAGCATCACTTTTCTCTAATTTTCACAGGAAAAAAATGAATTAAATAGCAAAGATAAATAATAAAAAAAAATGAAATGCAAATCTCTCCCCTAAGCTCGACTCGAAGTGAAGAAAGAAATCTCTTAAGCGAGAATTGTGTAAAAAATAAGCGCCTCTCTTTTTTACACGACTTGTGGTGTACTGATATAACTTTTAAGATATTATTCGTGGAAGTTGGTGAAGAAAAAATGTGCAAAGATTTATAAAAATGGAAATCTCTCTAACTGAATTGAAAGGATAACCAAAAAAAAATAGTCACTCATCCATGGAATACTGTATATTGCGTTATAAGGACCAAATTAAACCTTCTTTTTAAAATATTATATTTAGATGACAAAAAAATCGATTAAAGTGTTATAAATATGGGTAAAAGAAAGCCACTTGTAATTAATAATTCGGAAATAATGTAATGTTACTTTTAATCTCTGTTTTTATTTCAACAACATAAATTATATATTGTAAAATCTACTATGGATTAACGATTATAAACCAAGAGGTGAAGGAAGAAGCATTTGTATTGATTAAATGCAATCACATAAACTAAATGAAAAGATCATAAATATGGAGATATTGTCGCAAAATGGAGAGTCTTTGGGGAGTATAAATTGTGTCGTCGTGATACAAGTAATACATTGAGCGAAGTAAGTACTATTGTACTTGACTAGTAGCAAATAAAAGGAAGTCTAATAGGACAACTGTCATTTCACTCTCACGCGTCAACCATTCACAACTTTTCCATTCCATTCGTTCGAAATATTCACCCTCATCTGCATCAGTGGCGTAGTTACATTGCTGTTCCCTTGATTGTGTACAAAGCTTGCATATGCAAATGAATGATATGTAGATATTTTAATCCAGCTTCTGAAGGCCCAACATAAATTTAATACTTTTCACAGTTATATTACGCCACTGAATTGCGCCTTCATTTCCGTCACTGTGCCGTTGAAGTTTAATTAACGCGAACAATTGAATATTTCCCCATCGCGCAATGCAAGAAAGTAATTTCTCTATTTATTGCGCTCTACATTGTCGCTGCTCCTAAAATATGCCCATTTCGCAACGAATGTCTCTCGCCAGACGATAAAAGTCAGCCATGCGCGAGCGCTTATCAATCATTTGCAATTACTAATATTCCTATAGGAAATAAAAGACCCATGATATTTTAGGAAAACATCCAATTTATTGATCACTAATGAATCATTAAGGATTCATCTTTCTCTCAATTAGGTACTCTCAAATTATATCGAAGCAATGGTGGAGAAATTTATGTATAATCCTTGCAATCTCTCTTTTTCTCTCTCTCAATCACCCACAACTCCTCAAAGATACAACGCGACCCACTGTCAATCACTTTTCACGGTGAGACAGTCATTTTGAGCCCTCACAGGTGAACAGCGGCCGCTCGATAAATTGAATATAAATACCCTACGCATGTCTTTGCCTCCAAATCTCATTTACAAATAAATTATCATGTTACTTTAGCTAGATTTTGGATTATTGGCATGTCTTGCGGTCGCTGACTCATCATTAGAGATGCATATTCTTCGTCGTGGCGCTCAGCTCATCCATGTTCTTTCGCGCCGTCACTGTGATATCGTCCAGTGACTTCTTGGTCTGTGTAATGATCTCGTCGGTGCTCTTGCAGGCCGACTCAGCGATGCCCTTCATCTCGGAATTTAGCCTCCCGATCACCCACTCCAGTCCCTGGCGCCCCTTGCCCGCATTGAAGCTGATCCGCGACGTGAGCAGCTCCTCCATGTAGTGACTGAGCGGCACTCCTTCCACTGTCACTGTCGCCTCCTGCTTCAGCAGCGTCTTGCCCGGCTCCGAGGGATGTGGCGTATAGTAGAGCACCTCGTCGAGCGAGATGAATTTGCAGAATGTGAGATTTATCGTTCGCAGCATCATCACGCGACTCCGAGGGTCAACGGTGGATTTTTCACTAGCATAACAGATTTTTGCCGTGCCGATTAACTGCAAGAGAAGAGGAAAAGATATTAATATCCAAATTCTGGAGGACTTTGCGAAGGATTCTCATGAGAAGAGCGTGAAAGACATGCATAAAGACGATCGGTAATTTACTTCTAGCGGAAAAACCAAAGTAGATCAAAGTAGTAGCAAATGATAAGGCAGTGAGAATATCTGACTAAAGACATAAAATAGCACAAGGAGAAAATATTTTAAATACTTTCACCAATTCCGCAAAAAAAAAACAATTCCTTCACCCAATTGCGATTGAGTCAAGGTGAAATCTTTTATAAATTATTGTACATTCTACCTCGCTTTTCAGGAATATCATTCTTTTATGTAAAATACAAGATGTGATTTAATCTTAATGACGACTGATAAGTTGATTGCAATGTCGTAATTGCGCATCTTTAAATAGACATAGAAAGCACAAAGAGTCGTTTCACCCTTAGAGGTTTTGTTAGTTATCACCGTGACTCCAATCTTAAATCCCCGCTTGGAAATAAGCCGGCGGCCAGCGGGAAAGCATGCAAAGTGCTGATAACGCAATATTATCAGTGCAGACGCAAAAAAGTGATGAAGCGGGCCAAAGGCTACATATGTGGGAAGATTGCTACCTTCTGCGCCCACTTGGGGAAGTACCACTTGGAGCTGACGAGTCTGTGGGTGTGCAGGACACCGTTGACCACTTTCCGGTCCACCACGTCTGTCCCGATGACGCCCTGATTCATGGGGTTGGGGTACTTTCGCCACGCCGCCTGCGTCACCGTCTCCCACGGGTGGCTGCAAATGCAAAAGGTGCAGTTAGTCATTCTGCATCATTGTGTGGGCAGGGAAATGCATAAAGCAACCCAGGAAATGCGGCGAAAGGGGTGGAAAGGGCAATGATGGCGGGGGTTATGTAAAAGTGACAGCCCTAGGTGGAAAGTTCCAGACCTTGAGATTCATGCGCAAAATACTCACTTAAAGGTATGTTCCGATGTCCAGATTTTCATGGCTAACTTTTCACTAGATCACTAATATTGATTAGATTGCGCAATCACGTGCGAATCATTGAAATTCGGGGAGAAATGCGGAGAGGAAAATGTGAACCCACCTCCAGAGCGCCACTGACAGCTAACGTGTGAGCGCGCTCCAAGCGGCTAACACTGGCATCCATGAGACAGAGTTTCCGGAAAAGTGTCTCATCTGGCAACTCGCGGCCCAATGTCTGCAGCAAAAAATGAAAATACGAGGATTTCTCGCCAAATTAGCCTGTATTTGGCTGGTTCTCGTATTCTTCTGTGAGTTTATCTTCTACTACATTGTCATTGGTCAGGTGAGTTTCCCTTAAATTGTTGTTTGTATGTAATTCACTTGATCGCGCTGCTTCAGTGTTCCTGGCCGGATGACACCGAGAATGGGCGGGATTCTCCGGTGAAGGTGATGCTGCTGGCCGATACTCATCTGTTGGGCCCCTATCGAGGGCACTGGTTCGACAAACTTCGCCGAGAGTGGCAGATGCAGAGGAGTTTTCAGACAGCAGTCAATCTCTTCAATCCGGACGCAATATTCGTCCTCGGTGATCTGTTTGATGAAGGAAAGTGGGTGAATGATCAGGAATTCCAGGATTACGTGGATCGATTCTACAGCATCTTCTCAATTCCCTCAACCACACAACTTTTTGGCATCGTTGGGAATCATGACATTGGATTCCACTATCAAGCACATCCGAAGCTGGTGAAACGCTTCCAGGGAGAGTTTCACACGACCGGAGTGTCTCTTGTGACTCTCAAGAATGTGCACTTTATCCTCGTGAATTCCATCGCAATGGAGGGCGACGGCTGCAATCTCTGCACAGAGGCTGAGAATCAACTGAGAAACATTTCGCGCATCCTGAAGTGCACCAGAAACGTGGGCAATTGCAAAGGCGTGCCCACTCTGGCAAGCTACAGCAAGCCCATTCTACTGCAACACTATCCGCTGTACAGAGAGTCGGACAGGGATTGCCAGGAGCATGATCCGATTCCTCTGGAGCTCTATCGAGAGCGCTGGGAAGTGCTTTCCCAGGAGTCTTCGGATCTCTTAGGAGAGCTCGTCGATCCCCGGATAGCCTTCTCAGGGCACAGTCACAACTACTGTCGTCTAGTCAGCCGCCTGGGCATCACAGAATACACGATTTCCTCCTTCAGTTGGAGGAACAAGAACAACCCAAACTTCCTCCTGGCCAGCTTCACACCCAACACACAAGAGGTGCGGAAGTGCAACATGCCCAAAGAATCCACCGTGATCACCATGTACGCCATCGGAGGAATGCTGTCTGTGATTCTGGCCACTCTCAAGTGGACCTGCGTCAACCGTCGTCATACGAAAATCTTTTGAAAGATCCGGCTTTTCCGGACGTCAAATGCACACACATAACCCTATTCAGCAGCCAACAGTGCTGATAAGAGTTATCAATAATTGGGTTTAATTTGCTGCTTTTTACGCTACAGAAGAGTCGAGGAGGCGTCAGAGATCAGTGAAACGTCTTCCAGACAGTGCACTCAATAGTTTCCGTGAGTAGAGTCAGTTTTATTGACGATTACAAAAGTAGGGCACAATAGAAAGGCAAAAACAACCGGATTTTCTTAATTTTTACACATTTTTCGCTAAATTTCATGTTGTATTTAAGTTTTAAACAAGTACTTAACTGTATCGGCAGAAATTCTGCTATTTCCAGGCGAGGTTTTGTCCTCCAGTCATAGAAAAGGTATTGTTTACATTCATTGTCTACACTTGTTGACGAAAGTATATAAGCGAGAAAAAAGCTCCGGAAAGGGTTTCTCACCAAAGAGGGAACCGCATTTGTTCTGTACATATTTTTTTTGTATATTTTACAAAATATATAATAAAGTCATGTCTGTAAAAAGAAACTGGTGAAAAGTGATCTCAAGCATTTGTACTCGAAAACAAAGAGACCTTGAGGTGAATTTGGAGGTCAATGGCCTTTTGGTCATCCACAGAATTTCTGCAAGTGTGAAAGCAAAGTGAGAAATTGATGAGCCAGCCAGACGCTCAAAATCGCTCTCAGGAGACCAATTCTTCGGACATTGTGGCTCGTGTTGAAAAATAGTGGGTTTATCTTATCTGTGGCAAATGAACGATGACGATTGCCCTCAATTTCGTCGGATTCTCAGAGAAGATTAATGCATTTTCGCCTCCTCTGTCTTTCAGAACATGCGTCTGGTGATTTTGGACACGACGGAATGCGTGGGCGAATGGTCGGCGAGGTATGTGATGAAGAGGATCAATGATTTCCACCCGGGACCAGACAAGTACTTCGTCCTGGGCCTGCCCACGGGCAGCACGCCGCTCATAATGTATAAGAAGCTGATAGAATTCCATCAGCAAGGCAAGATTTCCTTCAAGTACGTCAAGACATTCAACATGGACGAGTATGTGGACCTGCCGAGGGAGCATCCGGAGTCCTATCACTACTACATGTTCAACAACTTCTTCAAGCACATCGATATTGACCCCAAGAATGTGCACATCCTCGATGGAAACGCCCCCGATTTGGCAAAGGAGTGCCACAAGTTCGAGGAGGAGATCACAGCTGCGGGCGGAGTGGAACTCTTCATCGGCGGCATCGGTCCTGATGGACACATCGCCTTCAATGAGCCCGGTTCTTCTCTGGTCTCGCGGACTCGCGTGAAGACACTCGCTCAGGACACTCTGGAGGCCAATGCGCGCTTCTTTGGCCACGACATAAACAAAGTGCCCAAACAGGCGCTGACGGTTGGCGTGGCGACTGTGATGGATGCCAAGGAGGTGATGATTCTCGTCACGGGAGCTCACAAGGCCTTCGCTCTCTACAAGGCGATCGAGGAGGGAGTGAATCATATGTGGACTGTGAGCGCCTTCCAACAGCATCCCAATACTCTCATGCTCTGCGATGAGGACGCAACTCTGGAGTTGCGCGTGAAGACGGTCAAGTACTTTAAGGTAAGTTACTTTTCAGTAGTTTTTCACGGTGATGGAATCATTCTGAAGCGTAGCCAAGAGTTTTCGATGGCAATTATGACCAGTTTTAGGTTTTGGGCCACAAAAGAATGAGCTGAGTTGCATGAAACTTCTATAAATCCTAAACCTTTCACAGATTTCCTCTCTCAGTCCGTGGGGAATATTTTATCCACATCTATAGTATTTCTTCTTTCTACATCTCTTCTGGATTTCCATTGTGTATAAATTAAGAACGGAAAAATAATTGCTGTAAAGTCGGGAGAAAATATCATATAACATAAGACAGTTTTTAGCCTCCGGCTATGCTTTATCGTTCTGTAGTTCCTCTCAAAGATTTATGGTCGTTTATTAAGCAAATTAACACCTTATCTTCATATGTACAAACACAAACTCTGTCGCTAATCTTCCTTAAAATCTGCCTGGTAAATTCATGGTGAAAGTGACGGTGACGGATTCATGAATTGATTAATGCGAAAGAGATCTAAATTCGATGTTCGTGATGTTCTCCATTAGGCATTGAGTGATCTTCATAACAAACTTATCGCCAATGAGGGCAGGAATCGCCGTGGACAATCTTAGAGGATTTTGTGTGGTAATATTTCAATATTTTACCGCCTCGAGGGCGATTTTTGAGCTAAAAATCATCAAAATTGTTCAGTGTCTCATACAAAAATTTGTTCTTCTCTTTAATTTTGAATGTCTTTTGAAGATAATTTCCTTTTTAGGGCCTCTATAACGTGCACAAGAAGTTGATTGAAGACTCATAGTGAAGATGGAGCAGAAGTGCGCTGAATGGACAATTAGGTATAAATATTACTCAAGGTGTTAGATAATATTTTGTTGGTTTATTTTCGCAATTCCACAGAAAATATGGTATTTTTAAATATACTTTAATATAATCTCTTTATCTTCTTATGATACTAATCAAAAAATATATTTTTCAAACATCAAAAAGATATCTTTAACATTGAGATAAATTGCGTTTTTTTTCACTCCTCTATATTAATAACTATTTAATGGGCATATTGTGTTTTTTTTTCATTAGGTTTTCTTTATAAATAAGTGGATTGTGAATAGAGAAAGAGAAATGTGGAAATTCTGTTTCTTTTTTCTTCTTACTATTATTCTGTTCTTTTTTTTTGATTGTATGTTTGCACTTTTGCCATTTTCTCAAGATTGTGTCACTTTTCCACCGGATTTCTATAACTTTTTCAATTCATACAAAAGAAAACATATTGTAATAAAAAATATTATTACTTGGTCCACAAAAGTATTCACCTTCTGTCGTCATTATCTTTTTGGATTTTATCATCATTTTTTGATTCCACTTTATTCCGATAAATTCACTGTTCTCTATGGAATTTTCTTTAACTATTGGTTTCTCTTTTATAATAAAGATATTTACCTACGGAATTACATATCGTCGCTTTTCCATCTAAATATCATTACACTACAATTTTCCTAGTGGTTATTCTTTCACTATTCATAGTTAAGATAGAAGTGTTGGTGATAAGCAAAAGTTGAGAAAATACGCATTTTCTAACCAAAAAATGCACGAACACACTTTGCAGAAAGTCGATATATTCTGATGACTAGGAAAGAGTGTAAAACGACATTTATAAATGCACATAAAACATGGCATGGCGAAATTATTTAAAATATTCATTGCTATTTTCCTATGGGGTTGAATTTCTATAATAAAACGCATCGTCGAGCACTAAAATATTGAAATAGTGCATGGTTCGTTGAGAATTGCCAATGAATTTGCTTTTATGGCCAGCATAACAAGATTGGAAGTTTCTCCTATTTATAATTGACGATCACACTCTCTCTATCGGGTAAAAATGGATTGTTTCCTCTAACAACTGTGCAATTGACAATTTCACTTTATCCTTTCTGGTTTTCAACTAACACACGTGCGACTTTGGAGATCAAGACTCTGGATATTGGAGATTATTTTGATGTGTTTAAGAGACTTTGTAGACAACGCCGATGAGGCGCAATCCATTTTTTTTTGAGAATTCTATCCAGAATCGATCCCTCAATCAACTGATAAATTGTCGATAAAAGTTTATAACTACAACTGACCTACCTCAATTTTTTTTCTATATATGTGCATCATAAAATTGTAGTAATTCTTAGTTTGTTACGCCTCACACTTCTCTTTACTTTGCCTATGAAACACAGTGATTTACGCCTTGGTTCAAAAAATGGGGTGGAGGAAAATATTGCTTCTCAATTGAAATTGTTACTCATCGCCTTAATTGAATTGTTGGGCATTACATGTTCACTCTCACTCCTTTCTCTATCATGCCACCCAATTGGGTTACTCTCAGAGATAGTTCGGTCGGGAGACGCAACACAAGAGACCCATATTTTTGTACAGTGAATTGCGTCGCCTCTTTGCCGGCCAGGGTCCATTTGTATCCTCGCCCGTGAGTGCAGCGCTCCGCTCTGAAAAGACACAATGGGCAACTTAGAGAAGTTTACCAAAGACTTTTGGCAGCTATTCATTCTACCAAGATAGATCTCCTGCTGTGGCATGAACTCCTGCATCTCAGCCAGGAGGTGGGCGATTTCTTGTGAGTCCTTGTTAATGCTGCACAACTCCTCTTGATTGAAGTCCGGTGTTATTTGTTTGCACAGAAGGATCTGACTTATTACATTGCCGAGATTCGACGGACCAGCACGGTTTTCTGCAAAACACATTCAAAATGCGTTGGTTAAAGTCACTGCACATAGTTTCTATTTGCTTTAATATTGACTCTTTTGCTGCCATCAAATTGTATGTAGGTGCACAAAATGTCAATAAAACAATAGTTGTGCTTTCACAATCATTGCGTTCAATAACTGATGGTGCGTAGCATAAAACTACTCAACGTTAACTATGCGTTAGAACAAGGCTATGGAAATGGTTGATATAATGAGAAGTGTGACGGAGTTTGAAAAAAATGTATGAATGAGTAATTAAAAACCTGTTAAAAAGCCCTACAACTCCCGGTGCTTTTTGAACAGTTCAGTGCCTTCATAGTGTAAAAACATAAATCAAATTGCAAAATTTTCACTACCAATTTTTTTGATGTTTTATTTTACTCAGTGCACACACAAAATGTGACAACATGCAATTTTACAGTTCTTTGCACACAAAAATGCTTGGGAATGCAAATAAAATGTTCCCAATTTGCATGTATGTTCGACTCACCATAGTATCCGGACATGTCCATGGGTATCACTTGCACTAGGCGGTAGCTTTTGATGAGTTCTCGCAGGAAAAGTTGCGAAAGATAGAAGAGGAGCACTAAATGTGGATTATCAGCAACGATTCCTTCGGCTACAGCTCTGCAAGGAGGAGAAGCCATCACTAATAACTTTCCATTTGAAAGTCTCAAAGTCGGGGCGCACCATTAATTTAATGAGACGGGCTGCGGGGTGGACGAAAGGCACGCTAAATCCCTATTCTTTCTTTGAACAGATCCAAGTGGCGCCTTTGTAATGCTGTTTCATTCTTTTTTCGGGGGGCCAAATGACTCTCGCTCTTGTGGTGGATTGAAAAAAAAAACAGCACGAAAGACTTGCAATTTGCTGAAAATCCCCCGCTATTATGTGAGGATTTGGCCAATTCCAAATTGGGCGGTTTAATCAAAAGAAATTATATGCCACTTTGTGGATACATTCAGTCAAGTAGTCAAATTAGTCATTACAGGGGCGAATTAATATCACTCTCGCATTCGTGTTGTTTCAACAAACTCTTTGAGATGTGTATTAGTAGCGAAGGATAATATTGACTCAAGCCTTCTCACATGGTTCTGCGTGAAAGGAATTCATTACACGCTCCCCATCTGAATATTCGATTAATTTTAATGAAGTGCCTAATCAATTCCACATGATAAATTGAATTTAAACACTAGCTCAATTTTTTCTCATTCTCTCCCAGACGGGGAGCAAGATTAATTTCTCTTTGGTGATGCCCATCGATAAAAAGTGGCTGGGATTTGTGGGGTGTGAGACCTTCATTTCCCTGTCAGCGGAAGCAATAGGAAATTAGGCACAATTTTCGGGGTGTTTTTGTATACAAATTTTGCGTCCATTTCCCTAAGAGATTCCCCAAACCTGAGAGGTGTAATTTGATAGGGGAGGAAATTATAGGGGCAATTATCACTAACGAAAACTCGTTACACTGATTTTTCCACCATCTGTAGCTTTGGAACTTGATGAGAAATCACTCATACAATTTCTTAATGAATTCCTTACACTCCGGAATGAACATTAATCCCAAAGTGGAGTGAGACTAAAACGCCAGGAGAGTTAATAATTCCGTGGGCTGAAGACTCCAAATGAATTATCGATTTTGTCAATGTGATGAAGATTGCTGGGAAAGTTCTCAGAATGATACGCTTTATTGTGCGGCAATTTATACTTTTATTGTTTCGATATTCGGCTTAAGAGACTTCAGCAAATTTTATACATTTCTCTAATGTTAAATCATTTTCGCAATTATTGAGCAAAAACTTTTGGAATTATCATAATTAAATGCATTGTGTGGATTTTACTTATGGACGTGACATTTGTGGATAATTAATTTCTCGTATTTCGCGGAAACGTGCAATTGACATTTCGACAAGCGCCAATTCTCAGTATTTTCGACCAGGACACAGAATCATGTGCAGTGATTTGTCAACCACATCGAAGCGCATGCAATTGAGAAGGTAACCTGTATTTCAAGCAATGCTGAATTCCAACGAACACAGGCACGTTCAGAAGCTTATCGAGTGATTCAAAAGACTTGAGGAAGCAACTTTGCCATATCCAGAAGATAAAGCTACACTGACAAAAAAGAGAATTTTGGAGAGATGGTAATTCCACCGCAATAACACGCTGAAGACATGCCTGAACTGCAGAACATGGTTGAAATATAGATCGCAAGCCTTTCACTGAAGTACAACAGATTCAGCAACAGAATAAATTTTTACGTGTTTTCACGAAAATTGGGTCAAAAGCTCCCTCCTGTGGGCCATAGATTGTGGCTCGTTAAGATCTTAAACTCAAATCTTTTATTTCTGCGTTCGGAGTTTTGAACATCTTGGATATGAAGTCGATCTTGATAATCGTAAAGTTTCGTTACTATATTGTCAAAGACATTTTCCAGTTCAGAATTGGAGATCGAATGTTGGAGAATTTATTGAAATACTTCATATTTCCTTTTTACCATCTCTGAAGTTTATTGTATAAAATACGCCACATCCTGTATCCTCACTGCTTCTCTCGAGTCCCTTTGCCTCAATTCAATGGCCCAGAACTATCAAAATAGCCAAATTGTCCAAGTTTTATGGATTTAAATGGTCACCCCATTTACTTCCTTCAATACCCAATTCCCTTCACAACATTGGAAATCAATAATTCAGGACACGAAGTGCACGGAAAAATACTGTCGCAATGAGGAGTTTATTTTACGGTCAATTTCAGACCGGCAAATCTGAATGAGAATGGCAAATATTGCCTTTAAAAAGAGTTGGGTTTGCGCCATATCGTTTGATTTTTAATTCAAATCGACATGAATTTCAAATGATGCTTAACACTTGGCTGCGGAATAAATGCAAAATACACTCCGCCGTGAAAAGTGTGTGTGTGTGTCTTTAGCATTGGGGTTGAGACGCTGTGGGGGAGTCGTAAAAAAATCAAGTATGTGTTTTGGCTTCCAAATGAACATACCACAAGAGATAGAGGAAGTGAAAGCTCTCCATGCAAAATTGATTTCTCTGCCTTCTTACGTGCGATGCTTTTGCCTCTCTGGAGGAAACAACCGTACGCATGGTGGCAAAAGAAGAGCTCAAGGATTCCCTGCCAACATTATTCCCTGTGATGGATTTAGTGCGTGAAAGTACGGCTAAGGGAGAGAATGTGAGATACGCTGATTTATTTTCTATACCGCCAAGATTAAATTTTGGGATAAAAGTGCCATGAAAGGGGAATGATGATCATTTTTTAGCAGGAAAAATCAACCTGAATTATAGATGAGAACCATGACATTCTCATAAGCCTTCAAACCTCCACATTTTTTGCGCTTTTATCCCTTCATCTATTTCATGAATTATGTGTACACTTCTCCAGTCACAAATGAAATTTACAAACCATGAGACAACTTCACCTTCCCACTGACACATTCATAAAAATTTTAATTCACTTTAATATCCTCCTGAATTATTCAATACCGCCTTACTTTTTTTCCTTTCTCGCGCACTTCTCACATCCAAATACCCAAGGATGAAATGCTCGAGTAAAGACGTGAGAGACATTTCCAGAAGCAATTGTGAAAAGAAACTTTCCACACAGTAATTTTTCTTTCATGACAATTGGTGAATTTAAACAAACACCTTAATTAAATTAGGAAGAAAGTTTACACTGCCTGAGAGATGTTTAAGTGCACGTAAACTTTAAGGAGATTAAGCATGATTGAATGCAATTTAGAAGTGCTTTTGTACCATAATGAACAGGAACGTGGGAAGTTTGAGAAGCAATGTCGGTGGACACTCGAAGGTATGGAAGAACTTCTCTATAATAATTAAATCGTTTCGAGACTAATTCATGAGATGTGAAATTTGTTGAAAGCTTTAAGTGGCAGAGACGGCTTTAAGAAACCGTTTAACTCCTGCAAAAGTCCTTCTGAATGTTTAATTTGGGCCGATTTTCACGCAAAAGATTCGCTGTCAGAGGATGCTTTGCAACCGATCTCACGGAAATTCCCTGCTGAAAGTACACCGCAATCTCTCTCCTCCGCCTTCTGCGAAAAGCTCCGCTTTCCGTAATTCATCAGCCAAATGCGAAATACAATTGCGAGTGGTATTAAGTTATTTTCCTGCGGACTCCACTCCTTCTCTTTCCCCGTTAGCCAAAAATAAATGGTTGAGCCCCATTAAATTCAGCCCCAAAATACAGACACACATCCAATGATGATGAATGAGTGTCGTATGCAGTCGAGTGTAAATATTTGTTTTGGATGAAATTAGGTGTCAAAGACCGGCCAATGTTGGGAAAATGGGTGGAATATTAATATGATCAGGGTCTCGCCTACAATTCAGCCATATAACACATCATGGGATGTCGCATCTTTTGATACACACTGATGGTGCCGCCAAAGTGCGGAGGAGTTCATGAGAGAGATCAAACACCCCCATCCCAGCGCCTGGCACGCCAGAAAACTCTCCCGCCACGCCGCGATGAGGGTGAACCCTTGTTTTTGCCAGTAAACAAGGCGCACACCCAGTGAATGTGTGCGTAATTAAAATGTGAATGAGGAGTTGGAGGCTGAGTCTCCATGGAGCTAATTATGTGTGCGAGAAAATAATTACTCAAGAATTCCTATTATTATTATTCCACTTGACATTCCCGTCTAATATAGGCACACGTCTTCTCCGTGAGAGAGCATGATAAGGATTTCCAAAGAGTGGCACAGAAACACCGGCAAGGCATATTTTCATAACACATTTTCCACAGAACTTGGCAAATGACAGTGCCTTTCCTCTTCTTATTTATAGACATGGGAATCCTATACGTCTTGATTTGTTTTATAGCAGCAATACGTCACAAATCAGGTGTTTACAGACGCTTGGGGGCAATTTTAATTTTAAAGTCATCTCACATCTCACAAAGTGTATATTTACACCTAATCACAGTGTGTGTGTCTATAAATTAAGTCACGACTATAAATTGGCCAAATATGTTGTGTGAAAATATCTCTTTTAAAATATTGCGGAAGATGCTTGATTTCCCCGGCAAAAGGTTGAAGAGGGAATTTAAGGGTCTGCCGCACTAAATAAATATATCAATTTGTGGCGCTTTGAGGAGAGGCGTCTCAAGAGCCAATGGGGGGCGGGCAGAGAGTAAAGAGCGTAGTAAATTTGTTAATGTCAAGCCTCAAGGAGCGGGGAGGGTGGGTGAATTCGGGGGTCTATTTCATATCCTTTTTCAACATAAGCCGCACATCGCATAGTAAAAGTCAATTAGATGAGGCCACACACTATGAGAACCCCGTGTGTGTATTTGAGTTGATTTGTAGTACTTAATACCTTCATTATCTGACTTCATAAATAATGCATGAGGGAAGGTGTCCTCGGTATTTATCATGTGGATACAGTGATGTTTTCACTCCCCGCCGCTAAATTATTAACCAAATATTGCGGTGCATTCCTAAAGCGATATACTCACGTTCTAATTTGTGGCAGAATGAGGGAGGATGTGTGTCGGCAGGCTTCCACGAGGGAGAATCGGATCTTGCGGATCTTCTCACGCAGCTCTGGGCAATCCTTCGACTGACCCACGTGAATGAGCATATCACGAAAGAGCGCCACTTGACTGTTTATGTCCACGATGAGCTGCAAAGAGGGGGGGAAAGAAGAAAAATTACCCTTTTGATTACTCTGTGGTTTCTGCCTCAGACTAATTGATGTTGTCACGTCTTGACTATTTGGGACAATCCAGCCCATTTACCAGTTCACTTGCCTGGTAAATCTTCTCTACGGGTCCTCTCTACGGGTTGAGAAATTTAAACCATTTCACTGCCATTAACGGCAACGGAAAATGTCCTAATACCAAATTTATAGTGATACTTTCCAACCAAACCACGTACATCACAATAATTGGATACTCCTCGTTTGGTTGGGAGCAAATTGACCGGAAATACAGACAATTTGAATTACGAATTGGTTGGAATTTCCCGCTAAATACATTCCGCCCACAGAGCCGCGGAATTTCACAGGAAGGATTTATCAACATTTTTTCTAAATACCCCAAAATCCCCACTGGCGTGCAGTATTACTCTTTTTAATCTTCCATTTTACACCAAGTGCAAAAAAATCGCACTATATTCACTTTCCACAGTTTAGAGAGAATTTTACTTTTTGTAGCGAAAAAATCTCAGCATGCGCTCAGATTTAGTCTGTTTTGTGTCTATTTTCTCTGTGGGAAAACGGAAATAATCCACATGGGGGGAAATTTGGGGGTGATTTACGCAAAGAGCAGTTTTCCGGAGAGAAGCGAAATCCCTCACGTGATTTGCTTCACTCTGCACATTTTGTGGAAAAGATGTAAATTAATTTCTGCGGTAGTTCGTATTGCACTGTAATTCATCAGTGTAATTCTATTGCCATGTTTTCGGTTGAAAATTATTCAAGTGCAACCTTATAGCGCCAGATGGGCAATTTTCTCGTGATTTTGCTCACTTTTCGCCGAAAAGAGTTGCTAAAATTACAGTTGAAAGATTACATTCACACACAACAATCCACAATTCAAGGCACAATTATAGGAAAGTGCGTTCATTTTAATATTTTATTGGCAATGCATCATCTAAGAAAATGAATAATTCGAATGGAAATCCAAACTTTGAAAACTATTCTAAAATGGAATGCTAAATGGCTCATGAATATTATTTGCTATTCAATCATACCATTCAGAATTGCAATTTTAAAGTTTTTGCATTTCATCAGGATTTTCATTTAACACAGAAATGATTTTCAAACATCTAAAGTTTTTATTTTTTATCTTTGAGTAAGATTTCCAACTTGGTGTGGAAATAAAGACTAGAACATTTACATTAGACCCAGATTCAGTGTTACCGCTCTCGTATTTCTGAGTTTACGACTTCTTTACTCATTCAAGCTTAAATATTTCGTCTATAAATCCCCCTTTCATCCAACTCTAACCACGTTGTAGTGGCTGAAGGTAGGATTTTGTGTTGTGCGAGGTAACATGTGGGGGGTTTTCAATATTGGTACAGAGTATGTGCAAATAACAAAGCAATTCTGGGCGAGGGATCACTATAGAGGGTGAATGCAGTGGACCAAACACATGATTTCCATTATAATTTAATTACACTCTTTCTCTCCCACATAATTACATTAAATTATTTATAACGTCCATCCTATTCACACGGCGGAACACGTCTCTGGCAAATTGGATGAGTCATAAAAGGGATGAGGGAGAGTTTTTATGCCACCCAGAGACATTCATTTAATCTTTCATTGCGATCATGATGACACCCACAGTGCAGTGCATGAGAGTTTTGTTCATATTTCATCTTTCTCTAGCATGGATTCTGCCATTACATGTGTGGTTAATGCAATAAGGAAAATAAACGTGTCTTTCTTCACATTGCAATCAAGGATGTTTAGTGCTGAGTGGAAGTCATGTATCGGTGTTTATTTACCGTGTACACATTTGAGATTTTGGTCAGTACTTCATCTGGTCGCTGATGCGATGCCAACATCTTGATTCCACTTCTCTTTTGTAGCTCTCATCAGACACTCTATTCCATTGATTTATCACAATCACTCCACTGTAATTCCATTTGCTGTGCGGTTCGTGAAATTTCCACTTCTGGGGGTTTGTTTAAATTTTTGAATATTTCAGAGAGAGAGAGAGTATATCAAATAGACTTTTATTGCACGCCCATGGGTAAATTCTTTGGGGTGCCGCAGCTCGACCCAAATCCGTCGCTTCAGGTGGGCAAAATTTAAAATTACAATTACACATATCCGGAAATATTTCGCCATCTCTTATCTCAAATGGCGATGTTCAGTCTGAGAGTGGAATTGGGGCATTTTTGTATACAGGGGACGACATGGAGAGAAGGCTCGCTCGAAATGGACATGAAAGAATTGAATTATAGCGAAACTCTGTTGTATTTTAATTAACTCCCCATTTTGGTATTGTTTGTGGTGGGAATTGTGGGTGAAATGAATCATAGGGGTGAATGGAAAAAAAGGAAGAGTCCAACCACCCTTCCAATTACTCCACATTCGACGGGAAAGTGCATGGACTTTGTAATGAATGAGGTGGCTATAGTTGTGGATAATGGGAGAAATACGAGCATACCTGGGAAGGCTAAAATCCTTTTATTTTACTCTCTTCTTTCATGTATTGTGTACAGTCTTTACTTAGGATCCAATCGATAATGATGAAAATGGGCATTATTATTGCTTTCACTCTGTTTTGGGGCTAAATTGAAAAATTATATAATCTTATTAATATTATTATCGAGAGAATAGCAATATTTTTCCTCCATATCTGAAAATTGATAGGTAATTTCGCCTAAAATATCATCCCACATTCTAACAACTTATGACATGAGTAAATAAAATCTATTGTGCAGATAATTAGCCATTCTGTCAGAGGATGTTTCTCCTAATTAATATACGCTGCACACGCTGTGATTTGGTAATGTCCAATTTCCCATGCAAACCGAAGTACGAGGGTCACTCAATATGTCACGCTACTTTCAAATGCTTGTTTCCAAATTGCATGTTGTATTTTCTGAACAATAGTCTCATCGTAAATGACTTGTCGTTGAATAAACGACAGATAAAATTTGGTGATCATCACAGCCAAAGTTTGCCGCATTTCAAAGTACCCAACAAAAAGCGTCTGGCGAAACTTATTTTTGGGGTGACCCTCACACCGCGTGATATATTTCTGCGGTGGGTGGAAATGATTCTAAAATAATATGCATAGGAAATTGAAATGTTTCGTGATGGCCGGATGGAGTGTTATTGAACATTTTTATGGTCGAATATGTTGCGCTTTTGCCGCATATTTCAGGTGTTTTTTCATCCGTCACTCTTTCCGCCTCTTTCCGCAGCGTTTCTCCACACTTTTAAATGGCGATGCTGCGACCGAAAGGCTCCCCGTGGAGCGGATATGTAATTATGAAGCCATTATTGGGAGATGAAGTGCGGGAAATCTGTGGCAAAATGTTATTGATTTGTGTTGAAGGGCAGGTGACGTGCTTTCAATGGGGCGCAAGGTGTTGCGGGAAAGTCACATATTTCCCACCCACTTTCACTATGCCCAAAATGTTGATTATGAGTGTTAAATGGACTCTTGGTGGATCACGCGACATTTCCACGTGAATTTCCTCCCATTTGGATTTATCCATAAACCAACACACACACAGTGTATACGGAGTTTCAAAACATGGAACAACACTTTTGAGCACTCAATCGTCCACTGTGATGTCCACACTTCCGGTGGCCACTTGAGGAGCGCCGATCGCAGCCGCGTGGATCTGCACGAGGGCGAGTAAACACTGGGCAAAGCCGTAAATGTGCGGTTCGGATGAGGAATTGCTTCTCCTTTTGCGACATCAGCTGTAGGAAAATCGGCTAGCATATGAATTTTTCGACCCCCCCATAGATTTCTCTCGGGCAAGCGCACATATATGCCAAAATAAAACCACATTGGAGTGCTCAGGAGCTTGAGCCGCGAGTCGATGTCGCAGCACGCGAGCTTTGGACGATGGAGGCGCCGGGTGGAACCCCCAATTTGGCCCCCAAAGTCCAAACACACTCCGCCACCACTCCGCCGCCAGTGGGTTGGCGGGCGGGTGGCACAAAGGAGAGAAAATATAAAGTGATTTACAGGAGCATAAATTTCACAGAAATTTCTATATAATATTTCACTTGGGCTTTCCACATGAGCTTTTCCACGCTGTTGCACCGCTCTCTTTACGCTTTTCGGGCGGGAGGGGAAATTGTTGCACACAGGAAAGGTGATGGAGGGTTTTCACTTTTGTGAATATTATTGTAAGAAATGGGGCTTTAATTCTCAAGGCACATTTTGAATTGACTTGAGTGATTTTCCTCAAGGATTTCGAAGGCGCGTTTAGCGGTATTTTCTAAGGACTCTTCTATGAGGGTAGGCTGAAAGAGGTGGTTTCTGCTTACTAATTGACTTTTAGACAGCATTCTCAGCTTTCCAAAGAGCCCAAATTCGGGGAAATTCAATTGAAATTGAAGACATAAGTAAAGAGGTTGTTCCCATAGATTTTCGTCCCTTATTTTCGCAAAAGATTTTTATTCGTTATAAAGGTAATTTAAGCATGTCCCTTTTCTTCTGTGTGTAAACATAAATATACAATTTTTCATACAGATCTCAAATTTATACCATCTTTAGAGATCTACTGCCGAGTGGAAAAAAGTGCCGCCCTAATTTCTGACAAAGCATTTCATAGAGATGTTAAAAAAATGCTGTCAAGTCTGGAATGTTTGGTATTCAGTCTAGAAAAAAAGCATGTTTCCGAGCAAACGTAAAACATTGACAGCCGTTTTTATTGTTTTCACGAACGATTCCTTGCAAAAATCAACCTTCATGCTGTGAACACATTGTGTAGTTTACAATGGAAAGTTCCAAATAGTTGTCATCACTTTTAGTGTGTATTTTTGGCAATATGTTGAGAAATTATTAGCTTCAAAATTATCTTTACGTGCGCTAAAATATTTATGAGAAGTGCAGAAATGCAAATTTTCACGTTTCAGAAATGCAAGCGAACCAAGTAAAGCACAAAATGATATCTTGTTTTTGCACCGTGCCACTCTGGCAGGCAACATTGGATTTAGTCCAGTTTTCAGGCCATTTTAATTTTAACAAAATTCTGATAATTACAAAAACTTTGAAGGAATCCAGAAAAACACATTCTCGCTTTGCTTATCAAATTCTGTTTTTTTTTTTTAACAAAATACACTTAATATGAACTGAAACAGCAAAAAAAACCTATTTACCGAAAATTGTGACAAAATTGGGTGAAATTGCACTATCACGAACAACAAGTCTGCTGAATGTAGTAATTTCGAGAGCAAATTGGAAGTGTTTTGCAGCTATAAACTGAATGAGATTTCTCCACTGAAATTCCAGCCTTTTGACCCAAATTCACCCATTCTCTGCAGGAGTTTTTCCGCCAACCCTAAAAATTGCACCCTGCGAATTTTCCGCTCGTGCCAGACACCGTGGAAGAGGGGCTGGGGAATCTCCAGGAAAAATACCTCATCTGAGCTGACGACATTGGGGGGGATCTCGTGTTAAATTTCGTCTCGCATTTAGTTTTGATAGAGGCATGAAAAATGTGTATAAAATCCATACACGAAAATTCCGCCTTCGTTTATGACGACAAACACGTTTCATGCACTCAAGCAGGAAATATCAGTCATAAAAAATGTCGAGTGCTTATATGGAAGGCACCAGGAAGGGTGGGAGTGAGGAAATAGGAGAGGAAAATCCCTCACACGAGTGACAAAAGTTGTGCAATTTAGATATTCACAGGCACAATTTTATCTCTCAATTCACTGTGACAAATTCAAATGGATGGTGTTGAATATTGGAAATTCAAATATTTCATTACGACATCCAAATTCCTAGAGAAATTTTCATCATCTTTTCCTTCGCATTTCGGGGAAAATGCGAGAGAATTCCTCAGCCGGTGGGTGGGAAGAGTCATGTGAGAAGTATTGCTTTTATACCCTCAACTCTGGCTACGATCAATAAAAACAATAATCCAAATCGAATGGCTGCCAATGGACAACCGTAAAAATCTCACAAGTAAAGTTAGTGAAAATGTCAAGAGCTTTTGCGAGAGAAATTCCATCCAAATGGCTAGACTTTAAATCAAACTCCACCAGTGTGTTCTTTATGAGACCCACACTGTCAACGTCGTGATATACTTTATTGCTCGCCTCTGGTCGTACGCAGAAGAGCGGGAACTCGACGAGATCTGGACAATAATCTGGAATTCTCAGAAAAGTTGTGATGCAAGAGAAATAAATAAGTGGCATTGATAACAATAAATCATATTTTGCAGCTGAAACTCATTACTTGTAATACGATCGGACTTTCAATGTGAATGTACATTCGAAATCAGCGAATTCATGAAGTTATGTCTTCACTATTGTTCTCTTTGCCAATTGAAATTGATGCGCTGATGCAATAACAAGGAAAGTTCTCTGAAAGCAGGTTTTGAATATCATTTTATCCAATTTCAAACTATTCATAGAGATCAATGAGAATTCCTTTTTAATAAATAAATCGTGCAAAGTTAGAGAAGTAAAGCACCTGAACATTCTGGGGCAGAGTGCTCAAATGAATGGAATTTCGGAGTGGAAGATTGAAAAGATTGCACAAAAATAATTGCATGTAGTTTTTGTCATAGGAAATATAGATTGAACACAGTGCTGAAAAGTGTGGCGTTGTGTTAAAGCGCTTGACTTGTTAGTCTAAAAATACGGGTGCTTTAATTAAAACAGTGGGAAAGGACAACAACTTGCGACATCCCTCGTGAGAAATTACACTTGGGCAATATTTTGCGAGATAGGAGCGGATATTGAAAGTGTCACGAGAGCAAATGGACCCTAAAGAAATGGGTTATGAAGAAAAATGATAGTATGTGAGATAAGAAAGTGAATACAATTAGAGGGAAGAAGGTCCAAATTTGTCTTATCAGCAACTATCTCACACCCCCTTCGGATTGCACGGAATGCTTTATCATCTGGAGGCCAGAGATTGGATTTCATCCTCGCAATGCCGGAGTTCTTTTCATCATATCCACCCAAAAATATTTTCCCGCAGTGACGAGGAATTCTGGGTGTGGGAGGGAAAAGGGAAAAATCACGTCATGGTGGAAAATTGGCAGAAAAATGCCAAGAATCTGTATGAGGAGGAATGAAGTGAGCGAAAAAGAATATGATTTTAGTTCGGAGAAATTCTAAAGAGGAAGTTTATAGCGATAAAAGTTGGAGGTCTCTCGTCGTCCTGAGATGTTTATAAGTTGTTTTGTTATGAAGAATCACAAGCGATAAGTGATATCAAGAGAAAAAATGGGTTTCTCGCTCGCTGATTTACTAGAAATAATGTAGAATGGCCTCTCAGTTCGCAGTGAAAACCTCCAGTGACTGGAAGTGCAATTCAGTGGAAGCGAAAAGATGTCCCGGGGAATGTAATTTCACACAGACACACAGAGTGTGGGAAATCCTCAGAGAACCGATGAGAATTCAATGGATTTATTGAGGTGGAATTTAAATAAATCGCCCGCAGAATTACTCTCATCGTTTCTCTGAGTATTTCCCTTGAGGTGTGAGGGCAGGATTTGAGAGTGGTGTTTTGCAGCTTCCAGACAGTGTTGTTGGTGGCTGTTGTGGTGAACAGTGGTGAGAGTGCTCTCCAGATTGCCTCCTGCGACACTGGCTCGAGTAACTCCACCCACTGCGTCTTCAGCAACTTAATAGGCGGCAGCATCATCTTCAAGAGCCTGGCCACGGTGGAGTCGGTGGAGTTCAAGAACAGCAACTTCCCCAAAGTGCCCGTGACCTTATTCTCCACCTACGACAGTCTCTCGCGAGTGGATTTCTCCAAGTGCCAAATGAGGCAATTGAACGGCAAGACGACTTTGAGTGGTGCGAAGAAGCTCAAGTTTCTGGATATGTCGGAAAATAACCTGGACGAGCTCGCGGACGAGGTGTTTTCCGAGGCCTCAGAACTCGTGGAGGTATACCTAGCCAGAAATCAAATCTCATCAGTGTCTTTGAATGCATTTGCTGGCCTCAAGAAGTTGGAAATTCTTGATCTCTCTTTCAACGTCATTAAGATTATTCGAGGAGATATTTTCTGGGATCTGAAGCAAATTAAGATCATCTACGTGAACAACAACGCAATGTCCACGATGAAGATCAGCTTTGTCAACAACACAAACCTCATAGAGTACGATGGGAGCCATAATGACCTCAGCGACTGGTCGCTGACCTTTCCAGGAAAGTCCAAAGTGATTCTAAACCTGTCGTACTGTAAGCTCAAGAATACTTACAGCAGTGCTGCAGACAAGGGTGATTTAATCATTGATGGGAACACTGTGGATTATATAAAGATCCTCGGTCAAGTGACCAAAGTGAGTGCGAAGTACAATAAGCTGAGATACGCGGAAATTGATCCTAAACTGCCCATCGTAACGCTGGAGCTCGCTGGCAACTTCCTCACGGACATTGGAAACATCACGAAGATCAAGACAGTTGAAAAATTGGACTTGTCTGAGAATCGCCTGATGCCACTGGACTCCTCAACCTTCAATCTCATGGCTGATCTCCGAGTCCTCAATCTAAGATCCACCGGAATCTCCCTCAATGATAAGGATTTCCTGGCAAACCAGAAGAAACTCATCCATTTAGATGTGTCTCGAAATGAGCTTAGTAGTCTCAATTTGAGAAATCTCAAGACTCTCGTGAGTCTCCAAAGTCTCTTCTTGCATGAGAACAAACTCAGTGAAATCAAACATCTGGAGGATATCAAGGAAATCCTCCCAAGCTTGACTACTATTTCGCTCTCCAAAAATCGCTTTTCTTGTTCTTATCTTCAACGCATGCTGCAACTTCTTGAGAACCTCCATGTAAATGTGCTTCTAGATACGAATAATCTCGTCTCCTTGAACACCAACGTTCTCGGGATCGATTGCTTTGCAACGGATGATGTCACAGCCAATAATTCAAAGCCTCTCCAGAAGATGCTCATATTTCGGGAAACTGCCCTGGATTTGGAGAATCGCTTCAGTTTGCTGTTCAAGAACATCGACAGCAAGTTCACACAGAATTTCAACAATCTCGTGGACATCCTACAGCCCACACTCAAAGGGTCAGGAGACAACCAAGAGTTTATCAAGAGAGTCATGACGGAGTTTAATGAAGGCCAGAATGCCAGAGCTGAAGCAATTGTGGAAAAGTTAACAGGCATCGCAAAGTCCTTTTCCACATTTGAAGAATTCAGAAGCAACTTCTCATCATTGAAGCTGGATGAGAAGATGTCTTTAATTCAGAATGACGTCAACACCGCAAAGAGAGCCAATGAGGAGGCCATTAATGAACTCACAGCAAAATTAACTGCTGATCAGAATTCCTTCAACTTTGACACTTTCATTGGCAATATTTCTGACCATTTGAAATCTTCTGTTCTTCATGCGGATTCCATTAATCAGCTATCGTCGAACTTCTCCAGCTGGAAGTACTTCTTTCTGGTGTCCTTCCTCTCTGCTGTGGCTGTGAGTATCTTCTTTGGGGTGAAACTGTACAGAAATCACAGAGCATCGCTTCAATTGTCCAGAGAACACCTAACCTCGTCAGAAATGATTTAAATAAAGTGTTAACGTGAATCATTAAGCTCGCCTCGTGAGTTCATTACAAGCTAAAGAAATCTCAGCAACGCCCTTGAATGCACTTTGCAGCACGCGCGTCATTGACGGAATGGAGGTAATTTCTCTGGCAACTCTTGGCATTTTGCCGTGCAATTTAAGCCTTGCCTGGTGCGTTTTTAATTAAAAACACCCCCCATGAATTTTGCATTTCCCACCCCGCGCGCCGTCAGTCACAATGCAATGATCCTCATTTTGTATGCAATTGAAACAACGTGAAAATAGGGAAATCGTCTTGTGAATAGCAATGAAGAGTTTCCTGTGGAAAGTGGGATCAGGTCACACATGAGGGTGTGTTTCCTCATTTTTCTTCAGTGGAGTCCCACACCCCAAATTCAACCCCTTTCGCTCGCAAATGGGCATTCCATGCCAGGGGGTTTATTAGTGGCAAATAATTTACTCAAGTACACCCAGAGGCGGCGTGTGAAATGGCGAAAAAAGACTTTCCATACCCTTTTCCGAGGGGGAGGAAAAAAGCGCGTGAATTAATTCAGGGTCGTGGTGGTGAATGTATTCAGCTGTGAATAGAATTTATAAATTATTCCCAGCCAAAAGTGAGCGCAGAGAGACTCACAGAATACGAGCCACAGCGGACGAATTACCCCATCCCTTGGAAAGTGCACAGAAATGGATAGGAATTGGACTGAGCTTTGAGAGAAACTTCCACCAGCGAATTCCTCTGTGTGCCTTTTACTGTATTTTGATGAAGAAATATTCAAAGAGAAATGCGTTTAATATTCTCTCGTTGGCAATTTTGTCCAATTATCGTAACGATATTCGTGACAAAAATGCCAATGGTGCCAAAATGCTCACTTTTACCTCTCCGCCCAGCGATATTGAGTCACAAAAGAACCACCTCAATGGCGATTACAGTTCAGTGTTGATCCACTTACAATGTCAATTTCCTCCCTCGTGCGAAGGAGGGAAGTGAACCCATTTCACCTCAATGGGTAGAGCTCTTCCTGCGGCGCTCTCGAGCCCAAACTTATCGCTCACGGCATGTGAGTTCACTAATTTTAAACTAATACACATACTGGCTTTGAGAAGTTTCCCTAAGAGAACACAAGAACTCTCCCAGCAAATAACATTAAAAACTTTTCGTACTTCTCCAGGGAAATGTTCATTGATTCCCATGTTGGGTGAAGAACTTTCAAGCGAATGCATCACATTTTGAGAATTCAACCCTTTCCGCATCTTTTTCTCTTTCAGCAACATTCAGATGAATTTCCAAACAAAGCTTCTCTATTTTAATACCCACGGACAAACATTTTGTAATATTTTTCTTCTTGTTGACAAACAGCAAGTGAATTCCACAAGCTTTCAAGAGCTTAATTCCCGGGCAGAAAATTGAAAAAAGCAAAATGCATAATAATTTCCTCTTATAATCTCTCTCACAATTGGACTTGAGCCAAGATTTTGGACCACATCACCAGCAAGCACGAGGCATAAACTAATGTATTCACATTCTTGTATGAAGCATTGTTAAAACTGAAAGTGTATGCCTTCTGTTTGCGATAACAAGTCACGCAAATTTTTCCTCTCCCTTGGTCTCTTTAATAAACTCAAATGTGACATTCTGTTGTGCTTTTCCGTCACTGAAAATATTAACTTGATGAGAAGAATGAGGAAAATATATGACGGTACACCGAAAAAATGCTTTACGACTGGAACAATTTGGTGAATGTTGAGGGGATGGTGGCTTTTTTATGCTGCTGTGCCCCATTCAATACGGTTCCGGGGGGAAAATTGGGCTCTGCAGGGGAGAAAAAGTGCAATTTCTGAACATGAATGCCCCGAAGTTGTGTGCGCCGGGGGCAGTTTAATATGATGGAATATGTATGATTTATTGTTGATGGTGCCTTTGATCGACTCCTGGGTGGGTCTATTTGTCGTGGAAATATTATAGTCCCTCCTGAATGACTGTCGATCACAGAAGAGCACAAAATGAAATTATTATTCATTCCCACGAGAGGCGACCGCCATTGGGCATGAGAGAAAACCCTATAATGCAACAAATCATTTGGTCTCTGGGAGAGAAGTGAAATCGATTCGCCAGACTGCAAATGATGGCTCCTCTCCTCCTGATTCCCACGCGCCGCGGGAGGAGAGATGAAAGATGCGAAAGCATTTGTCTGTGTCTGTACATGAAAACTTTCCAAAGCCCAGCATCATCTGTAATCCAGAGCTTTTCCATTGTGAAGTCACTTCGACGAGAAAACTGATATTTTCCCTCCCGCCATCGATGGCAAAATGAGCAATTTTCCCAGGAGGATGTTCAAATAAACATTTCCCTCACTATCATTTCTTTCTGACACTGATGCAAAGATAGTGAAACAGGAGATGAAACCCAGATGAATATTTCACCTGAAGGGTGAGCTTTACTGACAAGAATTACATATTCCCAGGATGGGGATTTAACCCTTCAAGGTAGCTTTGCAATGCAAATATATAACTGGGAGATGATCACAGAATCACTTTAGAGCTAAGTAAAATTAAATTTCTTAGTCAACACTCAATTATTGATGGAAAATACTCCTATTTTATGGTCTTAAATTCGGGATTTCAACAATTTCGATGTATTCTTTCAGTGTGTCTGTCGTTCTTGATGAGCTTTCTGCAAAGTTCAAAATAATTCATCAAATTCCTCGTGTGGGAAAAGTCCTGACTCCCACCCAAGGATAACGAATGGCGGGCGCACAGAAAGTTTTCTTCAATTTCATCTGTGATTATGGCCCAGACTGTGATCCAGCCTCTGTCTGGCTGAATTCTCCGTTCTCATATTGAATTTCTCTCCTCCTCGAGGCAACTTTCAATCGAATCTGTCAAATTTCCTCCGTGGGACGAGCCTTGCGGCGGAGTAAATCGTGTTATTATTGCATTATGAGCACAATGTTTGCCATCCTGAGGATTGGGGAAAGAATGTGCGGTGACAAGAGCCTCCAAGTTCCAGGAATGATAACAATGTTTCCCTATTGAGGACAGTTCGGGTTACCCCGCCCACGCACATCCAGCATGACTACTCGTATCTGACTGTTTTATGAGAAATGAAAAGGCGTGCGCTTTTGGTATGGTGAGTAGTTGAACATTCATGAAAATCCACCTCTTCTCAATCACCGCGAAATATGGTTCTCTCAAGCGATTCAAGTGGCGCGGAAACTGTATTGTTGAATATATTTCAAAAGTTTACTCGCCTGCCTAGCAAGTTTCGCCACTCGTTTGCACTACTTTTCTGAAATTTATGAGATACATAAATTGCATGATGTTAAAGCATGTGAATTGCATTGAAGTTTCTCCAAAATAAAGTATCCTTTAACAGATTTCCTCGACGCACAATCTTGTTTGAGCTTTAATACTGTTATGGCTCTGTTTCCCTATATGGACGGGTGAAATTTCTGTGCTTTGAGCCGAATAATTATTCTTAGAGTAATGTCCAATTTCACACTCACCTTGAGTGGATCACATGAGGGAACGTAGGCGGACGTGCGACGTCCCACAATGGATCTGCAGCCGATGCTGCTGCTCCGTCTGTCGGATGTCCGTTCTGTGGGCACCGGGAGCATCTTGTGTCCAAGCAGAAGCTGCAAATTCACACCGATTCTCTAATCCCTCGGCCCGGGCGTGTGACACTCTCTAACACGCTGGCATTTTCCGCAGGAACTCAGAGTTTCCCAACGTTGGGATTAATTCCACTTGAGTTGGGGTGGAAAAGTTGCCAAAGATTTAATTCCATGTATCACTCATGTTCACATCACTTGAGATTTGATTTGCCCAAATGGTGAATGCACTCCTAATCATGCCACTCAAGCTGACGGAACGGAAACTGTGCTCATCTCTAATTCCAGCTGTAATGGGAAATTTCCTGCAAATCCTTGCATTTGATGTGCATTTTAGCAGGACGGAAAAATCACTTGACATTGCGAGATTGTAAATCACGATACTTTTTCCACACTTCCCCCATCGACCCACTTTTCCAGGCTTTTTATTTACTCTCTCTCTCTCTCCTCACCCTTTGCTTTTCAGTACTCTGTCGCTTTTCAGTGGAAATGGATGGTGCATTAAATTGAATATAACCACCAAAATGCCATCAACTGTCGACGACTGAAAGTTTACCAGCTCAAAATTCCGTGACAAGTTGAACAAAGAGAAAACTTAATTACCAACTATGCAACCAATTAAACTTTCTTTTCTGCCTCTTCGTCACGATCCCTGACTGAGTCCCGCCCTTCTGAGGCACTTCAACTGGGGATTTGGAGAAGCAATGGGATCTCTGCAGGACAACTGCATTTTCCTATCAAGTGTTGAGGAAAACTTAAGTGCAACTTTTGAAGTGCAAAATTGTCTAATCACCTTGTTCAACACATAAGGAAGCTCCAGAAGAGCAACATTTCCAATCATAGGTACTAAAACATTCACATGGAACTTATGCGTTAGCTTAATCTCAAACTTCTCAAACGAAAATTCATTAAGAAAATAGCGTACTCATATGTGTTGAATCTGTGAAAGCTCCGCCCCCTGGAAAATCCCGCCCAATTGTTTCACATCCAATCATCGAAAGCTTTCTCTGAACTTTCCCAGGTCCACAAAAGCACTTGTTGCATCGGAAAAGTTATTACACATTTATAAACCTCAATTGACACTTAATTATGTGTGTTTTTTATCTAGCGTAAAGTTAGTTGTGAACTACGACCAAGGAAACTTTGATAGTAAAATTATAGCGTTTTAGATTGGAAAGCTGAATTGTGGAAACCGACACAATGCACCTAATCTACAAAATCTGCACCCACGAATGCACTTACGATGCCGCAAATTAGGAATTTCTCGTGCTCTCACGTGAGACACTCTCGAAGAGTCTGACTTTCTCAGCATCTCTGTTATTACCAGACAAATCTGATTATCACACAATCCGATCGAAAGTTTCACAAAGTTGAGCGAACGTGGGATATATCAAACTTTTGCAATTGGCACACTCTTGCAAACGAGAATAAGAGATATTTTCAGTCTGTCTCTGCGTTTGACTTCTTCTATTTCGTCCCTTTTCGATAATTCCTTTTTTTTCTGCCGCTCGCAAAAGAATCAAATTCCCTGAGATGGAAAATCTAAAGGAGGGCGGCGTGGGTGGAGGGCCCATTTATTGATTTTTTGGGCGACACGTGGAAAAAATCTTGCTAATGATGGGTAAGAAAGCACTGAAAGATCCTTAGGGGCTGAAATTTAAAACTAGACGAGCAGAGGAAATTTTCACTGAGTCACTGTCTGCGGGGCGGAGGGGCGTGGGCACTGTTGGGGGGCCGATGCGGGGAAAACAGTGACACCATGCAAGAAAAATTACAGAGAGTTGATAAAGTAGCATCTGCCACAGGCACGTCTTTTTGCTGTTATCCTTTTTATATTTGGTCGGGGATGTGCGGCTGTAAAAAATTCTGCTGGATCAACGTGGATGCCTTCCTGATACAACTACACTCCCCTGTATATATAAATTGAAACGTCTATTCTGTCTCACCAGCACCATAATTCGTGATATATGACACACAGGCAAAACGTCTCGAGTGAGAGCGCATTAAAGTGATCAATTCAATATTGGGCTCTTCTTCTCATATCTGCGTCTCGTGGTCGCTTTTAAATCATCTCTCCCCCATTGAGGGAAACACATGAATGGCACAAGTGACTCTTTGCGGCGGATTGAGACGTGTAACATGGAGAAACATCGATATTACTCAAACAATAATTTCTTTGTATATACTTGATCATGCAAAAAACCCACCCAAATGTAATTTATCACCACTAAAAAGGCACACAACATATTCAATGTTGAATGCGGGGCGTGTGGAGACCGGCAAGAGGAAGTGTTTGAGGTTGCCCATGTGCAAAAAAAGCGACACCCATAAATCAATCATGATGGAACTTAAATTGTATGTAAAAATGCCGTGTCCTGAGGCCAAGGTTCCCCACCAGATTTTTACATCTGTTCTTGGCCCATGAGTTTCTCTTCCGTTGCTTCTCCTTTCAACCGCAAAATTTACAAGTATTACAATTTAATCCCCACGCCAGACGACGTGGAAGCCCCACATCCTCACTGGGGGCGTTTGAATGCAATTTTTACCACACTCCCACCTTATCACAAGATGCATTATCAATTTCCTCAGAGGAAAAAATAAATGAGATTGCAATATTGCCGAGAGATTCTTGGTGAAACCCACATAATGTCGTATTATCTCGCTAAGCGATCAAAGCGAACTTAAATACATTGAGCAAAGCATAATATTATTACTCTGCGGAAAAAAGATAATATTAGTTGAATCACAGATTTAAGAGGTATCCAAATAAGGAGAATATTTTAAACTTCCATACTGAAATCACACACATTAGGTCGTTTTTCTTTATTCTTTATCTCTGACATTTCACTTCTTTTTTGACCATCCAATTTCTACGAGCATTTGATTACATTTTCAGTTTGACTTATGTATGTCTTTGTCCCTTGTTTTCCCAGATTCAAGACAGATTCTCGCCTACAAAACCGAAGGATATGAAATGCTTATGAAGTTGAAGGCGCCACGAATAAAACCACAGAATTGATATAATGAGATTCTGCACAGTTGTCTGCTTAACCATCTGCCAAAACTCAACTCATAGTAGAATGTAAGTTCTCTTATTAAAAGAGAATGGAAACTTGTGACTCTCAAATAAAGCTCAGATGTGAGCTTGTCATATCCTTAAAGTCTCTCGAGGAAAAAGTACTCAATTCCTTCACGATTAATAAAACATGATCGTGAATACAATACGATTATTTTGCCAATAAGAGCGAAGAATGGGTGTATTTTGGGCAAGATTCCATGAATATCCTAATCCATCTTCTAATTCTTTGTCAGATAAAATACCCCTTGCTTAGTGGAGAAAAGTACGACTTTACGAGCACCATTGACAATCTCCTATGCAATCTCCTGGCTCACAGTTACAATCTTCAGTGGCAATCTCCAATGATAAAGCCCTCGCCTTTCGCACAGATGTCAATGGTGAACTAAATAGCAATTGCTATAAAAATAAATCCGAACAGACCATCGAAAGCGAGGAGACTCTGTGGACGGGGAAAGAGAGTTCTTAAAGTCTGGATGAAAGTTAAATTTCACACGATTTTTGCTCCTATGGCTTAATTTTCTCTCCCGCACAAAGTATTTTACACTTCAACCTCCATTCCATTTCCCTGCCATTCCTTCTCACATTGTTACATTCACTTAATCTCCTTCACATCATCTCTCTTGGCATATTCCTGACATGTAATGTGCGCCCCTGAAAAAATTCCTCTCACTAGTTTATCATTAATTTAGGAGGAAGGCGCTGTGGCAAAAAAATCTTATCCATTTAATCCACTTCTCTTCTCTCGGGTTGTGAATTTCATCACAGAAACATTCACTTGACAATTTGAGTGAAGTGAAATATGAAAAGAGATAAAAATTGCGGGGAGAAAACTTGTCTAAATAGATTTCTCTGACTCGCAATTGTGCTTTCTTCAAGTCATAAAAAGGGAAGAGAGAGACTTTTTTGCTGACACATAAATCAATTGAATTATATATAGAATGATGTATGATAAATACATATATTTATGTAGCTAATGGCACTTTTATTCGTAGCTTTAACTTGTCACAGCAATTTCAATAATGCAATTACACCTCGAATCACTGCACAATTACTCATTCACACCATTTGTATGCCATCCATAGTGAGCTTCTCAATAATATCAATTAAACAGTAATTACTCCGACATGGACAAACCCGCATTCCGCACTAATTGAAGTGTTTGTCCAGTGAGCAAATGTCCCAGTGATAAATTCATAATTCATTTAAATCAATTACAGTGTGGGGTGCTTTTAGGGTTGGCACTTCATGGATATTAATTACCCCTTTTATGCTCATAGATTGGAATCTAAACAGCTAAATTACTCCATAATCTACTCTCTGGTGGAAGAGATCTTCCAGCAGAACGCCAAAAGACCTCCAACACCGCCATGGAATCGTGCCTAGACCACATTTTCGGGACAGAGTGGAAAAAAGCACACAAGGATCAACTCGCAAAAGGTACCGAGTTCTCGTGAAATCACGCAATGTACCAAAGGTGAATTTCCAGTCACTTTCAATTCACATGTTGAGGCCACATTCTGTGCGCCCCCTTCGAGTGTTGCCAAGAAAAATCACAAATTTATCGTGGCAATTATGAGGCAATTTCACCAATTTTCTCAACACATAAATTCGCACGAACGCGCGCCCAAAAGTTTTATGTTAACAGGCAAAATTTAAAACTTATTCCCGCCCAAGCGGAAAAGGGGCCTATAATCACTTAATTTAGCCAACGCGGTCCGTGCCAGGAGGCGCTTCGCAGTGTACTGAAAAGGGGAGCTTTTGAGAGTTTTGAACAAGTGTTAATGAACAGTGTGCTTCTTCCTTTGCACCCGCAGTGAGAGAGACGCCAGGAGAGGAGAGAGACATCCTGCCTTGCTCACATTCTCTCCACATCTCCCACGAAATGCTGGGGAATTTCACTCAGGACTTTTGCTGTTGCCCACCACCGATTCAGAGGCGTGAGCAGCAATACTACAACTAATATATTTCGTTGTTTTTGTGGCAATTATCTGAAATATCATTTGATTGCAGACATCACAGATTAATTAAAGTTCAAAAAGAAAACCAAGGAAATTCCGTTGTAATTCGAAGTTCTTGAAAATTCTACTTTTACTCTCGACATACTCGAGCAGTCCGCAAAGCTTCTCGACCTTTTCCCACAATGTACTTTACTCGATGCGACTTTGAGAGAAGGAGAAGTGCTCCCTCGAGAGAAGAGTCCCAAAGAAGAAAGTTGGAGAAAAATGAGAGGAAAACACGAGTGAAAAATCTTCTGCAATTTTTCCCAACGTTGCTGCAAATTCCTCCTCAAACTTTTCTTCATTTCCCAGAGAGCCGCCGGAGAGGGAAATGTATAACTTCAATGCACAGCAAAGACTGTGCATTTGAATGAATTTCCTGGAATTCTCTGCGTCGACATTTGTTTTCTTCAATGTCGCGGGATTAAATTTTAAAAATACTCCATTGCGTTCCTCTTGCTAATGATAAACACACAGTTTTTCAATATACTGCCAGCTGAGAATGTGCGCGTCTCGTTGTTTCCATCCCCCCTCCCCTCATCTCCATGACGCGACTGTTGACAAAAGCTCAAGAAGGACACTTTTTTTCTCTATGTGTCTCGCTAAAAGAAAATGGTAAGAAAGAACCCTCCAATTTGAATCTCATTGTAACACAATAAATTAATGTATTCTTCACGCCGAGACGGAAAAGCTCCCTTCTCAGCGATAATTACCGCGAGGCACTGCGATGAATAATTTATTCTTAATCACTATTTTATTGTGCACAGAGATGCTAAATTAATAAGATAATTCACAGTGAGTTTGAGACGCTTTTTTGCCCCGTTTTCGTCCCTCATCAAGGTTGTCGCGACAAAATACTCTGTGTCAGTTTCACATCATTATTCAACTTTTATTCCGTCCGCGATCTTCAGTCCACCCCCGTCGTCAGCGTCTCACAGCCAAGATTTAACTTTCACCCAGTCGCCCTCCGCTCCCCGGGGGATTTTTCCACTCCTCGGCTACAGGCAGATGTGACGGTGTGCCCGATGTGTCGTTGTCAAAGTGGGGAAAGCTGGGTATTTTATGCTTGAGCGAATCATCAAATCTACCCCCAGAGGAGAAACGCCCTGAAGGTACAGTCATGATAAATGAAATAGCACCGTCACCTGACAATTCCTGTTCACTGCAAATTTAATAATATTTGATATTGCAATTTATTTTCGACGTTTGATATATTGCATCAATTTGTAATCAAAGAATTGCAATGTATTGTGCAGTAGAAGGATCGTCTTTCTCATCAGGATGCACTGCTTTCAGAAGCTACACTGCGTGACAAAGAGATCTCCATTGTGAAGATTGTCCACAATGTCTATAGCACATGTGTTATTTATCTTTTCATCACAGTACAACTTTTCTCTGAACGAATAATTGATATTTCTCTGATCAAATAAATCCCGAAATGATGGAAAATCACAAGGCACGATTCTCATGTGTGCATTTTCACATCCTCTCTCACTCTCGCTCTCTGGAGCTTCATTGGCACATGTTCTACTCTCAGATGATAATTGAGATAAATGCCACGAGGCATTTTGCATCAATAATCACCTTTGAGAACACTAGAAGCACATTTGCAATTATTTACTTGACTGTGATGTGTGAGCTGCATGCAAAATAGATTCTTCGCCAACTGGGATTAGGAGAAGCCCCACTCCGGATGCGAATTACGCACCGCATTTGCTCTGAGATTCTTCTCGGCGCATTCCGTTGGTCCAAATCAAAATGTTGGGCAGCGCCTCAAACCATAATTGTGGTGGAAGGGTAATTGATAGAAGCAACTCATGCAGAATATTTTATATATCGAAATGAAATTTCCATACATTACCTTTCGCATGTACACTTTGTTCTCTACAACAGCCCCGAGAATCTGTCCTGATTGTTGATCACATTTACTGTGAGTGTGTGTGTGTTTTCATGAAAAGTGCGGAAGAGGCAAAATTGAAAAGGGCTGTAGTGGAACATGGACCAATTTCGACATTTATGTCCGCAGCGTTTATTGAACTAATTATGGAGTTATTTTTGGAAGGGCGCCGATTGGAAGTGGGCAATTTAGCCAAGGACTTCCCTTAAGCCCAGTCTTTCTATATAGTTTCTCGATGGAAATTGATTAGATCGCGCCACGGAGGTGCTCTTTTTATGATTATTTACTATATGAGAACTGTGATGCGGAAGTGCGGGTAAATCGTAAAATGGTCAGCAAATTAGCACGCACACGGACAACTTTACAGCCCCACTAATTAGAAATCTGTACCCGAATCACAGTTTAAACCGCATTCACCCCACAATTGAGCCAAAGAGAGAGAGAGAGTCGAATTAATCAATATGAGACAATCCATTTCATCTGAAGTCTCATTCAATCCTTGGCCCCTTAACATTCACTCCTCCGACTTTTCCCATCGCAATTTATTCACCATATAGGTATCTTGTCTATTGAATAATTTAGACTGAGAAAACACTCTCAATGTTTTCCCCTTGTTTTCCCTTTGCCACTTTCCCACTCAGGATATCCCTTTCGCCCGTCCAAAGTACACAGCCCCCAACCCCCACACTTTCGGCTGCTTATCAAAAGAGAATATATAAATTGAGGATTTTTACCACAAATGGCTTTATACATAATTCCCTCATATTTTCACCCTTCGTCATATAAGGCAAATTCACTTGAGACTGAATTTTCTCCCCCTCCCCCATCTTCTATCCACAATATGAACTATGTTTCAGGGATGAAAACTGCCAAAATAGTTTTATCAAAACCCAATTTTCATACCCCATCCCACGTCCAAGCTGCCGTATGTGTGTATCCTGAGTCCCATGACAAAAAACGTGAGGGAGAGACTTTTTAGAAGGTGCCCAAAAAACACCATAAAACTCCCCAAACCTCAGGGAGGAGAGTTTGTAGGGGTTGCAAAAATTTCTACACAATACCTCTGGGGCCAGGAGAGAATGTGTAAAAACCAAGCATAGGCACAGAGAGGCTATAAGAGATGAGATTCTTGCACTGAACTTCACAAACAACTCTCGGGTTCCTCGAGAAGTGTCGGAATTTTTTAGTATTTACATTCTCGCTGAGTGAGCAATTTTTCACCTACCAAATCAAACTAATGAGCCTTTTTTACCTATGTTCACCATACTTTATCTCTACGATTGAAGGTGAGATGCATTGAGGTTCATTTGGGTTTTAATGGGTGATTATTACAGCAAAGTTTGCTACAAAATCTACCTCACTATCGAAACTCTCTAACTCACACAAGCATAAATATTATAGTAAAACTTGTGTCGTTATCTCAGTTCAGAAACCAAAGTTATATTATAGAAAAAAAACCCCGCAATGCACAGTCTTGTGCATAGTAAATGAGGCCAAATGCTATGAATGAGGGATAATCGGAATTAAAGTATGTTTCTTTGATGAATGAAGAAGTTGCAAAGCAAAAATTGTGAATGCGACGGAAAATGAGATTGAGAAAAAGCCATTGAGTCACAGAGTGTGGATGTAAGTTTATCAAACTTTCGTATAAGCAGCTTAAAACTGAGTATGAGTTTTGTGAAGAAATCATTTATCATCAAATATGTGACTGCTCAAGTGATTCTAACATGCTGAACTAACTTTTAGAATAAATCCCACATTTAGCTTAGAGAAAATAAGGTAAGAAAACAGCTACCGAAACAAATAAAATCAATAAATTATCCTCATCTCGAGACGAGATATTTGATAAATGTTCTGCAAACTACTCACAACACTTGTGATCTTGAAGTTGAAATGTTTTGAACATCTTTTACCGACACTGCATCGTATGGAAACTTTCCACTTTGATATTTTCTTCTCCACCCATGCATTTCTAAAGTTCCTTTAGTGTTTGATAGATATAAGAATCGCCGGAGGAGAATCTTCGTTGAACTGCGTATTTATTATTTAGCCAAACGTCAGGAATGAAAACTATCCAGACTTAAAAATACTTTGAGGAAATCCCAAGCAGATTTGTCAACACATTTCTATCACTGCTTCAATAATTAAACAAAGAACATTTTGTAGTCAACGTCCGGCATTTATTAACATCGTCACAAATGCAATAGCTGCAGAATCTTTTACCGAGTGGCGCGGCGAAGAAAGAGGTGGAAACATAAACAAAATTTTCATTCAGTAGCACAAAGAGGGAGCGAGAGAATGAGGGTGTAAAATGTGAATTAGAGCAGAGCCATGTAATTGTGGCATAATCGTGAAAACGTCAAGATGTCTCGAGTAATTTATTATTCGCATCACATGTTATCAAACTTCCGCGCTGAATTAGCTAGACTTTCTTGTATGATAAAACCTCCTCAAATATTTATTCAATTTCCGTGCCGCGTGCCTCAGAACATCCTTTTCTCCTCTTTCTCTCTCTCATTGTCCAAAGATGAATCACTTTGGTGTGAAGACTCATTTCATTTTTACTCTCTCACCCCTTTTTTCCCCCCAACTTAATAACCATGCACTGACGATTAGGACATGCTGCTGTTCAATGCAGCATGCAAATCTCTGTTAAAACTGCAGAATACTCCCTTAAATATTCATCAAATCTGTGCACCACTTGCGAGACCAACTCACCATCAAGTTGTTTGATTTAGCAGCAGATTTCATCCTCCAGAGCTCACCACATCCTTCATAATTTATCACACTGTCCACGTTAAATTTCTCCACGCTGCCGTCTAATTCCCGCCCCCACTTTTTTTCCCTTGCGGGCAAGGCATGCATTTGCATTTTTGCTACTTGCACATAAAAAAAAACGATGGGCAAAAAAGTAATTTTTCCAGCAATTTCTGCAGACACGCAAGAAATTAATCATATTTCACAATCATAAATTCATCATTTATGCAAATGTTCATCCACGTGACGCCAGAGAAAAAGTACATTTTGGTGTCTTTCACATGGAAAATCATATTTCTGTATTTTTTTTCATCCTTTCTTCCTCTCTCCCCAGGGACACAATAATTGGAATTTATATTAGAGAAACACAAATACACATCCCTCCCCTCTTAACTGTAGCACAAAAGCGCAGAGAAGGATTAATTAAATTGATCAAAAAAGAGATAATTCTCTCTCAACCCACACTGTCTCACTCACTGGCTGTCTCTCTCCTCAATTGAGCAGCATTTGCTCAATGCTACTTGTATCATGCTCCACTTCACTACTGCTGCCACCCTCCAGGAACTCCCGCAGCTCCGTCTCCAGGTCGACAGGTGTGGTATTGTCGACATTGGCGTGATTGTGATTCTGATGGTGCACCAGTGAATCCGGCTCAATTTCCATGGGAACAGGCGTGATGTCCATATCCGCTAAAAGAGCCAAAAGTCGGGCATTATCATGACAAATCCTCAGCTTATCGGCTTTCAAATATAATCACAACATTCATTATTATAATTAAATCTGACTATGTGGCTTTTCTGCTGAGGTTTCCCCCAAACTCAAAGCCTTCCAACTGCTTATAGAGGTAAACCAAATGAATTAGAGAGTTTATATTAGCATCTTAACACAAATTCAGTGTGTGAAATTTACATAAATGTCACAATTGAGTTTTCCAAAATCTACTTACGTGATATATCGCATGCAAGGCGAGGAACACCCTGAACATTTCCGACCAGACTCACTCTCTGCATCTGATAGGGCTCTAGGCCAGCTGAAACCGCAAAACATCCCATTACCACCATATAAGCATCCTCTATTGTCACTAAACACTCACCAGTTGACACTCCCATGGCTTTCCTCAGTGCGTGCGGTGTTGTGATGGCTTCCGGTGGGAGATTCTTAGCCATTTCTGCTATATTAGACGTTATCTGTGTGGCCAGTTGCATTTCATCACTGCCCGGCTGCTGCACTTGGCTCAGATGCATCGGCGGCGGCTGCGACAACCGCTCGAATTGCACCTGGTGCAGCTTCTCAAGCAAATTCGACGTGAGATTGAGTTGAGTCTGGAATCTCTTCTGATTGTCCACGTCACTTGTCATTCTCTCCAACTGATCCACAAACTTCACGTCAATTCCCAAATCTGTGAGAGAGCGCAAGGCGTCAAAATCGACTTTCACTGCCGCCAATTCGGCCGTCTTGGTTGGCGGATCAGGATCTGGGAACGATTTCTCCACCTCCTCCTTCTCTGAGCGCTGTCGGTGGGATTCTGTGATTTTGGCCAGAGTCTTCCGATGTTCCCCACCAGTGAGCACGTCCAGAAGTCCATTGGCCAGTGAACTAGCGTAAGAGCTGCTCTTGGTGAACTCCAGGATGCTCTCGGCGTACTGAGTACCAGTGTCATCACCATAAGTGGACAGCACGAGCTGGGATTCCTCTTTACTGAGATTGGCAAAGCGAGAGTCAAACACTGGAGCGAAGGAACTGAAAGCGCCATAATTAAGAGGCTTCACCGCCTTGGCGAGATTCCGTCTATCCTCTCGAATGCCCTGAATCTGTCCAGTGCCTTGCTTCAGGCGTCCCGTGAAGGCACCCAAGGATATCAATCGCTCCTGTCCAGTGCAATTTCCCTCGCTGTCGAGGAGAATTTTCATGCTAGTGGTGCCGTCCTTGTGCTGCCTCAGGAAGCCCATCTTGTGTGCCCGCTGGCGAGTGAATACCCTGGACTTTGCCGATCTGGCGGCCTTCTGGACCTGCGCCAACACTTCCTCAGCCGACATGTCGTCCATGAAGGGTTCGAAGCGACTCTTGGGGTTGTTTATCTGCCTCATAGGCTTTCGCTTTACGTCCTCCTCATTATTCACATTCACATTCTCCTCAGCGCCCGTTGAAGTCTCTTCATCTGCTGAATCGCCTCCGCATTGTTCAGTGTCGTGATTCTCAGAGTTGGGCAGCTCAAAGCCCAACTCCTTGGGCGTCAACTCTCGCATGTACACCATGAATGAGCGCAGGGAGCGCATGAGATTCTCTGGCTGAAGCATCCGCGCGCCCACGTGAAGTAGCCGCTTAGCTGCCTTGTGGTACACCGTCTCCACGTGGTTGTACTTGATAGCATTCTCACACATTAGCCGAAAATCGTCCCCAAACTCCTGAATCGTCGTGTACGCATTCTCGTCGATCTTCTGGCGCATCGTTGAGAAGTCCATGGGCTTCGTGATGATAGCTGAATAGCCTGGAGCAATGTCGTTTGTCACTGGCCACGCGAAGAACTGGTGAGGATCCCTCTTCTCAAGGCTCCGCAGAAGATGATCCAGAATTTTCGCCAGAGGCGATCGACTCTGCTTCAATTTCAACACACACTGTCTCGGCTCGCGTCCTGTTCCATCAGACACAGTCGCAGGCTTCTCCTGGTGAAGCTTAGGCCCATGCGGGGACTGCATTGACCCCGAACTGTTGTGCTCCTGCGATGAGATGGACTCCGGCGAGCGCAGATGAGCCAATCCCTTGGACACTCCGCCATACCTCATCATAGAGTCCTGCATCTGGCTATCCTCACCAATACTCATATCGTCGAAGCTGGAGTCATCGCGGTGGCGTCGCTTCTCCTTATGATGATGCTTGTGCTTCTTCTCCCGGTCCTTTTTCTTCTTCTTTTTCTTGCTCTTCTTGTGACGCTCATGAAGCTCCTGCAGATACTGATCATTCTGCACCCCGTAAGCTGGAGAGTCATTCCCATACTCAGGCGTTGAGTTGCTGCCCACCTTGAGAATCAACTTCAGACTCGGTGGTCGTCCGGGACTGAGATTTGGATCTGCAATGACAGCACAACGCATTTAACCTCACTTTTCTTCCAGACAAAGGAAAACTTTGCGATAAATCACAACACAGTGCTAAAAACATTACAATTCCCATGCCAGAAGCTTTTTGAACACTTTTCACATCATTTTGTGGCGATTTGCGAGAGTTAAACCAAGAAAATAGGCGGTAGACCGAAGGAGCAGCGTCACCTCGGGAATCCCCCATTTTTCCCCACTTTTCAGCCACACTCCCAGCAAATCTCACCTTCATATCGCTCCCGACGCTCACTCTTGTGTTTCTTGTGCTTTTTCGAGCCCATCACGGGGATATTTTCGCGGAAAAACAGCCAGAAAGAAAATAAAACAAACGACGCCTCGCACAATTTGACAACTAGGCGGCCAGGCGAAACGCGAACCAGAATCCCACTGCTGTGACGTAATTCGCCCACTTCGCCGTCAGTGTTTTCTCAACATGGCCGGGATTCTTCGCGGAAGCAAATTAGTGCGGTATTTTGCGGGTTTCGCTCGCAGCATCGCCTTCAGCACTTCCAGGGAGCTTGAAGGGAATGTTCTGCAGCAGGGACAATGTTTCTGTGGACACCTATCGCAGTGAGTAATGGGATTTTGAGAAAGGAAAACACATTTTCCGGGGCATCATGGCTGTCTTACGCAATAATCGATTTTCCAGCTTTTGGGATAAATTATCGACATATACAGATATTCGTGTTAATCAGATTCTTTCCTCTTAGCATTTGCTCAATCCTGATGCAAAAATCATGGGGATTTTAGCGTAATGTGCAGAGGAAAACAGAAGTTTCTGTGGCTAACCTCACTTTTTGTTGTAGGGGTTTTTCAACCAACGCCCGGTCAGATCAAAACCTTGACAGATCCCTGAAGCGACTGGATCAGGATGTTCGACGATCTGGAAGAATCTCCAGGAGGGACATTGAAGAGATCCTGGAGGAGATTCGCCTGCAGAGATCCGCCACGAGTTCTCAATCTCTGCTGGTCATTCGATGTTGTGGGAACCTCGTGCCGGAGGAACTTCCGGAAGTGCGAACGGCCCTGGTGCAGGAAATCTGGCATACACTGAACAATCTGAATGTCCCAATGGACATTTCGCACTACAACGCTCTGCTGAGGGTATATCTGGAAAATGAGCATCCCTTCTCACCCACTGAGTTCCTCAGTGATCTGGAGGCGAAGGGAGTGGAGCCCAATAGAGTGACATACCAGCGACTCATTGCGAGATATTGCCAGGAAGGTGATATCGAGGGAGCGACCAGAATTCTCGAGTTTATGCGAGAGAAGCAGCTTCCAGTGAATGAGAATGTGTTCAATGCCCTGATTCTGGGACATTCTCAGGCGGACGACATGGAGTCTGCCGTGGGGATTCTCAATGTAATGCAGCAGGCAGGATTGGAACCAAGTGCAGACACATACACGACGCTCTTGTGTGGATATGCGAAGAAGGGCGACGTGGAGGCGATCAAGAAAACACTGGCAGAGTGCGAAAAGAAGGAGATCTTCCTCCTGGACAAAGACATTCTCGATGTTCTCTACGCCTTGACGGTGAGTGGTCATGGGAAAGACGCGGACGCTCTTCTGAGCTGTGTGAGGAAGTCAGTTGGATACAATCAAGATGCTGTCAACACAATTCTGAGGCTGACAAATCGTGGAGAGGATGAAGTCGCTTTGAAAATCTTGAGAACAATGCCGCGAAATGTAAAAGCCAACGGCGATGTCAGCGACACCGGGAATTTCTTCATCCGACAAATGGTGAAGGCAAAACTGCCCGTAGCGAGGATTCTGACTGTCTGTAACAATATTCAGGAGGAGGGCCTGAATTCTCGACCACTCTTGGTTGCCATTGAAGCCGGTCTGAATCAAGGGAACGTGGAAATTGTTATGCCGCTGCTGAAGAGAGCCAAAGAAATGGGTTTCCCAATGCGTCCGCACTATTTCTGGCCACTTCTGTGCTCCGCCGCCAAATCAAAATCCACTCCGGGTGTGGTGAAGGTGCTGAAGCAGATGCAGGAGGAGTTTGACATGCAGGCTAATAGTGAAACCATCAGGGAGTATGTTATCCCGCACTTAAAGGCGAAGGCATATGATGTAATGCGGGATCTGATTGATGCTGGACTGTCTCCGGGAATAGTGTGCACGAGTGTGGTGTACAATGAGCTACTGAAGGGGGATCTGAAGAAGGCCGCTGAGATTTCCACAGCCTATCGCGCATTCTATGTGCCCAGTCTCTTCCGGAGGCCTCTTATCAGCGCACTGAACTCGTCAAAGGACTGTGAATCCTTTATAAAGATAATTCGGCAAATCTATGATGGGATGGCATGGATGGACAGAGCTACTGGGAGGGAGCAGAGTGAGGAGACGAATGAGAATGAGGGAGAGGCAAATCAGCACGAATTTCTAGGGCAGATTGTGTACGATGTGGCAGCGTACTTCCGGCAGAGTAGCGATGAGATGCTGAGAAAGGTGCTCGAAGGACTTGTGCAAGAGGGATTGTCCATAAGTTCTCGGCAAGCTGAGAGGATTCAGGAGAAACTCGGATCTGAGCTCACGGTGGAGATTTCAACGAGTCTTGGGCAATTGGCGTCTGGAGAGTTGGAACCGGTGCCGTTGTCACAGGAAGAGGGATCTAGGAGGACAGCGTCTGTGGCTCAGATGAGTGCGACGCAGTTGGAGAGGATCATAGAGCAAGTAGAGGCCAAGGGAGAGAACGCCAAGGGTCTCAAGAGATATCTTCTGGGTGCCTGCTTCCGCAGCAAGGATCTGCAGAAGAGTGAGGAAGTTATACAGCGTCTCGAAGCGGAAGGATACACTTTCACTTCCGGAGTCTACGCTCAGATGATTGACTTGTACTGCTATCATGAGAAATTGGAGAAAGTGCTGGAGACCTATAAGCTCATCAAGGAGAAGGAGCCAGAATTCCTCTTGGACAATATGAAGACCATTCGAGTGATTTCGCTTCTGCTCAATGAGGAGCGTGTGGATGAAGCTTTGGATTTTCTGCAGAAGAACCAAAAGTCCGAATGTATGGATGAAACTGTGTTCAATTATCGCGCCAATGTGTGGAAAATGCTGAACGCTTTGGCCGAAAAGGGACAAAGTGAGACGCTGAACAAGGTCTTTACGACTCTCGAGGCTGGACGCTATATTGAAGTGAGTAATGTGCTCTTGGGACCACTGATAAAGGTGCATCTCGTGAAGGATGACTTGACGAAAGCGATGGACACCTTTGAGCAGATCTCTGAGAAATATCAAGTCACACCTTGGAAGAGTGAACTTGCCTGTCGCCTGATCCAGGCTGAGGATGCCAACAATCTCCAGCGTTTGACGAATCTGAGCACAAAGATTCACGGAGAAGTGAATTCTCTCTATGATCTCGTCTTTTCATTCGTTGAGTGCGGCCGCATTCGCCAAGCCAGGAAGATTCTGGAGACTCCGGGCCTCCGGATGCGCTATCAGAGGCTGAGTAATGTGTGCGAGAGGTACAGTCAGGAGGGAATGGTGCAGCCTCTCGAGGGACTTGTGGAGGCTACTAAGGATCTTTTGCACATCAATCGGGCGGATATTTACTACAATCTCCTGGTGAGCTATTGCAAAGACGACGCGGCGGATAAGGCTCTGGGTCTGTGGACGAAGATGCAGGAGGAGGACATTACGCCCTCGGATGCTTTCCTCGAAAAGCTGGGCAAATTTCTGCAGTCAAAGAACCTGGACGTTCCATTTGCCGTGCCTAACGCGAAGAGAGCTGTCGAGAAGGAGCAGATAACTGAAGCTGCAAGTTCAGCACCAAAGCCATCCAAGGAAAACCTCAACATAGTTCCAGTGGCATCAACTGTCTCAGTGTTCAGAAAAGCGCTCAAGGAGGGAAATGTTGATAGTGTTGTGGCGGCTTATCAGAAACTCTCTCCAGCGGATAAATTGAACATCACTCACCAGTCGCAATTCCTTGAGATGCTGGTGAAGGACGGAAGATTCCAAGAAGCCAATCAGTTGCTGCAGAAAATGCTGCAAGAGAATACACATCCAATTCCCAGAGTCTTCCGTTTCTATCTCAACAAAATTGCCTCATCTGGTGATATTGCCCAGTTTGAGAAGATCTCACAGTATTTGTCACCAGAAATGAAGAAGGTCATCTCATTTGACAATCGCCAGTGCCATGCTTACGTCGCTTCCGGACGTGCTGGAGAGTATCTGGATATGCTGGAGAAGGAACTGAGCATGGCGAAGAGTGACGAAGACAGAGCATCGCTCACTGAGAAATTCCCCAGAGGCGGAGCACAAGGAATTCTCCAGCATCACCCAGAATTGTCTGATAAATGTGAGTTTTAGTCACAAGTAATTGTGATCTCATTTTATATCCTGGCGTTGTTTTTACCTTTGCAGTTGAAATTCTGGCTGGGAAATTTATGGAGCAAAAAATCAGTTCTCCCATGAATGTTCTGTGGATTCATTACTTCATCACCGGGAATCAAGAGAAGCAAGAGAAGATTTGGCGAGAACATTTGAAGGATTCTCCAAGATTGATGTTTCAGCGCATTGTGCAGACGGCCAGGGAAAATGAAGACGTCAATCTTGTACAGCAATTAATTGACAAGCTGACCGGAACGAGCGTGACGGACGGAGCTCTGGGAAATGTCTACAGTTGTCTTCTGGACATCCATTCGGCACGCGAGCAGTATGATTTGGGACTGCAAGCACTGAATGCGGCCGTTGAAAAGAAGATTTCCCTGCAGACGTTCAACAGAACAGCCCTGACGAGACTCAAGGATGGTCTGGAGAAGGCGGGAAAGCAGTTCCCACACAAAATCCCTGAGAAATCCAGCCAGACAACTGAGGATTCCAGCTCCAGCAGTAGCAGCAGTAGTGATGATGAACCGGAGAGGCCACGAAAGTAGTGAGATTCATGTTTGTTTTGCGGAAGAATTCATAATTGCACCCTTTGGAATAGCCTAATAAAAATACATTAATACAAAAATCTAGCAATTTATGCCCCAATCGAATAATAAAAGGGGGCGCTTCCGGGAGTCAGTGTGCGGAATCACGCGCGCTAAGCGAGTCTCTGAGACTCTGGACGAATCAATTCTGAGAGAAGTAGAGCCCCGTGGCCCATGAGAAGGCGATGAAGCGCCCGTGGAAGTCCCAATAGGCGGTCATGTGGAAACCCATGTTGGTCAGGACCACGATGTATTCAAACAGAGCAAAGAGTGAATACACGCCAGGCTCGCAGTGGGCATTGTGCCGAAGAAAGAAGTACCCGGCGAGGGAGAAGGACATGATGTTGATGAGACAAAGGTAGCCCTTGAAACGGATGGATTTCTCCTCCAGCTTTGTCAGGGAATCTCCTCGCCGAGCATTAATGTTGAGGATGTAGCTGAGCAGCATGTAGAGCTCCGATGTGGCAATGAAGGTGATGAAGCAGAACTTGTGGATCTCTGCGGATGATAAGTCAGTCAACTAAAGAACCAAACAGTAGGCACGGCAAGAGGAATTACCATAGTTATCCACTGATGTGAAGAGTGAGAGTCCCAGCAGTGCTGCATTCTCCACAACATTGAGAACAGTGGCGGAGTTGACGAGGAAATGCCAGCGCTTCCGGATGCAGGATCTGTAGTAGCGCAAGTACATGTACGCTACCATGAAGCGAGGCACTGCGTGACAGCTAATGGCCACCTGCCAGATGAATCTCTGAGGCTGGTAGCTTCCAATAGCGGCTGAGATTGACGGCAAGAAGTTGTACACGTGACAATGCGTGGCGGTGGCGCGCTCAAAGTAGAACACCACAGACCACATCACGCAGAAGAGGAAGCTGAAGAAGGGCAGAGAGACCACCCGCAAGGCAAACTTCCCAAATGCAGTCCGGAAGATGGGTGTCTCCCGGTCGAGTGACTGGTACTCAGGCAGCATTTCTTTGTGCCTCGCTGCGGCGCCAGTGACACTTCAGTTTTCCACGAGGCACATAAAATATACACCCGCGGGGTGGTCTTCACCTCCACCAACCATCAGTGGAGCAGGATATTGCCATTCTCAGCTGAAACTGGGGATTTTCTTCGGCACTCCAAATCACTGCCCAACTGTCAAAGAGGTTGTTGATTTTCCGGAGAATGGAGTGCAGTTCCGACAGAGGCGCTGCGGGCGATGTGGTGGAGAGAGCGCCACGTGGGGAGTACGCGCGGGACGGAGGAGAGGCGAGCTTGTCATTCCTGAGAAAAAGAAACAAAGCTCGCGATAAGGGAAGAAAAGAGAGGAGAAATTGCTTGACTCTACCACGTAATTGACGATAGTATTATCTGGAGTGTGCACTTGTGCTAATTTGTGTAAGGAATCATTGTTTTTATTTCCGCAAATACGGAGTTGATTGTCGTGACGTCACGCAGGTGCGATTGGCCAAACAAACGGAAAGTTTGGCGACAGAAGAGGTGGATTTGGGGGCGATAACGACGGCAGGGCTCCCTGGTTATCTATGGGATCATGGGCGATTCGCCTGAGGAGAGTCCACAGTACAGCATCAACGCTGACCCGTACCCGGAAATAAGTGACGATGACTCTCCGCTCATCTATGGGGCCCCGCAGCCTACAGGTGAGTGTCCGGGGAAGATGGCATATTGAGCTGATAGTCAGGTTGATTGATGGTCGGGTGGGGACTGGGTTTGAAGGAAGTTTCCGCTTTAGGAATGTGACTTGGAGGCTAGAAATGACTCATTGCCTTGGTCACTGCAGTGGGAAAGTGGGTGTATTTGCGATATAATGCGAACAATGCGAATATAATGGGTGTTTCTCTCTCACAGCTGATGGCCGCTTCCCTAAAGCGCGCCACCTTCTCGGGCTTATGGGATTCCTGGGCTTCGCCAACGTCTACGCCATGCGCGTGAATCTGTCAGTGGCAATCGTGGCGATGGTGAATCACACAGCGATCCCTGACCAGGACAACAGCACATTGGATGACGTGTGTCCAGCCCGAGGGAACAGCACAGATGACGGACCAGTGCTGAACGGTGAATTTGACTGGGATGAGTCGACACAGGGCATCGTCCTGGGGGCCTTCTTCTACGGCTACGTTCTCACGCAGATTCCAGGTGGCAGAATGGCAGAAACTGTTGGCGGAAAGATGATCTACGGCGTGGGAGTTCTCATCACGGCCATCTTCACATTCCTCACGCCCATCGCGGCGTACTGGAGCTTGCCGGCGCTCGTGATTGTGCGCGTGATAGAGGGCATGGGCGAGGGTGTCACTTATCCGGCCATGCATGCGATGCTGGCCAAGTGGATTCCGCCTCTGGAGCGCAGCAAATTCGCCGCTGTTGTCTATGCGGGATCCAACTTCGGCACGATTATCTCTCTGCCACTGTCGGGGTGGCTCTGCTCACTTGACTTCCTGGACGGCTGGCCGCTGGCCTTCTACCTCTTCGGTGCCTTGGGCGTTATCTGGTTCATCTTTTGGATGTACCTCGTCTACAATTCTCCTGCGCAGCATCCGCGCATCGAACCAGAAGAGCGACAATACATTCAGCGATCACTGGCACGCCGAGATGACGAGCTTTTGGACAGCGCCGGTGACAACTCGGTGCCCTGGCGTCACATCTTCACGTGCCTGCCCATGTGGGCGATCCTGGTGACCCAGTGCGGTCAGGCGTGGGCGTTCTACACGCTGCTCACCGAACTTCCCACCTACATGGACAATATCCTGCACTTCGGTATCAATGCCAACGCGACGCTCTCCTCGCTGCAGTACCTCACGGCGTGGATCTTCGGTATTCTGTCCTCCACCGTGGCGGACTGGATTCTGGCCAAAGGGTGGCTGAGTCAGAAGAACTCCTACAAGTTCTGGAACTCCGTGGCCTCAATTGTGCCGTCAATAGGACTCGTGGGCGTCGCCTGGGTTGGGTGCGACTGGAAGCTGGCCATGCTGATGTTGGCGGGCTTCGGAGCATTTCAGGTAAAGCACTGCGAATGCGACAAATAATGCCAGAGTGCACTGAACTCTGTCTTCCTCTGCAGGGAGCCGTTTATCCGGGCAATCAGATGAACCACATCGCCTTGAGTCCCAGATACGCCGGAACAATGCTGGGAATCACGAACGGAGCTGGGAACATGTGTGGCTTCCTGGCGCCTTACATCATCGGCTCAATTATTCGGGGCCACGAGACGCTCTCGACATGGCGGAGTATCTTTTACTTGGCGGCAGTGATCAACGTGGCGGGTAACTTTTTCTACCTACTCTTTGCCTCCGCCGAGGAGCAGCCCTGGTCGAAGCAGAGGCCGCAGGTGCGCTAAGAGGCGCTGCGGCGGCCAATGCCTTCCGTTTATTGTGATATCTCTTCCTTTTTACGCGCATAATCAGCGAGGGGATTCGCGATGAATCTGAATTTATTCTATATCGATTGTGATTCGTGACCAAATGTGCTTTTGATTCCTACTTATTTCGAGTGCATTTTATATCCCGATCAGTATATCTCCGCACAGAGTTTCACCACCCCGTCAAAGAGTATGATAATGTATAACTTAATTTTTCGACATGACGATGGCAATTAGACTCTCCCTTAAGATTCAATTGTACAAAATCCAGCGAGAGTTATAAATATTTTATTACGAAATTGTGCACATTTTGTCAAAGTCACACGATTCGACCCTCTCCCTGAATGCTTCTGCGAAGACAGCGTAATCACAGAGTGGGGTGTCGTCTGGGCAGCCTGGAATTGTTACAGGTCGTTCCTGGTGCATTGAGAGGACTTTGGCGCCAGTTGGGCAGGAGAATGTGACGAAGAGGAGATTGCTGGCGAATGCGTCGATCTTGCTGGGTCGCCAGGAGTGCTCGCCGCCAAAGGAGGTGTGCACCAGAGGCTTCTGGTCACGGTAGAGTCCCAGGAAGGCGAGATACTTCAGCAAAGTCCCGGAATGGGTGAAATACAGGGTGATATTGGGGAGTTTTGAGTATGGATCGAGGTGTTCAAACATATTCCGACCGGCTGGGCAGGCCTGGCGATAAGTCAAGTCATATCCGAAGCCATCGATCCAGTAATACTCAAGATCCTCGAGGAATTCCATGATCTTGACGCTTTCTCTGGTAAAAAGACTGCACCAAGGAGAGATTATATGGCGATCCCACGCCGTTTCGAAGGCACATGTCGTGTACATGAGATGAACGTCATCAGCAGATAAATCTTCAATCCCCGTCTTGCTCCTTAAGTTCTTCAGAAGCTGCAGAAAGTGGTCAGAAGCGGCGAAGAGACGCACTTGTTCCATTGCATCGGGATTCTTATCCACCTCAGACTTCCAGCGAGGACATCCCTTATAGAACTGCAAGAACAATCCAAATTATCAAGTATTCCTCTCATCCGTCTAACCAATAACTCACCCTCAGAATCGGATCTTTCTTTTCAGCCTTTGGATACCAGATTTGTTTAATGTTGTGTCGCCCAAAAAGGCCAGTGGCGAAGCTTTCGGCACTCTTTTTAGCTCTCTGCGTGTCTGTATACTTAAATTTGTACGTGGAGTTGTCGTATTGATCGAAAAAGAGGTCTGGAAAGCGATTCTGGATCCTCTCGGCCAATTCTATCAGCTCATCTTCTCCTTCCGGAACGAGAAACTTCTGCTCATCGTCGTCCAGTTGGAAATTCCAAGTACGAAATCGCTCTAAATCTCTGTCGCAGAACTCTCCTTTCTCGAGAATAATGTCCCTGTATTGCGTGAGTGTTGTCTTTATCCGAAAGATCTGCTTCCTGCTGGGATTTCTCGTACCATGACGAAAAATTCCCCACGCTCGAGTAGGAAAACACTCGTCAAAAGTGACTTTCTCGTCATTTGTATTCGCTACAACGCGATATGGCGTCTTTGTGGCCAAATGCTGTTCAATACGCTCCTCCTCAGCATTAAAACAAATTATATCACATGTTATTTCTTTGAGAATCACTGAAATTAAGGTGAAAAACAGAAATTTGGATGTCGACATCCTTTGAGACCAAAAAATACCACCTGTGAATTCCGTAAGGTGTCACTGATGGCGCATTGAAGGCAAGAAGTGAGGTTAAGCCGCGTGTTTTGGTTTTCCATGTGGAATTTCTATCGCAGAAAAAGTGCCTGAAAAATGGGTAAAAACACCCAATTAGTGATCAATTTACCACAGTTGCAGAATTTGATAAAGAAGGATCCCGCCTCGTACAAAGATGACTTTGTACAGCAGTATTCTCACTTCGAAAACACACTTGAAATTTTCAAGTACACTCCGGATCAGCCCAGCAAGAGTCTGGAGGATTCTGTGACTTTCGTGGCCCAGGTGAGGAGTTTATCTTGCATGTTGAGGCGTTTAGATGGTAATGGAGTGTTTTTCAGGTGGCTCAGCTGTACCTGGACGTGTGCAAGGACTTTCCTCAGCAGCTGATTGACGTCTTGAAGACTTTTTCAATCAATCTCGATCCTACAGTGAGAAATGCCTTATGCAAGGCTCTCATTCTCCTCAGGAATAAGAATTTGATTCCTGCACTGCAACTTCTTGAGCTCTTCTTCCAGCTCTTGAGGTGTCCTGATAAGAACTTCAGGGAATTCGTGCGGACTCACATAATAACGGATATCAAGAATATCAACGCGAAGAACAAAGATATGAAGCTGAATTCCACACTGCAGAGCTTCATGTACACCATGCTGGATGACTCGAATCCAAAGTGTGCTAAAATGTCCGCAGACATCATGATTGAGCTGTACAAGAAGAACATCTGGAATGACGCAAAGACAGTGAATGTTATTGCGTCTGTGGGATGTTTCTCTAAGGTCACCAAGGTACTTGTGGCTTCTCTGAGATTCTTCCTCGGCACTGATGACAAGGATGAAGAGAGTGGATCGGACAGTGAAGCTGAACCTGATCTCAGAAATGCTCTGATGGTCAACAAAGTGAACAAGAAGACGAAAAAGAGGAAGAAGCAACTCGAGGCGGCCAAGAAGCAATATGCCAAGGCGAAGAAGAAGAAAACTTCAGCTCCTTCCTTCAATTTCTCAGCTCTGCATCTCATCCACAATCCTCAGGGTATGGCGGAGAATCTCTTCAAGCAACTTCAGTCATCAAATGAGCGATTTGAGCTAAAGCTTCTGCATTTGGATGTGATTTCACGCCTTGTCGGTGTTCATGAGCTCTTTCTGTTCAGCTTTTATCCCTATATAACACGCTTCCTCAATCCTCATCAACGCCAGGTGACCAGAATTATGCAATTTGCCGCCCAGTCGGCACACGAACTCGTGCCGGGAGATGTTTTCGAGCCAGTGCTCAAGACAATCGTTAACAATTTCGTCTCGGAGCGCAACTCTAGTGACGTCATGGCGATCGGATTGAATGCCATCCGGGAGATTTGTGCCAGATGTCCACTGGCCATGAATGAGGACATGCTCAGCGATTTGGTCATGTACAAGACGTACAAACAGAAGTCTGTTATGATGGCCGCGAGGTCGCTCATTATGCTGTACAGAGAGCAGATTCCGCAGTTGCTGCACAAGAGGGACAGAGGAAGGCCCACAGAGGCGAGTGCGGATCTGAAGGCGAAGGAGTACGGAGAAGTGGTGGCGATGGACACAATTCCAGGCGCCGATGTGCTAGTGAAGGAGAAGAAGAGGCCCGAAGATGAGGTGGAAGAGGATGAAGATAGTGATTCTGACGCTGAGAGCGAGTGGGAGGATGAGGAGGATTCCGATGAAGAGGGATGGGTGAATGTCAGCCAGGATGATGAACCTGGAGAGGAGGAGGAAGAAAAGGAGAGTGAAGATCCTGTTGATGCTAAGGAAGCCGCTAAGGAGATTCTCTTGAGCAAGATCCTGACCGATGAGGACTTCAAGGCCATTGATGTGCACAACGTGAAGAGACATCTGACGGGAGCGCGCAAGAAGAACGAGCCAGCAGTTCAGGAGAAGACGGAACTTGTGAATCTTGATGCAATCGAGATGATCTACAAGAAGCGGAGGAACGACAAGGAGGCCAGGCTGGCCACTGTTGAGGCAGGAAGAGTGGATCGTGTCAAGTATGGGTACAGGGACAACAGGAAAAACATCCACTGCTCCAGGACGAACAGGGAGAAGAAGAAGAACAAGAACTTCCTGATGATGCGACACAAGGCGCGCTCCAAAGTGAAGAAGAGCTTCAGGGACAAGCAGCTCGCGTTGCGAAATCACCTGCTGAAGCAGAAGAAGATGAAGTGATGTGGTCAGGAAAGACCAGGGGATGTGAGCGTGTGTGTGTTCTCTGTATTCCTCAGTGGAAAGAAGGTTATCGCGTGTTTACGCTGTTATCTAATCAGAGGCAAGATTTTTTTGTCTTCCACATTTTTCTCGATTGCAAATATATTACAAAACACAGAGAGAAAAGCTGAAGAGTGAGATTTACAGAGACATTCACTATTATTGACAGAAGCTGCCTTCAGATTGAGGGAAATTGATGCGAAAAACATTTCTGAATGCTAATAAAAATGATGAGATTGTGAAACTGTATGGAATATGACATTGTATGACGAGGGCAGAGATGAGAGCCGTTAATCTCTGTATGCGTGTTGTTTGGAGATGAAGTTGGGATCTTAGTGTCTTTCAGTTTGAGATTAGAGCGTGGAAAGTAGTCTGAGAAGCGCTGTGCCACCATGAAGTTCACTCTGGAGGAGATAAACCAGCTGGAGAAGGTGGAATTCGAGGAGGTTTTTAAGAATGTTGTTGAGTGCTTTCCGGACGCGGCTAAGAATGTGTCCAATCAGGCTCCGTTCGCCACATTTTTCGCCCTTTTGGAAGCGTTTATGCAGCATCTCGATCAACTGGATCCAATGAGTAAGTAGAAATGGTGATTCAAAAGTTGGAACATCTTATCTTATTCCAGTTGAGTGATTGAGAAATTTGCAGCAAATCATCAAAATCGGTGCACAAACACTAGAAATGTGATCAAATTTGCCTTGCTTATCAAATATTGTGCATTTCAACTTGACTTTTTTATCTACGCTTTGGTAGAGAAGCTGGAAATTGTGAAGCTACACCCACACTTGGTTCCGGAGATCAACAAAACCAATCTCACCGATGAATCAGCTTCTGAGCAGTCAACTGTGGGACTCAATAGGATCACCAGTGAAGAGAAGAAGGTCATCCTGAGGGCGTCAATTGAGAACTACTGGAAGAAGTTCAACTTCCCCTTCGTGATCTGCGTGCGCGAGTGCAAGAGCACGGACGACATCATCAGCGCCGTGCAGGAGAGACTCTCCAGGACACCCGAAGAGGAGGTCCAGGTGGCGTTTGAGCACGTGAAAAAGATCACATCTCTGAGAATTGCTGACATTGTGTCACATTGAATATCTTTTTCGATAAAGTATTGTTTTTATTACTTTTCTTCTCGTGAATGTTTACACTATTAAATGTGTTTTTGCGTACAGATACAAAATATACTTCTTTTTCTCCACCTTGCATTGCCGTTTGCGTCATCTTCAATTACAAAAAAGAGTGCTTTTTGTGCCTAACAGAAAATCTCTCCTTTCCGAAGGAAGAAGAGATGTTAATCATAATTGAAGATGATGGATATTTACAACGAAAAATTGCACATTTATTTAGAAAGAAATATTTAGGGGACGGGATGAGATGCTTAAAACTACGAAAAGATTGTTTTTTTTTTACTTTAACTTGAGTATAAACTACAAACTAATTTTTTCTCTTTAAATATAATTCTAATGATAGAATAAGATGTGAATAGAAGTTATAGAGAAGGGATTTTCAACAGTTTTCTTCTTTCCTCAGCTATGGCGTGTTTTTTCTCCATTTATTTAAATAATAATTACCTAAGAATACCTCCTTGTTAAATAAGTGCCGCGCATCCGAAAGAAGAGACTTTAAGAAAAAGTTCGTTAACAATTAGAAAAGGGAAACAATGAATGGGTGTGTGTAACTCCTAGAATTTACATTAAGGCAAAACCTTACGAAGTAGAACCATATCTTAAGTATTACTTTAGAATAATTCGCTTCTCTCTCTCGCATATTCCGTGGTTGTGGGGGCGAAAAACTCTCTCAAAGTGTGTGATTAACTCCCCCGGACCGACGGCCGGAGGAGGTGTCCAGATGATAAATAATGTCACTAAGAAATCTCATATTTTTCTCTCTTCGCGTGGCGCCAGCGAAATCAGATGAGGGCGCCCGCCGAGCCGGCCGGCTGACTCACTTGCGGCCCGTGTAGGTGCTGGCCGGGCGTGGAAGGCGGCGGCGGCGTCATGCCGAAGGGGCTGTGATGGAGGGAGTGCGCGTGGAGGCTCATGGGTCCCATGCCCATGCTCATGGCGCTCATCTGATGCAGCGCCGAGTGGTGCTGCAGATGCAGCGGCTCGATCTTGGGCTTCGTCTCCATGATGCTGCCCAGGGCGCTCGAGTGGTTCTGACCCGCCGACGGATTCGATTCGTGCTTCTTGGTCTGCTTGCGCTCCTTAGCGCGCCGATTCTGGAACCATATCTTCACCTGGCGCTCCGACAGCGACAAAGCCTGCGCCAGTTCCGTCTTCCGTCGGATCGTGATGTACTTGGACGTGTGGTACTCCTTCTCCAGCTCCAGCCTCTGGTAGTCCGTGTACACAACGCGGTACTTGTCCTTCGTCCGGGTTTTGCCTGCAAGAAAAGAGTCTCCTTTTGAGTCATCGGGCTTTGCAAAAATATGACAATATTGCCTTGATGAGTAAGTTTATGGCACAATTAATGCAGTTTATGCTACGATTATTTGATTGTGAATTGCAAAGATTTATCAGTATTTTACGTAAGAACGTGACGTGCGACAGTCAGAGTCATTCTCAACGGTTAAAAATGTGATATTTTAGCTACAATTTTTTTGCATTGGAAAAGAATCCATTGCCAAAGATACAATTGTTGACTCATTTTGCGGATGTAATATTTCTTAAAAAGATTTTTCTGGATCCTCGAAAACCCCTGAGAATATACTAATGAGACCATCTATCAGAAAACCTTGTTCATTGGTACATGAAGATTGTTATTAGCTTATCATGGGTTTTCTTCATCTCTCACTGTAATATTCATTGATTTCCTTCTTTCTCTCTTACAGATGAATTTTCACCACTCTAGCCAATCTTAAAGACGCTACGAAGTGGCAGAAGAAGAGAAATCTACCCAGTTTGCACTGATGATGATGAAGAAACTGATGAGCGCCTCAATTAATTGAAATGTGCGACTTTTTCGCCAAAGAACAACAACACACATAATCGACAGCTTGGAGGAGAAACTCCACAACATGCAGGTATGAAATCTGAAAGTATTTTTGGATTTTATTTATCACCAAAAATTGGAGAGTGAAAAAATTGTGAAGCATTTGAAAAACTTCAAAGTGGCCGCCATCATTAATCCACACTTGATAAGCAGTTACGGGTTAAATATCAGTTTGGATAGCGTATGGGGTGATAAAGTTTTTCGTTTGATTAATCGTATAGGTATTCGTGATGGGGAAAAGTGTTGATTGAGAGACAAAATAATATCGTGTCACACTTTCTGCTCGAGTGGCGTGTGTGGGTGGGGATTTGGCCAAATTGGACGTGCAGGAGTTTTCGGGGAGGGCGCAATTCCAGGGAGGCGCACCCTGGGCCCATTTACCCACGCAGCAACTGACGCACGTCTGGCGGGGTGGGTGTGGAGCTAATGGGGACAAGAGGAGGCCTGGTGGGCAGAAATGATCGTGGGTTTTATCTAAATTGCGCGCAATTGTCGCGGTGTCTATGATGTTTGAGTTTCTCTATGGACAATTTAATTGATAATCAATTCTTCGACCCAATAAATTGACTCTCTCCGACCAAGATAATCCTTTTCATTGATTCCGACAACGCGGATTTTTATACACACGCGGCTCGCGACGTGTAAAAGAATTTTTATTTAGCGATTAAAAAATCACTTTTCAATGGCAAACCATAAAGTACACATCATTTATTGTGCACTTCAACATCGTGCTATTCAATTGAAGGCACAATGAAGAGCGTGTGTAATTTCTCTCCCTCCAGAGTCTCTCTGCTCTCGTTTGGCTTTCAGACCGTGACACGAAGGAGGAATGATTTCATGGGATATTGGATGGTTATTTAATTTCTCAGCAAACAGCGTTGGAAGAGGTTGCTCGGCCTCTCTTTGGCTGGGCTAAGAGCGTTGATAAGAGGGTTCAAACTTCCTTATCACTTGTTACTTTTGTTAACCTAGGTTTTAGGGCATTTATTTTGGTTATAGGATTGCTCTGTCGTATGCTCAGGGCGAAGAATGAGAGACACTGTCTCATGTTGAGGATTTGAGAGTGAAGAGGAAAGGTTGTCTCTTCTCTAAAATGCAAACAGCATAAATCCATCTTTTATACCCATTCTATTAGCTCACTTTTCTTGGCACTTTTTGTCTCACCTGAGCCATGAAAAATCTCATTATCGCTGGAGAATCTTCTAAATATACACAGCGTGAGGATGCTCGGCGTATGCTAAAGACGCGAGAGTGTCAAAAGCATTTTAATTTCTTTTCGTTACCATCTCCACAGGCCCATTCATACTCATTGCACTCAATTTGATACCGAGCGCTAAAGAGGTCTAACTATTTGACGAGGGGATTTGCCTCAGATTCCCTCGCCATTTGTCACATATTCCATATATCTCTCTCTGGGGTAAAATTAAGCCAATTGCATTTGACTCTCGATGCGATGATTCTCTCCTCTTCGCAACCCGGAAAAGAATAAACATACAGTACGTGGTGATTCATGCAGGCACACACGGAAAATACTGGGCTAATCACTCTGCATAGAGTGAAAATGACAAAATTACACAGTGCGGACTCTGAGTTTTTGTGTGTAAATATTTTTTTCGGCATTAAGAACTTTTATTGCCATTCTATTTATTTGGTTGCTGTAGTCCGTGAAATGATTCAATTATGCGTCGTTTTATATTCTCTCGCGCATCATCTCAAAAAGCCACCACGTGCTTCATTGCGGGGCTTTTTGCCACCTCTTCTGGGCCTGCGGATTAGGGAGACCTCATTGTTTCTCTATTTATAGACCAGCAAATACATTTAAGGGTTAATCTCAGTGACAAAACTGTTCCACGAAAAAAAGATTAGTGAAAGTAGGTAATATTTTGTAATTCGCACGAATAGTGAAATGAAAATATGTGTATTTGCATGTGAAACTTCTCAAAATGTCACGCAATTGATTTTTATTTACTCCAGATTCTTAATAAAGTCTGAAGATAAATCTAGTTTGAGAGACAACCAACAATTTGAAGCGAAACTTCATCAATCCCAAGAATATTAAGCTCTTTCAGACACATCTGACCACTTCGTGTGAATTCCTCTTGACTTTACGCAATGGTTGACGGAAAAACTTGCACAATATTTTTCATCAGCAGCAAATCTCCAATTTTTTCAACCTTTCTAATTGGCACATCACATTAAATCATTGACTGTCCATAAGGCAATTAATGTCTTTTTACACTCCTTAATTGTGTCGATGGCGTAACATTCACATCCTGTACTGTATGCTTTTTTACCCACATTCGCAATTGCTTGTGGGCAATTTCAAGTGCATATGTATGAAATCACGCCAATTTACAATTGATACAGTCTATTACAGAGGAGGGTTGGAGTTGTTAGTCGCCTTCTAGGCTTGGGAGGGTGAGTGAAAAATGACTCAAGCGATGGTGTGAGGCTGAAAATTTACGCTGCTGTATTTCTGTTGACTCCAGCAAAGATGGGTTTATTCATTACACGCTGTGGGAGCTCTTCTTGATCCCTTTATGCACTCTTAAGGCTCTATGATACACACCATTTTCACGCCAACAATTGCCTGGGGAGACATTGGCCAGGATCTCCTCCGTTATGTAGCAATTCTCCTGTATCTTCATGTATTTATTGTGTGTCGGTTTCATAGTGTCTATTCTTAAAGCTTCCACTGTTTTCCACCCTCGGCAAACTTGGTGCAAACTTCTTGCGAAAAAAAGGCGTGACAACGCCTGACAAAAGTCATGACAATTTGTATGTAAAGCGAGACACTGGTGACAATTTTCACGAGTCTATTTGTCTTCCTAAGAGACAAATATGATGTCTTTAGAACGTGTTGAGAATAATCTTTTTGTCACACCACTGATTTTCACGGCAGTTGGCATGAAAACCATAAATTGAGAGCTGTGTGGAAGTGGAACGGAAAAAGAAAGATGAAGGAAGTTTCGCTTGGGAGCCTCTTTTTTGCCCTATCGCGCTTCTTTATGTCCCACAGGAGGACCGCATAACGAATTTCACAGAAAGTTTTTCCCTCCCAACTCATGGGGCTTTAAAGAACAAAAAGCTATCGATCACGGGGTGATTTATGGGTTTCCGAAGGGTGATCCGATTGACTTTTCAACACTCTGTCTGTCCAAACGTTTACACCATTATATCGTGTTGCTGGCCAAACAGAGCCTGTGGGTGGACAAAGAAAGGCTCCGATGGCGGTGGAAGCCCTGCCCATAAATAAGGTGCACAGCAAAAAGGTCACAATCTCCTTAAGGAGAGTCTTCAAAATTTGTCTTAATTTATTCTCTGCACTTCTTGACTCTGGTGATTTCTTAGCGCCGGCAAAATCGACACTCATCCAATCAATCTTCTTGGGATTTCCCATCGTGAATGAGCTCTTTCTCTCACTTCCTGGTGCACTTTGGGGCGCATAAAATTCATATTATTTAAATATTTCAAATCCCCATGCAAATATCTCGAAGGTAATATTGAACACTTTCTTCCAATAGTGGGGATTTGGAGTCGTTTGTTGGCTGTGTACTGTGGCGTTTGATAAAACGACAAAGGAGAGCCGATTGATTGATAATAAGCTCAGCACTTTGCCAGTGTTCAAACAACTTGAAATCCCACAGATTTCTCAGCCCGAGAGTCTCTCTCTCCTCGATGCGCACTTCCTGGAAGTTCCCTTGCATGAAAATTTGGGAATATTTCGGAATATTTGAGAATATTTTGGGTTTTATGGTGGGTCGAAGGCAAGAATTTTCACTGTAAAATTTCCACCCCACAATTGACGAGAAGGTCCTTGGGCGATGATGGCAAGAATTGCCGAAATAGAGTGTCTCTAAAACATCAAACATGCCGCAAGAGATTTTTATGAATTTTTATTGCAGGCGACCTGCAAAACTTTTCTCTATGCTCGTGTTTTTGCTGACTTGTGACTCCTCAACGTGTGATCTCTTGCCATGACTTCACGAGAGGATCTCTCGAGCTGTGTGGAAAGTTTACCTGGGTGAAAATAAGAGTTCAGAGGGCATGTTTGGGATGCTTCTCAATTTCCTGGAAAAATAAGGAAATTGAGGGTTTTTCTATGGTCTCTTTGAGTCACACCGACGGCAGTTTCTGCGAAGGTGAAGCTGAGAAAAGTTCGTCAGCTGAAGCTTTGCGTATTTGCACGTCAATTATCATGTGAGTGCTGGAATTACAATTGGGAAGGAATTTTTTAAACCATTCTCATCTCATCGAGATATTTAAGCAATGAAGCATTTAATTACTTAACCGCCATTTCGTGTCTCTCCAACAAGAATGCGAGAAGCGAAGATGGAAGTAACAAGCTGTTATTCTTTTCAGCCTGTGGTTCTTCTTCTTTTTTACATCTTGTTTGTGCCATAAAAGTTGAGAAAATAAGACGTCATGCAATAGCTTTTTTTAATAATTTATATCTCAATTTTCGACTCTTTTTCCCCATGACTATTGTGTCGAAGATCCTCTGGAAAGGTGATCAATAAAAAAGCCATCTGACGATCGACCGACGGATAGTCAGAAGGCGGTCAGAAAGGGTGTTTTTCGAGTTTCTCATTCGCTTGGGAATCATCGAGGAACATGTTAATTAATCAAAATAGCTTTCTGGATAAAAATTCAAGCTCTTACCATTGCCACTCTTCACCTTTTGATAAAACCAGAGAGGTTTTGAAAGAGAATTTACAAGTTGGGAAGGAGAGATGAATATTGAGCAACACGCGATTGGACGTCAGATGCTTCCATTTTCATTTTATGCTTTGCGGTGTTATTTTTTGCCTTCCACCCAACATTTCATGTAATATATTGGAGGTTTTATGACGAAAATGGCCGACCAGCATTAAATATAATGCTAGGCTTTTGTATCATCGATGGTGGAGCGCATTTTGTGGGCACGAAGAGCGCGCATAGACGCGATTGCGTGACTGCTGGGCAAAGAAAACGGGGAGGGAAAGAATGTACATGAAATGAGATACTTATCTCTCCTTTTTCCATCATTCTCTACACTCAGTGTGTACTCACTATGTAATAAATAATACATGAACTCACATGGGCTGAGAGAGAGAGAGAGCTTCTCGCCATCCACCAACGAAATTGGGCGAGGGCAAAATTTAATGCTCAAAATTAAGGGGCTCGCAATTAAGAGAATACTTGACGTCAAGTTGGGAATGCAGTAAACTTTAATTAACTGTTTCCATTTAAAAAATTCGAATGTCATAAGGATCATAATTTGAGTGAAAGGAAGGATAATTGTTGGAGTTGATCACTTATTTTCATGTTTTCTAAAAGATTCCTAATAGTTCTGCTATGAAACTAACACAATACAGTATTATTGCACTTTACTCTTTTCTATATCCTTTTTAGACTTGGTTATGTGGTTTTATATTCTTGAAAATATATTCCTCCACCAACTTTTGATACAGATTTTAAAAATTCCCTTCTCCAGCACCAATTTGTCACACTTGCACGCCTCTTCGAACTTAAAAATTCCACCCGAAATCGCATTCCGTGATCTTCTTTCCGACTGAGTTGGTTTTCCAAGCGTGGAAAATGAACTCCAAAAGGCGTGTTTTCTTCTCAAAACCAGACGACTGCCAAAAAAAACGACGCCGAAGGCATGCAACAATGCCTAATTGTGGACATTCATCATGGATAATGATCGCACACCGCTTCTTTTTGCCTCTCCTTCCATTTTCTCTCAAGCTCGCAGAGTGCAATAAATTTTTAATTTAATTTTCGAAAGTTAATATCTCAACGCCAGACACAAAAAAACATCATCGTGCTTATGAATTTTTCACCACAATTATGTTGCAAATAACCACTATAAGACGTGTAGTTAATGAGGATGGTAAAAGCTCAGCCAAGTCACGTATAAATAAAACATAGAATATTTCTCTCGCCAGCATGGAAAAATACTACAATTTCAGAGTGCATTAATTAAGGCGAGAAAGGAGCAAATGAGAATTGTAAGCATATACAAAAATAATGTGTCCATGCAAAGTGAATTAGGAGGCAAAATGGGAACAGAAATTTTAATAATGTGGGAGTTGGAAAATTTATGGGGAAAATTCACGCAAGAAACAACTTAATGGGTGGAAAAAAATAGAGTGAAAAAAGAGCAACTTTGAGAAATGCGTGCAAGTTTTTCTTCATACCACTTGGATCCAGAGGTGAAAAATCTTGCAGTGAAGGTGCAGAACAAATGTTGACTCGTCCTTAAATTGACAAATTAATCACGCATTAATGGTGGTATTTATTCACAAGGAGGCTAATTTAGTTGCTAATACGAAGTCATTTGAAAATTCTATGCATTTCCCGGAAAAAATGATCCAAAGAAATTGATAACAGAACCACGAAAATACGAGAATTTAAAGTGCGCGCAAACAAGAGGATTAATTTGATAACTCCTTGAGAGAAGTAAAGATATGTAGTTGAGAGGCTCGATAGCGTTCAGAGGTGTTTATGAGACATTTGGGGAGGGAGTAAAAAGAAACTCCAACTTATTTATAGTAAGTAAACATTATCATACATTATCAGAATAGCAGCCGAGATTCAAAAAATATTATTTAGTGACTGCAAAATTTATTGACTGTTTATTGCTTTATTGGAGCGCAATTAAGGAGTACATTGTGAGCATTTGCTGACAATAAATTACTCTTTTTTCCCTCCTAGACAAATCATAACATTTCACCATTCGGGATCCCACTTGAGGCCAACATCTTCCAACTCCCTCGCACGTTAATTTATGAATATATTATTGCAAATTAAATATTTTATCTGCCTCCCACTCTGAACAGTACAGAATGATGTTCCGCTGAAGTTTTACATGATATTTTGGACTTTGGAAAAATCATTCAGAAAGAGATGGAAAGTGAGTGAATGGTTGATGTGATTTTATGAACTGAGGAGCATCAGATGGGTAGAATTGTGAGCGCAGCTCGACTCTATTTGCTCAAATTACACCAAATTTGTATAACTTAACTACCGCTGACCCTTTCTAATGTGCTAAACTTTTATGACAATTTTGTGAAATAGTTTTATGTACACAGTGCTCTCTCGCCTCCCGACACAGTGATATTCTTCAGGTGATTTTACTACCCTCCATATAAGCATGATTGCTTTACTATTGATTTTTTCCAGACACCCTGGCTCTCTTCCAAAAACCACGGGTGGAAATTTATCAGGAAGTGTGGTGAAAATTGTTTGATCGCCGACTTATCGGCATTTTGTGTGTGTTGCTTTGATACCCATATTTTCGGCTGGGCTTAACGCCCTCCTCAAAAGGTGATATAACGCCGTGAAAATAGCCGTTGAAGTCATGCCCGCGGGGAGAAAAGCCTGCGCTCAATTTCATACCAAGACACTTCCAGAAGTGTCAAGATGTATTAATTGAATTTAGTCTCTTTCTCAATCGCAATTTTCACATGGTAGATAATTCTTTGGTGCTGTTACTCAATCGCCGGAATCCATTTCATCTCAAGCTTGATTAAAATTGCACAAAGATCGTCTTTCATGATCGCCTATTAGGTTCAATTAAGGCTCTTTTCACATGTATTAGGAAGATTCACTTAAGTCTCCTGCACTGTCTAGAGAAATGAAGCCGTAAAAATTCTCTCAATTGTTTAAAGATCAAGAAAACATCCTTTTATGTCTCTCTTGTGTCCTTTTTTTAGGACTATGAAGAGTGAAAATCTGAATTTTATTTGCCACTAAATCCCAGGTAAAAACCATTGGAATGGCTTGACTGTGAGACGACAAGGCCGTAAAAAAGCAGGAGACACAATGAAATAGTATTTCCTATTTATTATTTTCCGTCTGACTTGGCAAAGATTGAGATATAAAGCTTTTAGGATCATCCCAAATGTCTCAATACTTCAACTTTGTGTGTCAATAAAAATATTATTGCTTTTTTATTCTTCTCCGGTGATTTATGCATTTCTCTGATGCATCCCTGGGCACTGAAAAATATGAAATTCCACCCCAAAATGTTGCAGGTAGGAAAAAGGGCCGAGTCATTTGCAAAGTCAGAGACACTCCATCTCAGCGATACAATCCAGCAATTGTCCACTCGTGATTCCAGAGAGCAGTCATGGAGCAATCACGACAAATGGCACATAATTAAATTTATTGGTACGATGAGGCTTCCCTCGGAGTCAATAAATTAAAAGTCTCTCAATAGTCATGAGAGCCATTTTGGGGGCCAGAAAATATTCCTCTACCGTTCAGCGCGTGTCCAACTCTGTCCACCTCTCAATGAAACAATTAATGGATTTCCTTTCATTGCCCATTAATCGGGTGGGCTTATCACCCCACCGTTTTTTTTGCGCTGTCCGATAGAGATCACGCCTCTTCTGACGCTCCGGCTAGAATGTGTGCTATCGTGCATTAAGTTAATTCGCAAGAAACCAGAGAGATTACAAGACAAGGGCAATAATTCTTTCTCCCCAAAAAGCACTCGTGACAATCAATATGGAGTGGGAGGGGGTAGACAGAGACGATAACCAGCATTTTCACACTTGAAAATCCATAATCCATTGACGTCTCAAATGCTCTCTCCACACAACTCGGCGTGTTTTTCCCGAATTAATGGGGACACAGGGTTCGGAGCTCTCTAGACTGTACGGATTTTGAGGATTGATGGATGATTTGGTGGCAAAATTGATGTGCTTTCATTGAGAAATCCACGAGAGCTTTGGGAAATTTTTCAGCCAAAATTCTCAAGAGTTGGTTTTTAGGATCGATTATGGCTATTTCTTTTGGTATAAAAGATAAGAGAACCATAAAAATCGTCTCTATTTGAAGGTTCTTCCTGGATCATCACCTGTATATCAACAGTATTTTGTACAATCAGGTCCGCAGATCGTTTTCCAGACTCAGATAAAAAAAATTCCAAATCAAATGCATTAACTGAAAATGGATTTTTCTTCCTTATGCGTCAATCGAAGTAGAGACTTGGCTTGTAGAAAATCCTTGGTTTTATTTTCTTTTTATAGCATTTTTGCATTAAATTAATGCTTATTGAATTTCCTGTTGAGTTGTGGCTCAGCTAATATACTCTTATTTCAGGACACAATATCAAACCTTGAGTTTCAATCTAGATAAACTCTTGGGCATAAAATCTAAGTGTATTGCTACTCTTAACTTCTCTTGAGAGGTATTAGTTTTTGTAGTCCAAGTGCTTTTCATCTCTCATTTTGTAACTTTTTTCTGTTATACTCATTCTTATCATATAGATTAGTCAACAGCTAAATAGGAAGTGCAATCAATTAAACAATTAAAATAATTTGTGATCAGTTTAAAAATTGATAAATATCTTTGTGTATTTGAGGTGAATGTGACTCTGCAGTTCAAATAAGGGTAAATTAGAAAAAAGCAAATTGTAAATTATCGTGATAAAGTTGTTTCCATAATCAAATATCAACCGAAATTAAAGTGTCTCACGATGAATTTAGAAATAGTGAGCGATTTACCTGGATTCGTCTGATTCTGATACGATGACTTCTTCATCCACTCATAGGGACTCTTGGCGGGCGTCGGCCGGGACGCTGTGTGCGGCGATCCAGCCCCATTGGCGGCTCCGGGGCTAGACATCTCGCTGCCGGACACAGTGATGGGCGGCGAGGGGATATTGGTGAGCCCATCGGTGCTCATGTGTTCGCCCGACTGCCCCATGCCGCCGGGAGGGCCATGGCTGAGGTGCAGGCCCGGCGTGGCGGAGCCGCTGGTGGTGCTCTGGTGGAGCAGGCTGTTCTGCGGCGGGGAAAAGTTGTCGTGGCTCGGCCAGTCGGGGCTGCTCTGGTGGAACATGGCGTGATGTGTGTAGTACATCTGCTGCGCCTGAGGATCGGGATCTGACCCGAAGAGCTGAGGATTGGGGGGCTGATGATAGTTCGTCGCGGCGTACCAATGGTGGTTGGGCGCCGGGTAGAGGTTGCTGCACGGATTCTTGGGATACATTGCCAGATTGTGATAGTACGACACCATTTCTAATTTTCAAGTTTCAGTCTCTTGCCGAATCATTCACTTGCAGTTCACAGGAAAAATGCCCGAGTCACTATTGTTTTCTGCACAAATCCATGCACAATTCCGGACACTGAGCACTTTTGATCAATCACTTATTGCATCGATGTGTCTATTTCTTAGGCATTCGACGGCAGCGTTCCCTTGGTCACATTGGCTGAGGCGGTGAAAATAGCGGGACAACCAACCATGTCAGTGTTCACAGCTCAACTGAGGCGCGATGGGAGATTGCGTGCTGAGGCCCGGAACAATGGTACGAAAAGGTGGAGCCATTCACTGAGTCTCTGAGCCAATCCGGTGGCTGGAACAGCTTCAATGTGGCCGACATTGCTGAGGAGTTGGAAACCAATGGTTGATTTCTGCGGCTGGCTGAGAAGCTGATAACAATCGTGAGCATTCTGTTATCTCTCCCACTTCTATGAGCAACAGACAGGACGCCCGATCGATATTCAAATTGATTTTTTCGCGTGCGCCGAGATGAAGCACTCAATTCGGCGCTCTCTAAACTACGTGCGGACTCCTAGTGCGTCCCTGCGACTCCTGGATTTGGGAAAGTCCCAGAGCGCAAGGGACAATGTGACGTTGGCTGTTACTTTTATGGCCACAGGTCGAAACTACCTAAAATTTGCCCTCAGATTTGTGCCGAAATGAGCCCAAAGTGAATATTAGGCCATATTTAAATACGAAACTTGCATTGTCTCCACATTGCTAATCCTATTCTGGGTCTTTGTCCTTCACTCTGGCACATGCAATGCAGAATCTTGCTGCACCCAAATTTATGCCATAACATTTTGCATTTCACCCCCAGGTAGAATATTCTTCTCTTGTGCAAGAATTCTGAGAAATGTGAGATATTTTAATGCCTCTGGCAGAGATCATGTGGCAAAATGTTGCAGAAAGCTTTCACACAAGCAAAAGTAAGGCAAAGAATAATTGATTGGACGCGATCTCAAGTCAATTAGTTAACCTCAAGAAGACGAGTAAAAGTCTCATGGTGAGTTTTTGTGCATGAAATTTCCTTCTAAATTTATGACTACACTGACTCGAGCCTTGAAGGCACCCATTGGAAATACAAACAAATAAAACCACTATGAGATGTTTTAACTAACAACCAACCTCAAATCATTACGAGGAGATTATTTATTTACACGAGTGACAAGTGCAGCTGAAAAGCAGGTTTATTGAATGTTGTATGACTTTACTTTAAATATAACTGTACTTAGTGGCATTTGCAGAAGGATAAAGCAATATCAGTTTTTTATGGGGTGATTTAGGCTTAATAGACAATTGCTGAATTCTCTCACGCGAATTTTCTACAAAACACCAGATAAAAACTGTAAGTTTTAACTCAAAGTTTGAATTTAATAGAAAGCTTTTTGTGTGGATTTGCCTGCCTTTAAAACTATTTTTTACTCCCACATTATTGAAAGCATATTTTAAAAAATTGAAGAAATGCAAAAATTATTTGAATATAAATTTATTGTTTATAATATTCAGTCCAAAAATATCACACTTCTTGTATTTTATTCAAATGACTTAAAAAATTCATATTCATTGAAATCCATTCGGTAAAAACACTTTGAATTCTACTCACGATGTTGCGACATAAAATCTGCTTTTCCAATTGCATATGTAGCTCAAGAAGATTACAAGAAATTGGCCTATCATAAAAGCCAATCCAATTTATTCTCTGTGTCTCTAATCACGCCATTGTTCTGCCTAATACAGTCAAGCATGAATTCAATTGGGTTGAGAGTTCCGAGAAAAAATCCTTGTTCACCTTCACTTAATTTGCCGATTAAGCTAACGGTTCGCCTTCTGTTTGGCGTCAAAATTGCGCAGAATTCGTCCATGGGCGACGACACACAAGCAGAGAGTGACAAAAGAGCGAGAGACTTTTTGTGTGCGCATATTCTCCAGTGCACAATAAATAGGAGACCTCTCGATATTTTGAAATTAATTCCGCAGCAAGCTAATGGCATTAGATTAGTCCGCAAGGAGGGGCGCAAAGTGGAGTTTTTCCGTTAATAAATTCGAGCCTCTTAGCACAGGAGGAGCCGCGATGGGGAAAAAGCGCGGCCAAGAGAAGCCCATTCTGTGCGTAGTCACTTTGCGGCCAAGCGTCGAGGCTGTAAATGAATAATAAAATTATGATTATACGACTCTTGGGTTTTCGATGGAAGCTTGAGAAAAATAATCTTAATCTTTTCCCGTCAATGGAACACTCTGCTTTTCGCCGTGTCCGCATCGGCAGATGTGGAGGGGGAGAAAATCAATTTGACCGAAGTTTGTCATTAGTGGGTCTCTTGTGGACGCTTTTTTGCTCCATCCGCGATTGTCCGGCGAGTTGATGCCACGAAAATGAGAAGAAGCATAAATGCTGTGGACAATTTCCCAGAGTTGGAGTCAATAAAGTTAAGCATCCGTATAATTGTAATGTGGCTTTATGTAAAATAATAATAGTGCAGTAAAAGGAATATTAGAGTCAATACAGGAGCTTTCTCTCTTGTTTGCCTCAATTGCAACTTTATACTGTGGCAAAGTGAAGGAATAATAGTCATAATAATAAAATATTATTGAAATTGCCCAATTATATTTCATCAATAAGACAATACAGGTTACATTTGTTCTCTCATAACTTCCTCACCCCGCCCAAATATCCACCTTCCGTCATTATGGCCTCCGTCAACCGTCTTTGCTCTTTTTTTAGGGGGTTTAACCACCCAATTAAGCAGCTAATCTTTTTATTTAGATTGGGCGTCTTGCCTTTGACGCTGCACTGGATGAGAAGTAGGGAAAATAATATTTGTCGTCCAATAAAATAATTTAGGAAATACTTTTGACGTTGGCTCGCAGCGTCTTCCCAGACATTCGTTCTCCCTCTTGCGAAGGATGGGAGTGAAGGAGGCACCTGGTAATTTACCTGATGCACGCTTCATCCTCATTTTCGCCGTCCAAGATGCCCGCCGCGGCATTCCGTGAGGGGCTGACGAGAATACCTTGGGGAGAAGGAGGAAAAAACTCTAGTTTAGATCAATTTTATTGGTCTTAAAAACAGAAATGTACCCCTTAGCGGCCCTTTCCTCAATAAACTTTTACGATAGGATTGCATGCTCTCGCAGCGTATATAAACTAAAAATCGAATGGACAGCGTACATAAGGCAAAAGTCCAATAAAATCCAATTGCCGCACGCATGAGTACATAAGTTTGGCTCACTGAATATATGCGGCCACATAAGGTAAAAAGGCACACATTTTCATATTTCTCTAAATTTATTATTTTTCTACACTCAAGCGCGAACGAAGAGTTCATCAAATTATTCACCTTTTACGGCCTCTGTCGATACAAATTTTGTGCTAAAATAAAGAATGAGTGCCATTTGTGAAATTAAGCAATTTTTATTGGTCTTGGCGATGGCGGAAAATTGGGGGGCTTTTGATTAATTTCCCACAGGGCTTAGCGCTTTTGTCCCTCCATAAGCCCTATTTGGCCATTGAGATCTTTAAGCTGGAGCTCTTAATCCGAGCCGAATTACCGCAGACACTCCTTTATGCGCCTCACGGCGAGAAATAAAGAATCTACGGCACCAAATCGACCAAATCAATAGTGGCTCATATAGACACATTTATTCCTAACACATTAGAACACTTCAAGGACTATGAGTAATTTTATCGGAAACAGTTCTGAAGAAAATAAGGCATTATTCACATCTTCACTGAGTTTATTTCGTGTATTGATTGCTTGTGACAACAGAATTAATCAATGGATGGATTATGATTGACTGAAGCTAAAATACAGCAATTCTTTAGTTGTTTCATTATGAAAATACGTGGTTTTTAGGTTGAGATTTTAATATTACACAAAATCTCAAGACTGTCTATGAATCTGACTAAAATTTGTCCGCAAAACCAGCCATTTTCCTCTCTCAGACAAGATAATTTTTCTATTGCTGCGCGAGTGCAATGTCTCTGGGGCTGAAATGGAAATTTTCGAGACGGTCTCGCTTTGCGAAATTATCTCAATTGCCCCTCAAGTGCTTCACCTCAATTGTTCAATGCGCGGCGCGCATTCTGAAAGCGCGACGCCGCAAGAGCGAGAGAAGAGTGTCTTCTTTCGAAAATCGAGCGGCCAAGACAGCATGTCTATATGTTATCATGTGCGCTCATGGCAATAATTCTCGCTGCTCTCTATTGTAAATGTTTGCCGTGGAGGAGAAGAATGATGTATGTGGTTGAATATGAGGTGTGATAAGGCGCTATAACTATAAAAATCCTTTTTAATTTTACTATTTGTCAAATAGAACTAAAAGTATTTCAATAAAATGATTTACAGTCGCACTGTCGCATCGTCATAAAAGGCAGAGGCTCAGTGCTTTTTTCCTTCTTCTTCATCGCGGTGGAAAACTGTGTATGGGCATTTCGACATGCTGCTTTTGTGATGTGTTTGTCTCGACGCTTTTTTATGTGCGCACAAACTTGAGGAAAATCATTTCGTGTTATCAATTTTAGCGAAGAATTTTCATTCCCATTCACGTCTATTTGCTCGCGTTGATGTGATAAAAAGGACTCGCTGTCGCCTCAGCAACTGACAATAATGTATCAAGTGCCAGTGTTTTATGGGCGTCATGAGTTAATTGCTGCATTTTGGTGTCGTCAATCGAATTAATTGCCATTGAAAGTGGGAGAAAAATGTGGGGAATTGTGGCATGAGGGCGGCGGTTATTGTTCAAATAGTCCGGGAATTAATAGCATGATAGTGCCGACTGGCGCCAATTGCATGATAGTACGATTGAGGTTATTTTCTGTGCCATCAACAAGTCTTGTCGTGTTTTGTTGTGAAATAGCGGGGAAATTCAGTGGTTATTTCTCTAATTTTCCAGTGAAATCTGAGAAATATACGCCATGGCGTGTTCTCCGGAGCAAATTGCACTCAAGCGGCAACAGGCTCTTGAGAGATTGAGGGCGAATCAAGTAAAAAACACAGAGGCGAACACTTCGACAGCAACCATCACTTCAGGGCAGTTTTACGGGTCTGGCCAAAGTTCTCCGGCGATGCATCAGCAGAAAACCCTCCCGGGGAAGGTGGACAATAAGATAAAGCCACAACCATTGAAGGACAATCGCATCTTCTCGCAGCCTTATGCGAACAGAGGCAAGGCGAGTGATGTGGAAAAGAAGGAGCCCAAAGTATGGCCCGGGGCGCTTGCGAAGACAGTCTGCAAGTGCGCTCTGGTGTCCGAGGAGAGATTTGGCGTGACTCTGAGTAATTTCGACCAGGCTGTGAACGATGCTATGAAGATGATCGCCTCGAGGAGCTTCAATCAGGAGCAGAAAGTGTGGTCGTTCCTCCTGAAGGACTACAAGAACTTCTTGAAGGCGATGGAACCGCTCGCACATAAGGTGACTGTGGAACATCTGCCGCCATTCATTCTGAAGCTCTTTTCTGGACAAAAAGAATCGACGGATATGAGGATGGACATGTCCTTTCTGAGCAGCATAGAACCGAAGTTGGCCGACGCACTGATGGACTTCCAGAAGGAAGGCGTTCGTTTCGCCATTGAGAAGCAGGGACGATGTATTATTGCGGACGAAATGGGCCTGGGAAAGACTTATCAGGCACTCGCCGTGGCGGACTTCTATCGCGATGACTGGCCAGTGTTGATCTGCACCACGGCGATCACAAGAGACGCGTGGGCGGCAAAAGTGAGGGAACTGTTGCCTCGAGTGCCTGTGCACAAGATCGCTGTGCTAGATTCCGCCCAAAGCCTCATCACGGATGCGTCTATCATCATCAGTAGCTATGCCATGATGGACAAGTGCATGGCAAAGATCCAGAGCAAGAAGTGTGGAATTTTGATCATGGATGAATCGCATTCACTGAAGAACAACAAGACTAAATGCGCTGCGGCGGCGCTGAATTTTGTCAAGAAGGCCCGCCGGGTGATTATGCTCACGGGAACGCCGGCGCTGTCGCGTCCCAGCGAACTCTTCACGCAGCTCCAGATGTGCGACAGTTCATTCTTCAGCTTTAAAGAATACTGTAAGTGTTCAGCATGCTATTCCAACTCCTCATCTCTGATGCCTTTCTTCTTTCAGCCAAGCGATATTGCGACGGACACGAAGGTAAATTCGCTTGGGATTCCAGTGGCAAATCTAATCTGACGGAATTGAATCTTCTGCTGAGCCGCAAATTCATGATCCGTCGTACCAAAAATGAGGTGATGGATGACATGACGGAGAAGAGGCGCGAGGTGGTGATTCTGGACAAGGATCTGGTGAGCTCAAGAAAGGAGTTTGGAAGTCTCTTGGACAAGTACTCCCAGAGCTCAGGAAAGCAGCAGAGAGAGATCCTCCTCACCTTCTACTCAGAAACCGCTGTTGCCAAAGTGAAGGCCGTCTGTTCGTACGTGAAGAGCGTGATGAAGGAGAAGAAGAAGGTCGTGATCTTCGCCTACCATCACGTCATGTTGGACGGACTGTCTGAGTGCCTGCGAGACTTCAAAATCGACTTCATCCGAATCGACGGGGAGACGAAGGCAGAACTCAGAAGTTCGATGGTGAACATGTTCCAGACAAAGCCACACTATCGCGTTGCTTTGCTGAGTCTTAAGGCCTGCAATGCCGGAATCACTCTCACCGCCGCTCAGCTGGTTTTATTTGCTGAGCTCTACTGGAATCCCAGCGTGAGTATAAATAAACAATAGCCTGTGTTGCCCAGAGTTTCATGGTTTGACTGACAATCGTTTCAGACTCTGGCGCAGGGCGAGAGTCGCGCCCATCGCATTGGACAGGACGAGAACGTGGTGGTGCGCTATTTGCTGGCCAAGGGAACAGCCGACGACATCATCTGGAACATGATTCAGAAGAAGCAAACTGTCCTCAATGACGCTGGCGTGGGCTGTGATGATTTCTCCGAAGTGGCGTCGTGCACTGAAGTGTCTTCTTTGGTGAAGATCAGCAAATTCTTCCCCAAAACCCCAGCGAAGGAAGCCCAGACGCCGCAAGTCGGCTCGTCGAAGGCGCCCGTAGAAGCCTGTGATGACTTGAAAAAGCTCCTTGATGAGGACGATGATATACTTGCTGACATGGATTTCTGAATTAATACAGCGAAGTTATTCCATTTTTTTTTTCATTCACTGTATTTAAACTTCTCTCATCTGATTTCATGCCATTCTCATGTTTACCATAACAATATATTAATAAAAAGGAATAGAAGTTTCATATTGTCACTTCTTTTTTTCTTGCGCTATGACAGATTTTTCTCTGTTCTCTATGTAACATTCTAAGGCAAAAATAAACAGTAAAATATAATTTCACTTAGATTCTATGATCACAAGATCAACTAGTATTTAGTAGATGTGCTGCGTAATTTTCTCACTCGCTTCTGTTTAATTGTTTTTCGTGCTTGCGCGATGACATTTAATTCTGTCTCTTATTTTTGTACATTTGCGAAGGAGTTTCGCCGACTACAGTCAAGAGTAAATTAATCATGGAACACTAGAAGGATGCACTAGAAGAGTTGCTCAAGCAAGATATATCTCAGCCGTCACAGTTCAGGACTTGTTGGCCAGGCGTTTGTCGTTGCCGTAGAATTCGCTGTTGAAGTGGCGCGTCAGCAGGTAAACCACCCCCTCGTAGGTGGTCATCATGATGGCTGTGTTTGGAATTTGTCGCACCAGCTGAGTTGCCAGACCCCTGAGAGAGACACAAATGACAATTTAATCACGCTGTGAGAACATTTCTTATGCAATTTGCTTAGAATGCGCCACGGCAATTGCATTATTCTTAATGATTGTTTACACAGTTTTGTCAAGTCTATAAATAACTCTCTGCGCTCTTCCCAAGCATTGTCAAGTCATTTTATGGTCAATTTCTCACTTTTCCCACTGATTTTTCCCCATCGGGCATTCTCAAGGGCAAATACAAAGTGGCCGAGGCCCCGAATTGGATCATCTCTAATCGCGCTTTCGTGCAGTCAAGCAACCATGATGAATATTCATTTTAATGAGAGAAAGAGAGCAAATCACTCTTATCGCACGTTAACATTTCGAGGAGTGACGCAGGCGAAAAAGGTGAAGGAAAGTTTTAGCATTTCAGCCAAGTTGTCTCAATTTATAAATTGACGATTGTGTGTTTCATCATTTCCATTTCCCAAAAACAACAAATAAAGTCGTGTGATTTTTGCCAAAAAAAATTGTACACAACGTTTAAAGCATTTGCGCATAAAGAGAGTCGGATTCTTACCTGTAAATCCCTCGCCTGCCTTCCTCTCGCCACACCGTGGCCAGTGTTTGCCAGAAGGAGCGATACTTTGTGCCCTCCTCGCGTAGTCTCGTCCTCGCCACCTCATGCGGATACGCCACGCACGAGGCGATCGTCTTGGAGATGGCACCAGCCAGCATGAACTCCACAAAGTCCCTGGATGTCTTGGCCTCAGTCGGATGTGCGGTTCTCAGTTCAATCTACAATGTAGAGAAGAAGAAGCAATTAGAAGTTTCCTTCATTTCTTTCCCAATTTAATCATTAGAATTGAAGGTAAAATCAGTTAAAGAACACTCAAAAGTCCTTCAAGTTTCTCCAAGAAGTCAACAAATTCTTCCACAATATCTAAGAAACACTAAATGATTGAGTGAAAATTGTCTCACCAATTTCCTCTTGAGCGCTTCATAGATCACAAAGTGTATAACAGTCTCTGAGATGCCAAAATAGCTGGCCGTGATGCCTTTGTAGAAGCCACGGAAGCCGGATTGCTTATATATTTGGTAGACGCACTTTCGGACAGTCATCTGATCCTTGGACGCGTGATCCAACTGCAGGCGGGTCTTCACGAACCAGATGGGATTTGTCGCCGACGATGCCACGAAGCCAGCACACGAGGCACTCAGAATGTGAACAATCGGCGAGTCTGGCGGGATGATTCTGCATGAAAGTCAACCACATTAGTTCACTTATTGAGCTTCTCAGCCTCCCAATTCTCATCACTCACCCATCTCTGTTGAGGAAGCCCTTCGTCTGTGAGTACGCACAGAAGTAGATGGCCCTGGATGGAGCGACACCCACGATATTTGGCCCCAAGCCCTTGAAGAGCGCCCGCGGACCCTCTGTCTGGATAATGTGTCTGAAAAGATGGAGAAGAGGTCAGCAAAGGGTGCAAAGAAGGCACGAAAGTGTGCTTGTGTGTGTGTTCTTGTGAAATATATACTGTAGCAAATTAATATAAAATGAGACGTGAGAGAAAATGCGACGACTTTTTGCAGCCACAACAAATCATACCAGAGACACAAAAGAAGGGGAATGAGGATGAAAGCATGCAAATCGCCGGGTCGAATTCCTCCATCTCGCGCTGATCAACACGTCTCTCCACGCCTTCCCTTGAAAGACAAGTCCGTCTTGAGCGAGAGAAACAACATCATTTTGTGTGGGGCAGAGAAGTTGATTAAATAGCAAAACAGTCCGTTTTTATCATGTCTTCTACACCTCTTGGCCAAGGTTCACACAAGTGTGATTCAATTTTCGAACATTACAAATAGCAAAAAAGTATAAACTCAATCGCACACACGCTAAAGAACACTTTGGGAAGATTCCATCGCGTTATCATCGCTAAATTGTGACGATTGTGCTGTAAGAACGCATATTGTAAAGCACATTTCCACTGAAATGCCTAATTAGAAAGTTTGTTTACAAACACCAGCAGCAAAAACATGCTTCGGGGGAAATTGTCACAAAAATCCCCCTTTCAATTTTCACTGAATCAGGTCTCCCCGTCTATTTCACAGCTAATCTCTTGCCCACAGAATTCAATGTGAAAATGATTAGTATTGTTCGATGAAAAAGCCACAATCGGTCAAATGGTCGCGGAAGAACCTCGGAAATGTGCCCTCCAAAAAAAAGCTAATAAAACACAGAGTGTTATAATGAAAATGTCCCCATCAGAAAGGCGAAAAAAAAACAATTACACTCTTATTTAAAGAGATGAAATGGAAGATTTTGGAGAACGCAAAAAGAGATCTCACACTGCATCTTTCACACCTCACTTGGCGTGTGAGAACACTTTTTCACAATTATCACATCGAATGACTCCTTCCACGAATAATCACAATCAATTAGCGATTGCGTGATGAATTCCCAGATCGCCAAATTTGACCGTTTCACTGGTTGAAAGACGTTTCAATTGCTTTTGCAAATAATCTCCCCCTCTTATCGCTATTATCGGGGCGCCTTTTTTCTCGCAAATGCTCCAGAATTCAGAAGACAAACAGAAAGCAACATTGTAATAAATGTCAAATAGAAAAATGAAGACAATGTAGCGGCAAAAAAAGAAACATTGACGAAAGGATGATGAAATTTGCGTAAACTCACTTGAGACACTGCATAATACTCATTGATTTTGCTGACGATGAGATTCCACACGATGAAATTGCGATGATCTGCAAAGAGGAAGGCATTTGTGTGATTATCTTCAATTGATCTCAATTGGCGAGACGCTCTCACTTGTGGCCTCTTCCTGAGGATCGTTGTGCAGAGTCGCCGCCTCTGTTCGGGTCGCAGGAGAGCATCTGTGGCGCTGCTGGAGCCGCCCGATGTGCCGGATCCGCCGCCGGGCAGTTCAGGCACTCGCGGTCCGGTGGAGAGGAAGGCAGACGAGCTCTGGAGACGCGTCTTCACCACCTCCAGCGGACATGTGGCGACAGCACCCACCGTTCCGGCCACCCTGCAAGTCAGAAACAAAGATCTCATCAGCCTGAGCTTCTAGCTAAAGGAAATACAGCATGAGATTAAAGGCCCCAAAAAAAGCCTCCACTTCTAGCATGAATCAATGATAAGCCGGGGCGTTTTTTACGTGTGTACGCGCGCTCTCGAGTATAGTCACTTCGTCAGTGAGATGATCACTTGGTGTCCACGTGCTTTCCTACGTTTTTTACGGTTCTTTCGCAGTGGAATTTTTCCTTGTGCGCGCACCCAAAGACACCCGTGTCTCATTGCGTAAAATTGTCACTCTGTCCCGCAACCACAAGTCAATAACATCAAATCGGGGGCATTTTTTCCCATCTCCCGGCGAAAGGGTCACAGAGAGAGAGAGAGAGTGAGGCAATGTAGTATCCCATGTGGGATCACACAGAGTTCACCATTATCCGGATTTTCACTGTGGTATAAACATTGAGAGTTACGAGAGTTGGGCGGAGGGATTCTCGAGCGACAAGATTGTAAGGCACACAGAATAAATCACACTCCGCCAACCAGTTCATGCCGGTTCGCGACTGATAACTACGTTGGCAATAATCACTTTTATTAAAACACACTCGACAGAAATAGAAATAAAGTAGGAGAAAAAAGATGCGATATGCGCAAGAGAGAGAAAGATCACGTCGGATACATTGGTTCTTTGTTTTTCTGCTCCCAATACTTTAGCCACATTTTTATACTCACCCCAGAGAGAGTGTGGAAAAGCGTTGAATGAAAAACTATGGAGCCGTTTGGCAAGATATAGAAATATCATATGATTGATAGGTTTAAATATATCAGTCAACGTGTTTTTGTCAACACATGGGCGGGGCTTCTAAGTGGGTGTGGCCAGATTTTTCTAGCGAACTTGTGCACTAGTCAAATCCGAAAGCACTTAAGTGTGAATTCAATAAATGTCGTTCAAAAATAAACATTAAGCAGTGTTTGTATTTAGCAAGTAATTACTCAAATGATCAGAACCGGAAATTATTCCTAGTCTTAACCAGATTTCTGACTCCCAAATCGAAAAATCTGGTAAAATCCATCGCTACTCATGTTTTCATTCACATTTATTGTTTCTTTCGAATTTTACGACCTTATTATTCGTTATTGCGCCGATCATTGCCACTCTGCAATCAAGCACTTAATGCTCTTCCCATCAATCCTTTCTCTGGTTCATCTCGCGGGTCCAGAGAGCAGACATGCTGAATGTCACAACCCTCGATCGCGATCGTTCATGTGATCTTTACCCGGCCAAAGAGAGCGTTCCAGTTGTTTCCGGATCGAGAAGAGATTCATCATTATTAAACCGCTTCTATCGCGCCACTGTAATTTCACTGTTTACATTACAAACCGACACAAGAAAGGCAAAATGATGTAAACAACCAATTCGCGCGAACGATAGCGCCGAAAAAAAAATCAGCGAGGTCAGTCAGAGGAAAAGAAGCATCCACACAGCATTTGGGTGAAATATTCTATAGTCACCATCCAGAATCAACCCAAAAGTCAATCCAGATCGGTTTAAACTGGTCCACACGATGCCCAAACACACAAAAGTCACCCAGATTTCGCGATTAATCCCGTCATTTCTATCGTCACTCTGATTTTTATTTTGCACAGCAAAAAAAGAAACTCAATGGAATTTTTCACTCAAGCACACACAAATACACGTTTAGAAAAATTTTTGTACAAAGGCAAATTCAAATCTCTCGCACTCTGTTTTTCCTCTGTCCGCTGACTTTTTGTGCCGCTAAAGGTTTGGCTGCGAGATCAAAACTCAGCTCAACCAGAAAGTGGTGTGTTGCAGAAAAAAACACACACCATTGGATAGGCACAAAATCTTTTGCGTCAATTGACGGGCTCTTTGAAAAAATATATTTTCCTGTGGAAAATTTTCCCCTGCACAGCGCGCTTAATCATTGTGCTTCCCAAGAAAATCAAGAGCAAAATAAAAATATTGATGTAATCATTGCGATGCGGATTGTTTTGAAGGTGGCGTGAATTTGTTGCAAAATTTATGCGCGCAAGTTGAACGGCCCACAAATTCTAAACTTTGCCAGAATAAAGCGTGAGTTTGTGTGTGTTTTTTTTTCTGTGAAATGAGGAAAGAGGCAGAATGTTGACTTTCCAAATATTTTGGAAAAGAAAAATATGGCATAGAAAACTCAAGAGTCTCTATTCTATAGATAAGGAAGAAAATTTAATTTTTCTACGCTTTTACCCGAGCATTTTGCAGCTCTGAATTTATGACTTCTCTTGAGATGATTTACCCCTAAAGCGGCCTCATTTTCCGTATTTTCTTCTGACATAATCTGCTTGGCACTGAATATTAATACTCGGGCAGATGTTCCCATGAAATGGATTCCCAATCTCTCTCTGCAAATATTCACGAAACTCTCTCTTTCTCCCTCTCGCGATTCAATCGCGATTGATGAATAACATTATAACAACTACAAATGTCGAGAGGCCTCTTATAAATAAGTGACTTGTGGCTATTTTGGACCCGGTCAGAGTCTTCTAATCCTCAAGACAATCCCGCCAATCTATCGATAATCGCATGTGGCCTTGATTGGCGAAATTTGGCGCACTTTTTTCCACCACTATCGCGGGTAATCATTGAGAAATTGCGCACCTCCGCGGCGGGAACGGTGCATTTGGAGGTCGCATGGCTACGATAGGACAATAGAGAGACTTTGGGCGACACACAATCTCAGGCCTAATTATCGCTTCAGACACACGACACGAATTTCACGATAAAAACCTCTCCTCGCACGGAGTCTTGGTGGCGGAGGAGTTCGGAAATTGGGTCAATAGAAGAGTAGGAAGCGAGAAGCGATGGAAAATTTGGCACTGAGGTCTAAATAAAAAAAGAAATACGACTCCTCACCCTCCGGCCGTAAGGTGGATGAGCGTGTCCCTCTGCGTCCCTCGCTGTGCCATTGTCCTGGCCGGGGATTCCTGTCGCTTGTTGCTTTCTTGTTCGAAGGGATTCTTTGGCACAGTTCTCACACCACTCTTCACATTTAGTTGTGTGTCTGTGGGCTATTTATAGAAAGTGCAATTTCACAAGATCCCACCACTCATCCGTGGTGTTGCGGCTTCGCTCTCTGGGCGAGTTCAATGAGCAATTCTCCTGCCCAGCGCCGGGATGATGTGTTAAAAATTGGCAGATTCGCAATTTACCAACTCTCTTCCTCCACTGGCTGTCTATTAATATCTTGTTTATTTGGTATTTTTCAACCGAGAGACGTGTAGAGTCAAAAATATACGCTTTTTTTCCCCACTCTGACACGAGGAATTCAGTCACTCTGGCCAGCTCCTGAGGGAGCGCCTCCACACGGGCGCCTGCTTATGCAAGAGTCCCACTGCGTTATGTCACTAAGTCCACACTTTCTCCCCCTTCACACATGCACGCGCCCCACTAACTGTCCCAGAACTGCCTCAAGTAGTCCCCGAGAAGCCTCCGAAATCCTGTTTGACTGGAGAGTCGAAATCCACTACGCAGTTCTTCAGCCGCACGGAAAACCACTCAAAACTTGACTATTCCTCTTCACCTCGCGTCTATCACCATCAATTGCTCGTACTACTGATTTTGTACTACGCTCTGGTCGTAATTTAGCACCTCATGCACTGCGTGGCTCTGAGTAAATTGAAATGTTTTGCCAGCGCGATCGCAACGATGAATTCTGCGGCGACATTGGAATGACACTGGATGGCTATGACGTCACACCGGCGACAGATGCCCTCTGTCGGCAATTTCACCCTGACATCCGGACAGTGAGTCTCGCGTGTGGGCAGTTTTTCTCGTTTTTACCCGGTGAACGATGATTACAGCCAGTAGAAGTGTTATCAGGCGATTCCTGACCCATCCCCCGTCCACCTGGATCAGTGTCGCCAGTGTGCAGACACAGCCGCAGACCTCACAGACCACATCAGCGACGCCGCCTGAGGAGAATGTTTCCGGAAAGAGGGAAGTCACCAGGGAGGACTCAAAATCTCCTGGAATGAGAATAATCAGCACCAAAATAGAGAACAGACTGCCCAAGAGGGAGCCGCTGATGAAGAACATGTTCATGTGTCGTGTTGACACGGATTTACTGGTGTATCCTGAAGTCTTTAATTATCAAGACCATCCGGAAATGATGGAAAAAGTGACTCCCATTCAGAGAGCCTTTGATGGATTTGAAGATCTCTCCAGGATAGATCCTGAGGGTGTAATTCCGGACAGTGTATGGAGAAAAATTGAGAGTTTGGGACTTTTTGGACTAAACATACCACAACATTTCAACGGTTTGGGATATATTGTCACCGATTCTCTCCTTGCCTTGGAATCCCTGGCATCAGAACCTGCTCTCATGGCTGCTTTGGGAGTGCATCATCAAGTAGCCGAGGCAATACTGAAGTTTGGAACGGAAGAGCAGAAGCAAACCTACCTTCCTCGCCTGGCGACCGGAGAACTCGTGGCAAGTGTGGCTTTGAATGAGTGTAAAGATGCAGTAACTGGCTTCTTCAACACAAACGCTACTATCAATCACGACAAGACTGTCTGGACGATCTCTGGTGAGAAGTCATTCGTCGTGAATGGCAGAAAAGCCAATCTGCTGCTGGTCTTTGCCGATGTCGAGAGCGTCAGCTACAAGGGCGCTAAAGATGAAAACACCACCATTTTCCTGGTGGAAACAGATCGAAATGGCGTGGAGAAAAGCCTTGAGGCACAGCAGACTCTGGGATTCCGTGGCGCTGAGGGTATTTCTGTGAAATTCAACAATGTTGAAGTCCCATCGAGGAATATCTTGGGCGAGATCGCATCGGGCATTAAGGTTGGCGAGGAAGTTTTCAAACTGATGCGTCTGCAAAGCAGTCTCTCGTCCGTTGGCATTCTCAAGAAGCTCCTCAAGGAAAATGCTCAGTTCTGCGTTGACCGAAAGCAGGGTGACAAGAGCATGACTGAGATGGAGATGATGAAGAATCGCTTCTCTAAGATTCTCTGTGACACTTTTGCCATTGAGAGCATGATCTACTTCACCGCTGGCCTCATCGATATCTACGATGGACAGGATGTGGAGCTGGAGTGCAGCATTTTGAAGAACTTCTCCAATATGGCACTCAATCGAACCATCAATGTGATCCTCGGTCATCGAGACTTCTTGGCTTTAACTCCTGGCCACGTGACTGAGCGCTTCCTGCGTGATGCCCTGCAGTTCCAGACACACGGAGAAATTATGGACAGCGTTAAATGTCTCATGGCACTCACGGGACTTCAGTTTCTGGGAAAGGAAATGTACGAACACATAAAGAAGGTGAGGAATCCTCTCTTCAATCCCGGCTTCATCATGAAGCGCCTCTTCACCGGTCAGTCTTTTGAAAGCCCCAAGAAGTTCGCCAATCTGGAGCACTATCTGCACTTGTCCGCGAAGCCCGGCACCGACGCTCTGGAGCTTTGCATCGTACGACTGCATCTCATGTCTGAATACCTCCTCAACCGCCACGGCACGGAGATCTTCCGCCACCACAATGATCTCTTTCAGCTCAGCGAAGTGGCATCTCTCTGCTTCGCCATGTTCTGCTCCGTGGCCAGAGCCTCCAGGTCGTACTGCATTGGTCTTCGGTACGCAGAGAATGAGATGCAATTGGCCAACGTGTTCTGCGGTCACGCCAGCGAGAGGATCAATCAGATTGCCCTGAGCATACAAGAGAGCGAGATGGTGTCCATGAATGACACGCACCAGATTCTGGGCAAACAGCTGTTCAAGACCAAGGGCTACTTTCCTGAGCATCCACTCACGCGGAACTTCTAGATGAAAATACATTTTGTAAAAAATAACTAAGTAAATTCAAATAGAATTAACAAAAATATCTGCTTCGCATAAGCACAATAATCAAAAAAGTCACAAATTCAGAGTACCAACAAAATACTTGTGGATGGAAATAAGGGAAAAAATCTCATGTTCATCTCAGATCCTGCGTTGTGCCGCATCCGCGGATGGAGATGCCGCCTCAGGGCTCATGTCAGCTTGTGATGTTTGTGTGGAGGAACTCTGCTGAGGGTTCGTAATCTCACCCTCTTTCAGTGCCCTTAGATAAGCTGGCTTTTGCGATGGACACTCAAAGTGAACGCAGTGGAAGATCTGCAAAGACACTCGGATTATGATCACGAAGACGGCTTTCTCCAGGCCAATCTCACCTCATTATTGGTGTTGTACGTTCCCACGATCTTTATGAACACCACCGGACGCGGTGGAAACGTGAAGTGCTGCCAGGATCTCACCGGCTCCCCCCTCTTGTCCACCACGAGCTCCCAGTTCTTTCTGTTCGTGGACGTCTCAATGAAAAAGCAGTAGTTGCGATCGTCCAAGTCCCACAGCAGCAGCCTCAGAGATCCAATGTAGTAGGGCTGTCCCAGCTGCACCAGGATCATTCCACTCACGAGCTGATGGCACGTGAAACCGTAGTCCCAGTCGTAGTTTGTCACATCCCCATTGAGAAGCACATTGCGAGTGCGACTCACGCCGTCCACAACGATCGCGCTCATCTCCAGCGTCGCCACATTGTTCACGGGCGCCACGATGCCATTGTGGAGCGGAGGAACATTAGCCGTGTACATCGCCTCCAGAGAGACCACGTGGAACACCTTATTGACCGTGTTGTGAGTGCCCACCAGGCGGATGTAGCGCACAGCGCGCGCGGGGAAGTAGAGATACTGCCAGGAGCGGCAATTGTACTCGCGATGGTCAATCACACGCTCCCAATATTGCTGGTTCACGCTCACCTGCAAGGGACAAACGCGCATTTTCCGCTCAATGACTGTGAAATCAGGCTATTTTCCACCCTTCGGCTCCGCTCCAATTCATGCGTTGTAATTTTAGAGAGGCAAATATTTTGAAGGACTAATTTTAGCTTGAATTTCTGGTTACAGTTCAATTCTGGAACTGACAGAGGAAATCATGATGCAGAATTGAGAAATAAACTGAAAGGTTCAACGACTCAGGACGTGTAGATAAAAGGACATTTTCAAGCTGGTTCGCAAGTGAATCTCTGCTTCTGTAAGTTGATTTGCTATAGACTTTTACAACTCACCTCGATATAGTAGCAGTAAGAGCGGACATCCTTGTCCCAGAGAAGAATCTTGATGTGGTTGATGATGCTGATACTGCCCAGCTCCACCACGATGCCCTGATCATTGGATTCGCTGATCGTGTGCCTCGTGTAGCCGCGCTCCATGTCATACGAATCCGTGTCTCCGTCCAGCAAGGAAGATCGCAACTCGCCCTGAATTGTGCGCGAATCGAACTTGAGCGAGGCGACATTCTCTTCTGGCCACAGAGCGCCTCGGTAAGGCAGAGATTTGCTCGTGATTTTCTTCTCTATCGCGTCCAAGAGGCGATCCGAGTCGATGATGTTGGATGGACGCACCACGGTCAGGAGCTGCTTGATCTCCATCAGTGGCAGACGCACGTGAGACACGACCAGATCAATGTTGGAGTCTGGATTAGCGGCACACCACTCACGCACGGCCAGGAAGATTGACACCTCGGGCGCCGAGAAGGAGTCACGCTGCAGTAGTCCAATGAGAGATTCCTCGGACAGACTCTTGAAGGACTCGTGCTTGAGAATTTCGTTTGTGTTGCGCTCCAGGAACGTGTGGCAAACAGACATGAGATTCTCAAAGGCATATAGACGAGCTGCATCCAACACGGCACAAACATTGTCCAGCGACAGCACCTGCCTGAGGTAGCTCGAGATGGCGGTCTCCAGCTCCGAGAAGCCATACTGATTGGCCAGCCCAAGTGTGTCCAGCACGTCCTCTTCCCGCATCTGCGCCAGCGACATTTGACCCGAGTAGATGTAGCGCAGCAATGCCCGGAAAGCCTCCAGGGGCACCTTCAACACTATCTCACTCTGCGAAGACTCCGACATGCCCCCATAGAGCATCGCCCGGAAGTATTCGCTCCTGGCCGCCAGGATGACGCGATGCGCCGGCAATTTCGCGCCGTCCACCACAAAGGTCACGTCCGAGTAGTCCTGATTCATGCACAGTAGTGCCATTTCCTCGGAAAAGCGGCCTGTGAGCTCAATCTGAGGGGAAAACCGGGAAAACAAAGCGACATTTGTAGCTGGGGCGCAGCGCAGTGAAAAAAGGCCGTTTTCTCACCTCTTCCCAGGGATTTGGGTCAGCCATATCGTGACTATTGCTGCTCATTGGCACCCACTGCCGATTCCCTGTCGAAATGTATCTCAAAACCCACTAAATCCCGTGAAAATCGGGGAAAATACGCGGGAAGCAAATATTTTTCACTCGGGAACTGTCAAAACACTGTATTCAACTTTCATACACTCTTTGAAGGTGGCGCTGATGAGCGGATAAGAGAAAATTCTCTGACTCCTTCAAATGCGTCAGTTTGATCCCTCATACTGTTTCGTTGTAAAGTCGCTGAAAAGCCAGAGGTAAAAACAAGAATTTCTCCAAATGTAGATATTTTATTTGTATTGAATGTCTCATCCAATCAATTTTCCCAAGAAAAAACACCACAATTCCTCCTCATCCAACTGATAATAGCTTTTTGCCAAAGAGACACTGTATTTTGGTGTTGTACACTTAACAAATTTCTTGTGTATTGTGTGTATGTTAAATTCTGCAATAAACATTAAAGATATACTTTCTCATGTTTTCTTCTTCACAATATTATTTCTCTTTTCCCTCAATTTATATAAATTAATTATACACATTTATTTACAGTTAATAAATTATAATTAAAAATTCGTTGGTTTATTGTAGAAATTTATCATCTCAACATCTTTTTTTCCGTTTTTCAAGTGTTGTGTGTGATTTTTTGTCTACATTTACAGTTTTAAAAATAACAAATAAGAAAAAAAAACATCGTGAATTAGAAGATAGCAAAAAGAGAAGTTTTTTTTGTTGCATTTTCACCTTTTTCCCTTTTCTCTCTACATAATTTAAAAATTCATTGGAATGTTGCGTAGCTGATTTCGTGCTTTTTCTGTTTTTTTTGGTAAAAAATATGGAAATTTCTCACTATCTTTCTCCCTTTTGATAACATCTTAAGCAAAATACATGTAGGATATTTTTTCTCTATAGAGTTTTTTTTCTTTTCTTGGACATCGAATATACAAAGAGATTTTTACGCAATTTTTTTCTTGCACAATTAACAACTTTTTTTTCTCCATTTAACAATTGATAGATATTTTTACGTGGTTTCATGTCTATTTTGTCATCTCCTTTGTACCATCATTAAACATTTATCCTATTTTTCTTCACGGGGTTAAAAGTATACAACAAGGATTCATTAAACTCTCTTTGATTCAACAGACGCTCTCCTCATGTCTTTCGCAGATTATTGTGAAAACTGGAGACTCAAAACATTGGCTATGATTACAAATATTCACTTATTAGACACTTTTTCTGCTTTTTGATATCTCTCCATCATTGTTCATCCGAAAAATTCACTGTGAGTGAAATTAAATGCTCTCTTTCTCTGTCTCCCTCTCTCTGCCAACAATTACAACAATTAAAGGGTTTTCTTAATTCTTAGCTTTTTCTTCTTTCTAAAGTTTATTCTTTGTGTAAATTTCACTTTTTTGTGTTTCTTCACTGTGAGTTTTGTGTGCATTTCACGCTCTTTTGATGAAAAAATCCACTATCCACAACTTTCGTCTTTTCTCGGGCATGTCCTTCAGATAATTCCTAGCTAGTCTGTCAGCAAAAATATGTAATTCTCTTATATTTTCTTCTTTGAAAAATTCCTATTCGTATTCCCACCCAAAATTCCTGCACCATTGCAAAGATCTTTTCTCAAAAAAGACTCCATCAATTAATCGATAACGCTTTTTATTGTACAAAATACTTCTTTTCATCTCTGTTAATTATTATTATTTAAAAAAATATACATTCAATTAATATAATTTCCTTTAGTAATATTCATCATCTTTTTTAAATGTACCTACATTCAATATTTCACTGTTTTTATACCACCTTTTATTTTTAAGAAATATCTTTATATTACTAACAATTATTGTTACTCTGCTTCTTACCACATTTTATCCACCTTTCATTTCTTCCCTTCAATAATGATTACTTTATCACGTACAACAATTATTCTTTATATCCAATAACTATTTTATCTCAATTTCTTCCTTCTTGTGTTTGTGAGTGAAAAGACTTCTTGAAATATTTTTTTTCTTCATCCCCTTGAAAATTCCACCAAAAAGACATCATTTCTTCATAGTCATGGAATTGCCTTTTGTATCTTTCACAAATTACTAATTATTATATTACTGTTTAAAATAGTTTGTTTTCAGAGGAATTCTGAGATAAAAGGAATTTCTCGCTATGTTTACTTTCACTGTTTGTTTTTTATCTTTAAAAAAAAGATCGTGTTTCTGTGCTCAAAATCTTTTCCTGCTTTGGAGAAGACAATAAAAATATCTATACAACAATTTGAGGGAAAGTGTTTGTGTGTGTGTTTTGACATTATTCTTAAATTTACATCTTTCCCACCAATTTTTATCCTAAAAATGGTGTAAATAGAACTTCTTTTTCTCTCCATTAAAAAGTGCTTCACTTCATGTTAAAAGTTTATATGTTGTAAATAAAGAGAAAAAGTGTGTCGACGAACCAGCATCGATTTATAATGTGTTTTTTGACAAAGAAATTTTTCTTTTTTTTCACCTTTAGGTCGCTTAATCCAATAACGTTTTTTTTATTTGCATTTCACATTAATTAAATATGTATATCATAAATTTCAGAAATTTCTTCGTTGACGTACATTAAGGTCACTCAACATTTATTGATATTATTTTTTGTCATCAATTTCATCACCTTACCAGTTAAACAGCAAACAGATAAATTTTAGGGGAACATTTTTTGGTTCTTTACCGTGATTTCCTATCAAAAAAAAACAAAACAATCAAGCCACTCAATTGAGCTATTTTTACTAGACCAAAATCGATTTTTCGCCTTAGAAAAGGACATTCTGCCAAAAAAAACCCACCCAATAACTCAATTAAATGGCTTTCTATCGAAGCACTTTTGCCGTTCTCTTTTCAATCAATCCCAACTTTCTTCAGCATTTACTTGGGAGGAGAAAACAAAACAAGATTCTCTCTCTATTTCATCAAAAAAGAATATATATAAAGCTTTGAGCAAATCACGATATTTTCTATTATTTTTTGACCAATAATAATCCTGTCGCCTTCAACGGACGATTACACATATCTTTTCCATTCAGAAATTTAATTCCTTCCTCTAACTATTGATTCAATCTCTTCTCCACTCATATTAAATATTTACCACAAATTAACGCCACTGACCAACAATTTCTATACAATTTCTCCTTCTACTCCTTCCGTTCGCCGCCATCGCATCAGAAACAGAAACAACAAACTTTTCCTCCGCGTCAAATACTTACAACGTATTCACGCTCAAATGGTTGCTAAATTCCCGGCCCGCGTGTGTATCTACTTGTCATCCTGATCCATTGGCTCCTCTGAATCTTCCCTGGACAAATCTCTGGAGGATCTGCAAGAATACACCATTCATCAGTCAAGGATTCTCTCAATCAAATCATCTTCTTTGTTACCTGTGAAGCGACTGCATGGACAATCCAGCCATTGCAGTGACTGTCTCAGATTCATCCCGTTCACTGGAGAGCGCTTGCATGGCTGAGAAGGCTACAGTGTGGGCGAGTCTCTTCACAGCTGGCCAATGACTCATCTGAAAGCAAGACACTAAATTGGTATTTCCTGCAACTTCACCACGGAAAAGCAAACCTACCTGGATGGCTATTGTCTTCTGGATTGTCTCAATGGCATTCTGGCACGGCGGCCTGGCGAGTTCCGTGTCGGCAATCTGGCTGAGATCATCGCCTAGCAGAGCACGAACGCATTCCTGAGCAGAGTCACAAATAGCCGGCAAATCGTATCCACCCTCTAGTGCGAGAATCACTCTGCCCTCAGCCAGCTGCATGAGTTCCCTCGTGAGATGCCCAAAGCACGCCGGCGAAACCATGTATCCGCCCAAAGGCGGCGGATGTCCACTTGCAGCGTCAAATCCCGCAGAAACCAGCACAATATCAGGCGAAAACTCCCTCGCAATGGGCATCACGACAGTTCTAAAGGCTGCCAAGTACTCTGCATCTCCCAATGGGGGCGACAATCCACCACTCCATGCCACATTCACATTGAATCCCATCCCAGGACCGACTCCACACTCTGTGGGACCGCCGGTGCCGGGGAAGAAGTTTCCGTCGTCGTGGCGATGGATGGAGAGGTAGAGAACGCTGGGATCGTCGTAGAACACCTGCTGCGTGCCATTTCCATGGTGAACATCCCAGTCCACAATGAGGACACGCCTCATTTCCGGCACTCGCTGTCTCACCAGTCTCGCCGCCACGGCGATGGAGTTGAAGAAGCAGAATCCCATCGCGGCATCGGGCTCTGCATGGTGTCCGGGTGGACGCACCACTGCAAACCCATTGCGAATGTCCCCTTTGGCCGCCTTAAGGGCCAAGTCAATCACACATCCCGCCGCCATCCTGGCCGCCGCTGACGTGTGATGCTCATTCCACGTGGTGTCGAGATCCACACCCAATCCACCGCACGCCAACCTAACGAAGCTCACGCGGCTGGCATCGAGCTTGTGGCGGTTGAGTTGATTGGTGCCGAAGAGCATCGTGTGCGCCTCAGTGTGCACCGTCTGGAGTTCCTCCTGAGTCGCCCGCCTCGCCCTCAGACGATCACAGCGACTGGCCAAACCCGTCTCCACCAGACGCGCCCACACACTCTGCAGCCGCCCACTGTGCTCCGGATGAGACGAGTTGTCCCCGCAGATGCAGGCGTGCTTCAGCATTTGGTTGTCGAAGGCCAGTCCTGTGGTGACATGAATAGGTCCAGGAGCTCCCTGGAACCACAGGAAGATCATTACAATTGCCCATTCACTCTACACTGGCTCACAATTGAGACTTACCCCAGCAATACTCCGCCGATGCGGCACTGTGAGATTCACCGGAGGCGGACTGTTGTCCAGCGAGTGCTGACCCGTGTCCGGGATACTGCACGGCGGCTGCTGGCCCAGATGCACCAGCGGACTGGACAGTGTTCGCGACAGTGGCTTCACGAAACCTCTGGCAAACGGATCATCCACGGAAATGTGCATTGACTGGCGAATGAGGAGCTCTCGCTGCTGCTTCAGGTACTCCTGATCGCGCACCCTGTCCTCCTGACGCTGCGACGTGCTTGTGATCACACTGCTGGTAAGTACAGTTTTCGGTGGTTGCTTCTTGTCCGTCAAGTCGATCACCTCTCCGGACTCCTCTTCCTTCAGCTGCGGCTCACGACTCCCACCCACGCGCGTCAGCACGGTCTGCCTGATCTTCTGCGTCAGCAAGAGATGCTGCTGCTCCATGGCCTGTCGCTCAGCATCGCTGTTCTCATAGTGCGTCTGCCCGATGTTCACCGTTCCGGCTCCTGTGAGCATCGGATGGCCTAGCGGAAGAGGTGCCGATTGGGTCCTGCCCAGCGGCCGATGGCCCTGCTTATTGAGTCGTGCATGAGCCACCTGAGTATCCGTGATGGGCTGTCCATACAGCCCCGGCACCTGGCCATGCATGGCCAGATGCTGAGCCGCAATGTGATGAATGCTGGATGGATGGAGGTGCGAAGCCAGTTCCGGATGGTGCTCTAGTGGTGGCATTGGGGTGTAATATGGCGCCCCAACGGCAGCCGCAGCAGCCAACTGAGCGTGTGTCCGGAAATTCGAGAGCAGAGCCTGCAAAGAATGCAGATAGATCAACAAACGCCCCTTTTTGCCTTCACACTTTGCACACTCACCAAGTTGTTGGCATTGTGAGCATTGGCCAAGTGTGGTCTCCCGAGGGAAATGTTGGGCATCGAAGGGGAGCTGAATAGAGCAAGATCATTGATACTCCCACGATTGCCCTGATAGTTGGGATCTTCATTCTCCTGAAATACAATAAAAACACAATTGTAGGGCTTTGAGGGACTCCTCTGCTTCTTCTTTCTCTCACCTCCTGAATCGGAGCACTAGTCGGTGAGCCTCGATTTGTGAGCGTTGGCGGTGAATTTGGACCAGAATCCGGCGTTGTTGTGCAATCTAATAAGCAAGAAAGATGGGAATTCAATACAATATCTCTGATTTTATTATTTCTCTCATTCTCAGAAAAATCCATCAGCATCACGAGCCAAAAATTCAATAATCTTTTTTAGCAATATTAATGGCCAAAAGAAGTTAATTAAACGCCAACATGCTCATATTTTTGTCAATTCTCTCGCTAATTTTAACGACTCTTCAATTACACTTTTAGTACAGTTTTTAATTGATTCAGCATCTGATCGTGTGTTTAGTTTCATCAAACGGCAAAAATAAAGACACTCATGACGCAAAAGGAAGATTTTTTGTCAGTTCTCACTCAAGCCAAGTGTGTGAGGTGTGAAATATATTATTTGGTTCATCACTTTTATATGTATATTGATAAATTCTCTCTTTTAAGAGCGCAACAAAGTAAGGAATTCGCCGCATTTTGGCTTATTTTTTTTGGGTATCAATTCGCGCAAAATACAAATTATATTCATATGAAATAACATGTAAAACATTATTTCTCTCTCTCTCTCTCTCTCTCTCTTGCAATTCACTTGTAATCGTCACATTATTCTGTGTTTGTGCTTCTTACTGTACATACTTGTCGGTGTTGCTAAGGCTGAATTTTGCTGCTTCTGCTGTCGTCTTTGGGCAGCCTGAAGAAGTCGCTCTTGCCGTCGAGCCGCCAATGGTCCATTCCTCGCCTTTCTCTCAATCACACTCTGTTTCAAGCGAATCTTCAGCAAATTCGGCTCCGACGCTGCAGCCAATCATTTCATTATACGCAATTTATTATTTATCCAAAAGAAACTCCTTATCTTAAGACAGTAAATTAACAAAGATAAAAAAAAACCGAGGAATACCAGGAAATCGTCACGATTCTCATTTACCCTTTCGCGCCTTGAACAGTCACAGAATTCAATGACTGGGATAAAACATATGGAAATTCTAACATATTCTCTTGATTGTGTGGGGAAAGTAATTAATATTCACACTTGTCGTTAGTTGGAAATATACTTTGTTCATCTCATCTTTGGGCAGTGTTAATCTTTGTTCTCAAGCGCACACAGATCTTCATAGCACACTCGAGCGGAGAAAAATATGCAGAGTCTTGATAAACTGCATCATCCAGTTTACACTTGAACATCTTACACTTTTCCTCCCTCTTCTCATCATATTAGGGTTACACACACTGTACGCAAAAAGCATATAAACATTCAGAAGATCAGTGTAGTATGAGTAGGCGGGGCTTTCGAAGGAGCGGAGCTTACTTGATACTTTCTCCACAGGTCTTCTGATAAGTTTACAAGGCTTTTTCACACCTTGAGTGCATGTAAAACCCTTCAGTTAGGAGATTTACTACGACATGAATTTAAAATATTTGAGGATTTCAAGATACAAAAGTTGTTAGAATAAAAATCATATCATTCTTGGTCATCTCAAGTTTATCTCCATCAACAACATGTGGATCAGATATCACAACATCAACATTCATGCATTTTACGGATATTCAAAAGCCAAAAATTGAGAGAATTACAAATTTTCGTTGCATTTTTAGAGTCTCACCTGTTTTGCGGAGTGGAAAATCGGAATCATATTTGGCGATTGATGATGGCGGCTGAGGAATTTTGTACGGATGAGAACTAACCGAGGCAACACCAGCACCGGCAGGCAGTGATTCACCCGAGGAGCTCTTCACGACACCCCTAAACAAGGCAGAAAGAATGCATTAATAAAATTCTCCATAGTCTAGACTGTCGCAAGTGCACAAACTCTCACCAATTCCGGTACGGTGATGATGATGTCATGCCATTTGTCGCCGCATTCTGCTTCTTGTTCATCAAGAAAGTCTAAAGCAAAGGACAGAAAACAGAGATGTAGCATATTCACGTGACTCCAAATACTCTCACGCGTACCTGTAGTTTCTGTTTCACCTCTGAACTTGCATTTGCACTGCAATTATTCTCTTTGCGTCTCATCACCTCCCTTTCGCGACGCTCACGCTGTTGCTGTTGTTCTTCTGCAATCCTCTGTTCTCTCAGTTCCTGGAATACGCCATTGGAAAGCCCCGCAAACTATAGATAATGTACCAGAGAAGGGAATATACGTGTGACAGCGAAACAACAAAAGAAAGTGAGGGGCTGAATTGTGGATGGCACAGGGAAGAGACGCCAGTGTGAATTACCAAGCATCCATTCCATGAGCATCTCTGATGGGAATGTTTTCATTGAGAGAAATCAATTCGAATGCATTGTATGGGAATGGGATGAAGACAGGTGATTTGGAAATGGATAGTGTCCACCCTCAAGTTTCTTTCATTGTTCCCCTCTGGTTAATTATGTCCATTTTGCGCAGATCTTCTTCCCTCTTTCTGCCGCCATAAAGCACTCTCAATGGGGCGATGAAGGATGCAGGAATTTTGAGGGAGAAATCAACAGAAGTATAAAAGTCAATTTGACATGATCATCGCAGTGGACCAACCTGATATTTGTGCTCCAATTGAAGCTTATGCTGAAGCTCAAGTTGTTTGTTCTTCTCATGAAACGTGTGCCAAAGCATTTGCTTCTGCATCTCTTGTTCCTTCTTGAGCTGCAACGACAAGTAAAGACAACCGTCAAACCCTTTTCACTTGCAATCTCCTCTTTTGATTTTGCTAATTGTTGGCTGAAGGCGAAAAAAACGTGATCCCCTCATTAAGACGCACACGCCATGATCTTCCAGCCATAAAGACGCACGTGATTGATTGGTGTGCGTTTTTTTGCTTCTCACTCATACAATACATAATACCCATTGGATCAGGTAGCTAAAGATAGATTGATTTAATGAAAATCATTGCGATTAGAATAACCGGATTCTGTACAATTTGCAAGATTGTAAATAGTGGAAATCAACCACCCAGAAGTCACGTTGCCACAGAATGTGGTGAAAAAAATCAATTTGCAGAATCGTTCTAATGGGAAAATTTGGCATCCAAATCACGAGGAACAATAAATTTACTAATTTCCACCATATTGCCTCCAAGAGTGACGCCCCTCGGGACAGAATTTCTCAATGACCCAGAAGATCGCACAGGAAATGCTGACGTTAAAATTAAAATGTATATCAAGAGGCAAGAATGAAAGGAATAGTAACAATGGGAACAGCTGTGCTCTCTAATATTCTTTCACACTCCTTCCCAATCTCGAAACAACCAAAATAATTCAGCCACTTTGACCTATTAATAGGCAGGCGGAATTGGCACCTCACTAGCCTCACTGGCGAGATTTATCTGGGCATCACACCTCACATCATCCATCCACCCTCGCGCCACGACCCACAAAGTCACAGTCTCCCATTGAGCGACTTGCAAGATCAATTAAGAGATCATTTTCCTATCACCTCACTCAACATCTTTCACTTTGACGCTGGTCCATCATCTTTCACTTTCATCGCGCCTCACTTCTGTCTCTTCTTCATTGACAAATTTTCATATACACCACATTCCCACACACACCGTGCGTTTGCGCGCTCAGAAATATCACACTATATAGAGTGACAATTTATTGTGCTCTCTGGGCCTCCACTTTGCCTTCATCCAAGTTCAAGAGCTTCTCACGCACTCCTTTTCCATCTCAACTGCTGGGCACAGATGATGGGCCATGATGAATATGACAGAAGGTGAAGGTGGAGAGACACAGCGATGAATCAGTTCACCAGACTGACTCATCGACTGCGATTCACCCACAATGCTCGCAATAACTATTAGCATATTTTGGCAAATAACGCAGAGGGGATTTTAAATTCACATTCCGGACAAATCACAGTTTGTCCCGTTGTCAAAGCAATTGGAAGTCTTATTCTACAGAATCTTCTCAAGTTCTCCAAGTCACAAATTCGTTCGGAATTGTGGCAATTGCCAGAACTTCTGGTGCAAACCAAGAGTTTCAAGACTTTGTGTAAACCAAGCGATAAATTTAGAGTGTGATGTAACGACTCCTGATATCGCTGCAGACTTATTCGACTTCCTTTCTGCTTCAGGTACCATTAACCTTTACAACAACAGCCACCGCAAACCCGAATGGAAATAGTCATGAGAGACAGAAACGCATTAATTCCTTATCGCATCGAGTAGACGACAGCGTATGTGGAGAACAAGAGAGTAAACAAAGTCCGCCCCAGAATCATCATCATCATCGTCGTCATTTCCGGATGGAGCGTAACGAGTGGCAAAGATTAGGCGCGCGAGGAGATGAAGATATTTCACACTGACTCACAAATTAATTGAGCATCTGTTGTTTACCTCCAAAATTTGCTGATTAATATCATCTGGAGTCTGCGGCTGGCTGCCAACGCCGTCCAGTGGAATCGCACCACCCGCATTGGGCATCACCAGCACTCTATCTCTGCCCACCGCTGAATCGCGAGCCATTTCTGCAAAGACAAGAGAGAGAGAGAGAGATGGTCACGTATTAGAACGGGATGGCTGAGACTTTTTGAATGAAATCCACACAATATTTATAGAATATTTTCATCCGCCTTTTTCCAACCCCCCCTTCAGCGTCGTTTGGCGCGAAAAACTCTCTCTCTGTGGCCCACGTCGCCGCAAACTTGCTCAATGACATTGAAATTGATGGCGCGGTTAAAAAACATATAAGAATATTTTCATTTTTCCTCCGCTTTCCCAATCCTCTCTATATTCATAATATTCTCTGTTCCTCATCTCTCGCGCCAACACTTTCTCACTTGTATTACGTGATTGGTGGCTATATTTTTTGCGATAAGACGCGCGCGAGACAGGCCAAGTAAAAGCGCGCAGATCGTCGCGTCCATCACCCATTCTCGTATCTGCCAGCTAAATGTGCACTCAACAACACGTGTTCTCCTCTCAACTCTTTGATGGACATCTTTTCCTGTGTTGTCCACCGAATTTATTGACACCTAAAATTAGCATTCTCTCAATCATGTCTCCTCGTCAATTCGCTGAATTCGAATTAGAAATGCGTAGAATGACTTCTCGGGAACAAATAAATTCACACGATTGTAAAATATTTCTGCCTTTAGCATACACAAGCTCGCACAGCAGCAACAAGGAAGTGTCATTAGGTCCCTGTCACGTCGCCCTAAAATATTGTCCTATAAAATTAAATACGCGCCTCTTGATGGCAAAATCACTTCGACACTAACCGCATTTTATAGTATCATGTCAGTTGTTTTCCATGGAAAATGCCGCGTGGCACATTTCTATAAAAGCCCCCTTTTGTGCAAATTAACCCCAATCGATTGAATTGACAAAGTGGTTTTGGTTTTGTCACAATTGCGTGTGAGTCACTTTCAAGTGGCTCCTCTGAAAAGCCACATGGGAATTTCTCCATTAAGTCAGCACCAAGTGTAATAAAAAGTATTTTTAGAAAAACAGGAAGACGCTAAATTGGATTTAATTGACAGACAACAATCATTTCAGTGTGTAAATTTTACACCATTGAGACATTGCGCCGGAGAAAAAAAAGCCCCACAATTCGCATTGTTTCACGCAGCGGCGCGATCGCAATGAAATGATGAAATGCTATAAAATCACAGTAAGACGGATGATGACTCTTGATTTCATCCCGAGAGAGGGTGTTTTTTCTCCTATGCTTCCGACACGAATATTTTAAAATAAATACAAAGTATGTACATAGAAAATTGAGATGTATAAATAAAACTCGCGTGTATTTGTTGGAACGAATGTCGTATTAAGTTAAAAGTCTAATTATTTTTAGCAAACACGCTGACAGAAGCGGGATATTACGATTACTGAGCATTTTATAAATAAATTTCTCTCAATATATAAATAACTCTTTTCTCCTCACCCTTTTTTTATCTTATTATCCTTCTATACAACACTCAGAACTGAAACATTGGAAGAGAGATTCTACGCGGCAATTCAAATCAAATAATTACAAAATAATTTAAATGTCACATTTTATAGCACGTAATTTTAAGTGTGTGCTATAAAATTCCCACATTACACGACAAGAGTGGAATTTCGTACATTTCAACTGTCATTTTTGCCCAACATTTAGTCAATTTTCCACACGACTGCCATATGTAAAATAGTGTGAAGTTCATGGGAATTTCCCGGGAGAAATTATGGTATAATGTTGAATTTCACAATTCAAACACTCTGACTGATGCTTCTTTTTCCTCTGCATGACAAATGTGCTCGCGAAAGGGAAAAAATTCCGCTCAATATTGTAAAATTACAAAAATAGAGCCTCAAAATGGGCAAAAGGGTTGATGTGGAGGGAGTAAACAAAAAATTTGATTATGCAAAAATAATCGAATCATGTCTGACCTGAGCAGTCTGACCCACTCACGTGGCCGTACATTTTTCAATTAAAAACACACATATAGACAACATATTCACGGCGTATTTCCAAAGAGGCGCATATTACATGAATATATAAAGTCTATAAATAAATTTTAACATCATGTAATGTCTTAACAGTGCTTCACGGCTTCTTTTTTTCTAGCGCAGCGCGCAAATATTCCAACCCAACAACATCTTATGGAAAAAACTGCTCTCTTGTATCATGATCTCGCGATACAGACGCCAGGAGAGCAAATAAAAAGAGCCTTCCTATTCAACCCAAACGACTGATCATTCTACACAATCTCTTTTATCTGCCACACTCTATTTAATGTCACTCACACACTCTATGGGTTGTTTTGCGAGAAAAAAGGCCCCATCAGAGTGGAAAAGGTTCCACAAATAGATTTCCCGAGAAGCAAAATTAAACTCTCCTCTATATTGCATGATGGGAATGATGAAATGAGATAGAGAAATTATTTGTACGCACATTCCACCACAAATAATGTCTATCAAATTCAATTTTCTGTGGCGTATTTAGAAATTCAATGTGAAATGTACAGCATTATAATAAAATCATCGCACTTCTGCGCCTAAACCAATCATTCCAACCGGAGCCCCTTTATCAACACATCTCCACGTTTTACTTCTTATTTTGCCATACCAAAAATACCCTATATTATTGCATACACGTGCCACGCAGAACCCAATCGAATTTCACGCGGCAAATTCCACTAATTTCGCTAATACTTCGCGCTGTTTATACTCTGCAAATGAACAAAGCACAGTTTGTGCCACTTGCAATGCAGCAAAATAAAGTCTGTGCTTCCTATTGTCTTTTTTTTACTAAAGTTATTTCTGTGACAATGATTAATTTATCACTTGAGATTCTCCATATCGAGTGATAAGGGAGACAAAATAGCACAATAAAATGTGTCACTGTAAACACTGTCCACGAAAAAATATGAACAATTGCGTAGATTTCGGTGAGTCAAGTGACAATATAAAATAATATTCCATTAGTAATTAATAAACTTCAGGAAAATTTTACATGATTTTACATGAATACTCCAAAATAAAGATATTCGTTCTATATCTTCAACATCAAATCTTTCACTCCGTTTGCAAAATAAACAACAAATGATACCAGAGTTCAAGAAAACCATCCTTGAACCCTTGCCATCGCAACCACTTGATCTAAAACTGTCTGATCGAATGTGGCAATTTATTGAATTTCAACAGGCACAAAAAAGTCAGTCACGTGCCATTTCACGTTTAGCAAATTATAAAGCAAATTCGCCGCTGAATTGATATTTTTGCCAAAGATACATTTTGCACAATAGCTACTTTGCATTTGACCCAGACTGCAGAGTTGCTGTGAATTCGATTCGCCTCTTTCTGGCAATCGCCAGACTCTGAATTTCTAGGTCTGCAAGAGCCCAAGTGGGCTCTATACAGTCATTTTTCCACCCGCCATGGAATGACTATTTCTGTGCCCTGCTCTTCGCCTCAATGGTGTGCTGAATTGTTATCTTTGTGTTCAAAAATATCTCTACTCTCCACATTACATTTTGATTTGGAGTGGATGGCAGTGGAGGAAGTGGAGTGAAGTTATGTGTGCCAAATAGAATCCCATAAAGTGTGTGTTTTTCATACCTGAACTACGCATCAAAACATGGACGCAAAATGTGTAGCTTAAGAAACAAAAAAAAAACTCAAGGTGATTTCTTTTCCACGAATGTGTACTTCCGATATGCTTTTCACTGTACACTTTTCCAGCCAACCAACTAGTGAAAAAAAAATTTACCCACCACTTCAAATGTGATTCCTTTCCCACGTCCCTTCGGCTCAGGTGATATTTTTCCACCTTTAATTTCCCTCTTCACTCCCACCTTCATCACTCGTGCCGCAATATTACAAAGCACACACACACACGAAATATTCTCACTCTTATTCCACTCTGTTGCTCATTGGGATTCTCTCTTGTGTATGTTTTCTCGGTATTACAACGAAATTTTATTTATAAAACATCAGTGTGTGAGTCACGGCATTGGACAGTATCGATCGAGCTAAAAATAACCTATGGAATTATTGTATTTTTATGGAGTTAAGATTTTTCCTCCTTCTCACACTTTTTTGCCTCAATTTTCTCCCTCCACCCATTCGGGATGGAAAAACCTTTCAAGGATATATTTTCCTCGACAACCAATAGAAAAGATGGAAAATTGCCTCTCTTTTTTCTCTAGTCCTGGCATCACGTTTTCCTCTCAACACACACATCATTTATCATACAAAGGAAAAAAATGCAAATGCTTTAGAATATAATGGAGAATCTACAGTAAAAAGTTCAATACAAGTTTTCATTTCTAAACTATATAATGCTAATGCATTCCCATGAAAGTAAATTGAAAAATTAGATATATTCAAGGTTATTTTCACTCATCGTCTCAGTGATAGAAAATTCCATTAATTGAGTGTTTCAAAAATAGCCATAGAGAATACACACAACTCTAGCAAACACTTTCATCACACTTGCTTGCAATGAAAAGATCGTGGAGAAAATTTACAAAACACAGCACATCTAATCAAGCGATTTGCAGTCAAAACCAGATTTATCCAGGACCAGAATTGTCCACGAACAAATATATTAATTGTCAACTGGACACATTTCCATAGAAAGGATTAGACTTGGGCTTTTTAATTTTACGCTCAGAATTTCACAAGACAACCTTAAGCATCCAAACATATGTTCAACGTCAGGTGAATTGTTTTGTGGGAATATTTTGCAAGAGAAAATCACGCAATGAAATAGAAAAAGACATAAATACACACAGTCAAAAGTGCACCCATTTGAACCTTACAGGAATCTCACATTTTGCCCATCACACTCGACTTTAGAGTGTTTATTTTGTGCTCTGACCCCAATAATTACTGTGTTTGTGGAGCTGAAAGGATTAAAAGTGGCTCCAAATGCCTGTTTTCTCTTACCTAATTTTAATACGTGCATTTCCCCAATGGTTTTCCACTAGTTCTCAATCATACTTCGCACAGTTTATCAGTTTTTCCGTATTTTTCACACGTTTGCTACTTTGCACAGTCAAAATTGTCACAATTTTACATCCTCTATTCCTTCTTCTCCACTAAAATTTTCATATCTCTTCGTGTGCTTTATTGCTCTCTTCTCTCGCTGTCGCTGTTCAAAATGTATGTAAATAGCAACAAAAGCCCAAGTAAAAATTATTCATCGAACGAAAACGCTCGCGACGTGGTCAAGTTTATTTTTAACTCTTCGACGAATTTACTTTACTTTTTTGCACACTTTTTATCTTCGTCTCTCGGCATTACACTTCCACCCCACTTTCGAAATACACCAGTCAGAAATTCTTCTTTTCTTCTCTCCTTTTTCTCCTCGAATTTCTGCCCCACAAAAATCCTTCAGTCCTTCTTCACTATTTGTCCAGCAGAAAATCACCAAGAATGATCTGTGATGTATGATAGTCGATGGAAAAACACTGCGATATTGTGTTTGCTATAAATTTAATTAACAAACACTTGTTACACTGCGAAGAAGTCCACAAGACGAAACGCACACACAATCATCAAGCGACATTCCACGGATTCCACGAGTACATTTTTCGCCCTAACATCATTATTCACACATTTGTAATCTCTTTCCCCATTAATTATTGACAATTATATTGTTGAGAGAGTTGTGCAGCTCCAGAAAATTTTCCACTATTACAAAACACACCACAATCGCCCCTTTCTTTCCACAAAACCAACTCGAAAGCACAGTCTTCTTTTTTCCTCCTTTCCGAATTACGCAGTTTTCCAATTGTGTGTATTTTCCTCACATTAAATGACAATTCAATTAAATGTAACTCCAAGAATGACCATTTGTTGAGACACCAATAAATAATAAATTTGTTGACACGGAGCAAATAATGCCAACCGTCTACTCGCTGCGCCAATACGATAAACACTACACTCAAGTTTTTGGCCTGATACTTAATTTGATTCGAAGGAAATTTTTCGTGGTGTGCATGACACGATATATTGTCGTTTTTCTCTCTCGCGCTGTCTCTCACTCTCTCAGCGCCTCAGAAAATCCCACAAACTGGAGAGAGACGGAGAATTGAGAGACTCTCAAACATAAATACACTACAAATAACCAACTTCAAGTGTACAAGTCACACAGAACCTCAATAATCTTTCGCGTTCGGTGCGTGAAACATGCGTACTCTTGCGAGAGAATGGGAGCGAGAGAGCCAATTGAGGGCGTCTCTCTGGGGGGCTTCAAAGTACTGCACGATATGAAAACATCTGTCAAATTTCTAATTAGAAAGAGATTAAAGGCTCTGAATGTATGATAGATGTTCAGACATAAATAGAAGAGGAATCGTGCAAAAATCAGAGGAGAAAAGATAGTTGCATTCCCGGATCTGACGCAAAGATCATTAAAATCTAGAAAAGACACAAAGAATACTAAAAAAGAGATACCAAATTCACTCTCGTCACTTGATCTTGAGTGAATTTATCTGACATATTTCAAAAGACGCAGTGTTTTGCTGTGACAATTTTGGAATTTCCTCACATTATCCCTTGTTGTTTTATGTAAGCATTCTCAGTATAAACTTCTCCCCAGCATTATCAGTTACATTATCCCCCAACAGTGAATGGAGGCGGAAAAAACGTCAGTGAGTGTTTGAGAAGATCACACAGTGATATTTGTATTCTAACACTTCAAATATAGTTGGAAAATTCCATCATTCCAAAAAGATGAGCACAAATGTGTGCAAGCAACTCAAAACGAGACACACTTTTGAATCTGTCTGTCGCGAGATTAAATGTTTTTCCTATATGTATGAATATTTTACAAGTGATCATCACACACAACAAATGGGGGAAATCACACACTCGGCCATAATCTTAAACGTGATATTTTGCTTGGCAAAAACATTCAACAAACTCCACACCACGAAATCAATTTATGCATACACGTTTCAAGGCATTTGCATTTGTACTTTTGATCTATTTTACTTTATAAACTGCATGCGACACTATGCGATGCTAAAGACTGCCTAATTGCTTAATATGCTGAAAAGGCCATCCCTGAATTTTGCGAAGAAACAACACCCAATCTTGAGAAAATCATGAGCCCCAAAGTGTTGACTTTTGTACCATTTGGTGTCTAGAATTCTCTCTGTGTGCGACACCGAATCTATACAGAGGAATATAATTTTCACTGTGGCTGTGTGTATATCATAAAATGTTAAAGACGGTGAAATTGAGGTTCTATTTATAACTCTGCGCACTTTGGATTGCGCACTTGTTGTGTATATATTTTATATTTCTTCTCTTAATACCAGAGAGCGAAGAAAAAACAGACAAAATAACCACTCCTTAGAATCATACTTCTCACACTTTTACACTCCACATCTTCCCTCTCCCACAGAATCTCCTATGGAAAAGGGAGAGAATTATTTTCCCCCTCCGCCCATTCGACATTGCCGAGCAATTTTCTACCTGCCCAGCAATATTTGCATGCAGTGGAATTTTCTAAGAAATGCTATATATTCTCACACTCTCGACTTCACTAGAAAATTCCCACCTCAATGACTATGTTGACGCTGTTGCAGCAGCAGCACTTTATTTATAGATTTCTAATTAAACTGATAAGCGCCACAAAAGAGATTAGGCTCAAAACAAACACCTCAGCGACAGAAGGAAATACTTTTTAGCAAAACGAAAAAAAAATACCGTTCAAAGCGCCACGTGCTGAAGTCATGGAAATGCATTCTCTAAAACCGACACTATAAATTGTCAGATAAACAAATAACTTTTCTAACACATTTATTTGTAAATACAACTCATAACTTTTTAGTGATACTTCCATCATTCATCCACTAAAAACATCTCTTCAATCATCGTTAGGAAACAAATATTCCGGAGTATGTGAGTGTGAATAGGAAAAAATGATGAGGACTGAGTAGAAAAACAGATTAATTCAATTTTATTAGGAATGTCGCCACATTATTTCCCCATGTTTTTTGTCAAATAAAATCATATTATTGTGGCCTTCACCAGCATCCATGCCAGCATTCTTTTCACTCTCCACCCATCATTATATAGGAAACTATTGCACCGTATATCATAAATTCATACAGAATGACAGACAAGATGAAGACACTTGTTGCTATTCAATATTCTCCCAACTTTAAGCACTTCTCAAAAATCATTGCGATATTTTTATTGCAATTTTCAAACTAAATTCTATCGACTTCAATATTAGATTCATCATAAAGTCTTCAAAAAAAAACCCTTTGCGAATTAAGACACTTATGCTTTAAAATTAATACAAATTTGCACAAGTTTTGCAAAATTTGAAATGTCTCCATTGAAACCAATATATGAATTACGATATTTTAATTATCATGTACTGACTCCAATTTCGAGAGCTTGAGTGTCACTCAAGAGGATTCTGGGTGTTGAAACAGAACAAACTAAGCACTGAGACTTCTCGAAAAGGTTACTCAAGGTCGTGCTCAAATTAAAAGCCCCACTCAGGTGTATTTTATTAGCTCTTTTCTGCCAACTTCTTAGGAAAATATCTTACGCGAACCCTTATCAAATAACCTTGTGAATTTTTCACAATAGAAAATCTCCTTTTCAACATTTCAATTTGCCAATTAGGCAATTCAACATCCGCCAACGAAGAATTGTATCAATTAGAGAGCAGTTGCTGGTGACAAAAGACATGAAATATATTTGCTATTGAGAATAAAATCCGCTCTCACTCAAATTAAGATACCTTTTCGCACATACAAACTCCTATTCTCTCGACTGTGTCCTTCTCGTCCCACTCAAAATCTTCCTGAAACAGAGCGCATGTAAGAAAGATACGTTGAGGTCGACCTCTGACATTTGAAAATTGGGACAATTCTTGCCACCCCCGCGTGTGTGAAAAATGAATAAAATTACCCTAGATGGAGGTGTAAATAACCCCTTAAACTTCAGCCTGGCGTGAAATTCTCTGAAGAGAGATTCACCTTTCGAACTTTCTTCATCGCCCACACGCGTTCCCAAGATAGTCTCTGGTCATTAAACACCCCTTCTTATTGTTGTACATTTTCACCGTAAATATATGTCTCGACTTGTGATTAATTTTACTCACTTTTTTACCGTACATATGTACTTTGCTCTATAGATTTCTTCACCACCCTTGTCCTCTCATTGACTTCTGACATTCACCGTGATTTTGTGCTTTTTCTCTCTTCCATGCTATTTTTTAATATGACAGACCTTTTCCCTTCTCAAATTTCCTCACTCAAGAAAAATAAGATTGTCGTTGGAGATGAAATTGTGAGAGCAGAAGAATGACAAATTCCGATGAGAGTCAGAATCAAATCAGAAAAGAAGGACTGCATAATAAAAATATCTTCCACCCCAAATGGAAATGATATTGCAATCGATGCAATTTATTCATCACAGAACGTCATCAATGCCATCGTCATGTGTTTTTCAACGTCAGACGCACAACAATTGTCTACAATTGAAGAAAAAATGGGCAAGAGAAATTCAACGTGTGTAAATGAACAAATGACGCAAGTTCCACTTGATAGAAAATTATCACAATACTGCCAATGTCGAAGGGAGCAAATGCGAATTGACGCAATAGCGCCCATTTTAGTCTTCTGATGTAAAATCTAATTGCAGGAACGAATCTTCAGGAAATTCTGCAGAACTTTCCCTACAGCATAAATCCACCTACATAAGCTATCTTACGTCAGTTCCATACTCTTCATGGCATCAACGTCACACCGAACAATTTAGTATTGTGCCTCAAACTTTCTGACGACTTTAGTGTGTTCCTTCCAATCATTGCACAGGAATTTGATAGAATTTCAGAGACATTTTTCATTTGACATTCCCCAAGAAATCTACACACATATTTCCCATCAATTGACATTTCACCCACCCACCACCCAAAACAACAGACGTAATATTTAAATGAAAATTGATTTTAGAGACCACATTTTTCTTAATATCCATTCTTCCCAGCCGCCATCACGCAAAGAGTGACGAAACGAAAAATTGAAGGAGTCAAATGATAACAAATCACATAGGATAAAAATATCCAATCACGCGATTATGAAAGCCCTCCCAAAAAATAAGAGTCACCCCCTTAAGACTTTTCAAAGTCACGAGGGAGGAAAAAGCACAAACACACACACACACACAGAATAACTTACGATATGGTATGAATATGAAAATAGAAACAAGTCGTCATAACACTTTCGGTCCCACCCTTGGGAAAATATTGAACCACAGCGACACGACATACCAACTAAAGCAACAACCCTTGTCCTTTAGCCACTGACTATTAATACAATTTTGATTGAAACACTTTGTCACCCTAAAAACCTCGTTTCTCCTTCAACCCACTCAAGGGATACAAACGTGTAGAAATTTCCAATATCATACATATTGCCTTTAAAATCAATTCAAAATGTACTTTAGCATATATATAAAGTAAGCTTTCATCAAATATTGTACTTTAAGTTGAACAAACAATCCCTCAAAAGGGACTGTTAAAATAATCAAATATATAGAGAAACGTGCAATATTGGAACAATACATGGAAAACTGAGAAGAATTCACTCCACTGTTTCAAGAAAAGTCCGACAAATTGCGAGTCAACAGGAGATAAATCGCAGCTTAAAAATTGATGGGAGGGGCATTAGAATGGGCGGAGTCAATGGGAATTCACTATTGGTTCAAATAACTCAGCTTGTATTTAAGATCAGTCTATCAAATTTCTAATGAAAATACGTCCCTAAAAATCCCTTTAAAATAGATGTTTGTCATCTTATAAACAAACAATTGAGTGACATTCATCGGGAAGAAGAAAAGTCACTAATTCACAAATGTGACAAACATTCTTTCCTCCGTCTTGTCTGCTGTTTCTTTTTCTTCTTTGTCAATAAGACAACAAAATACTAAA